CGCAAGGTACAGGTATCATTACCTACCTAGGTACTGTTACAGATGCTTCGAAGGCGTAGTACTTCAAAAAAAAGTCGTGATACTCGGCAGCGTCTGCCGGGTTGCTGCATCGAATGGCGCCTCAACAAACGCCTCCTTTTGCGGCGGACATGTGGGATGTGGTGGGATGGCACGGGATGCGCCTTGATGAATGGCAACCGCCCAACCCGTCCGTCAAAAAAGACCTCGGCTTCTCTCGTTCTGCCAGCACGGTCCGCAATCCGCAAGGCGACGGACGGCTGTCGATATCCGCTGTTGCATCCAAATGCATCTGAGGGTTTGTCTGTCGTTTCGTTTCGGATGTTTCGAGTCAGTGACGCACATATCAATCGGACGAAAGGGTGAAATTGCTCGTAACGAGGTTATTAGTACATATAGCAATGGCCTTGTTGGGTTTTCGGCTCAGACGGGCGTGGAGACAACCTGATGACAAGCGCCGGCACTTTTTTTTTTTTTTTTTTTTTTTTTTTTTTTTTTTTTTTTTTTTTTTTTTTTCTTTTGAGATGGGGGATGATGGAGAGCCTTGTGGAAGATCCCCCATTTCATCTTGTTGGCCCGCAGAGTTTGTATATCAGGAATGTCTATGGACTTGTGATATGAGTACTACATGTTTCCTTGAGGGCTGACCATTAATACTCGTAGTAGTCCATCATGGTCTCTGCAAAGATGGCCTCAAACGCCAGACGACAATCAACCCAAAGGCATCTCAGCAGACACGATATCACAGAATAAGGCTTCCATAATAACGGAACCACGCCGTTTCATCTTTCAAACGCAACACTGAAATGACAACAGTTTTGGTTTCCTGCCTCATCCTCGTTCTAGACTCACCTTATTCGCAATAAGCACGGCTGAAGCATGCGTGGACATGGAGCAGCATAGATACATACAAGCCCAACTTCAAGGCAAAGACACGCCATCCCGTCAAGGCCCCCCCTCCCTTGCCCTTTGCATCGAATTGCCCTCGAGGAATCGGATCGAGCAGAACCCATGCTGCTCTTCTTGTTATTATTCTATTTAAGTATTTTATCTATTTCTGCCTCTTACATAGAGCTCTTGACGCTCTGATTCGCGGTCATGCAACAGCGTTACAACGGTCCGGATGGAGACTCCATCACGACCCTGTTGACCGTTGCTAGTCTGCTTGATATGCAGGTCTGCAGGTCTGCATTATGCACCCCTCTCTTCCTCCTTCTTCCCCCCCTCTGCTCTCTACATACCTACCTCTACTACGAGGTATTGCTGTACTTGCCTGAATCACTTCATACTGTGCTCTGTAGATCTCAGAAGCCGTTTCTCTTCTCACCCCTGCTCTGCTCCTCAGGCGAGTGAGCACTATTTTGCGGCCCGAAAGAGGGCCTCTTTCTTTCTTTTCTTAGCAGGTACAGTATTATCAGTACTATTCCAGAGACCAGGACAGCCTCAAGGCATCAATCTCAAGACGAGAAAAGGTACAGTAAACCTTGGCTATAACGATGGTGCTCAGCAGCCTCTCCATATCGCTATAGAGAGACTATCATCACAGCCAACACCCATTTTAGGTAACTGCCCCGCTTTTGTTAAGCATTTATTATAGAAAAGTGGAGATGCAGTCGGATTGCTTCTTATACATACACTATACGCCCTCTTTACCTCTATTTTTGCTCTACTTTTAGGGGTGTATAAGGGGCGTGTCTGGGATTTTAGAGAGCTTGTATCGCTATAGAAAGGTTTTTATGGGTCCATTATCGCTATAGTCATTGCGGGCAGATGCTGCACTAACAGACAATTACAGTGGCAGACCGCGGCGCTTAGCGCGATCGATCGTTATACACAGATTATCGTAAAGGCTGGGGTTCGTTATAACCAAGGTTTACTGTACTTTACTTTGTCCCCGTACCCGCATGTACTCGTACAGAGGTACTGTAGTATCCTGTTAGACCTGGAGGTACCTATGTAAACGATCCCTGGCTTACCTTATGTAACCCAGCCCTCTCCAGACAATCCAGGGGACAAAGACAAGGATCTCCCACCACCACAAATCGACGGCGGCTTTTTTTCCTTTTCATTGCAGTACACATCATTACAGTAGCACTACTACCTACAAATCAGCTCTCTCGTCGTAATACGCGACGCCTGACTCGCCTGATCCGGCACAGTCCATCGAGCTCAGCTGATTGGCAGCAGTGGGCAAAAAAAGGCGACTCGACGACATACGCACAACGGACACACGCTGCCACCTGATTGCTCCGAAAATGTCACCTTTCGCACCACTCGGATCCGTCCAACTGCACGCTGCGCACGACCACAGACCATCTTTCTGCGCCTGTCGTTGGACGGCCGTCGAGCTGCGGAGGCTAGGGGGTCTGGCCAGTCAGAGGCTCAGCAGGAGGCGAGATGCTGCGGGCATCGCCTATAACCTACCTTATTACCACACGTACTGTACAGAGTAGTACGCGCACATGCGTCCTTACATGCTGGGACGCGCACATGCAAGCTACAGTATGTAGGTATGAATGTACTCGTACGAGGCAGGAGTGTACTAGCACAACGGCCGTTGTTCTCATTCTCCTATTCTCTAGGGTTGATCGTCGTCGTGGCCGTGGTTTGACACTCTCAAGCTTCTCTTTTGCCCCGTCGGCTCCGAATGCCGCCTCCCTGACCTGGGCTGACAGGGCAAACAGGGCTCAACCCGTCCATCAGCCTGCGCAAGTACGCAAGCTCAGGCTCTTCCTCGTCAGTTGGATATCCGCGGCGGGCACGGGTATCCGCCGGAATCCCCCTCCCGGACCTCGAGTCTAGTAGTAACCCCGGCTCAACCATCTACATCCAGGCCAAGACCACGGGCCAGATCTTCTGAAAGGTGTCCCCCCCCCTTCTTTTCAAGCTGTCCTGCGTCTGTCTGTCCTTCTACTAGTACTGGGCACAGTGTGCGTGAGAGTTGCGCCGCCCCGGCCAAGGTTTCGTCCGCTACCTGCATCCAGTGGAGTATCATCCGGATGTCGCTGCGAATAAAGTGGTTGACGACAACGACCAGCATCCACGGTCACTGCCTGTTCTGGTCGACCGTGCCCCGTGCTAGGCTCGCGCGTGGCTGGCAAGTGGGCATCTGCCAATTACGGAGAGAGGTGCTGCTACTACTACTACCTTACTCATAACAAAGGCGTCTTCATCTGGCCTGGGCGATTCGCTTGCCGCCTTAGCATGCCTGGTGTTGACGCCACAGTGCCTCCATGTTGCGCTCCGTTTGATTAGCTCCGATCCTAGAAACCGATCTTCCCAGGATTGGCAGATAGATGGCAGCAGAAAGGGCTGACGGACGACGAAAAAGAGGCAATAATCACGCCCAACGAGAAACAACATCTCACGCAGTGAGCTGAGGCGGCACCCAGACGACATGGCAACGGCTGCTGGTCGGCGATGTATCACATCAGGAACACGGGGATCCGGACAGATGCTGCAACCTGACTGGCCAGATCTCGCTCTTCTTACTGCACAGTGCTCTCTCCCTCCCTGAACAAAAAAAAAAAAAAAGAAAGAGAAATGCAGGATACAGGTCATTCAAAAAGGAGACCCTGCGATGCACAGCAGACGGTCTCTCGCGGGACTGTTGCGTGATACAGTATTACTTGGCAGGCTGCTCATTGTGTCTCATTCTCAATCGTGGTCGGCGATCATCCGGGGACAGCGATTGGCTGGTGCGTACAAGTGGTTCCCGGACAGACAACAACTTCCACAATATCCCGTCGTGTTGAGGCTCACAGATTTGCGGTCTTGTGTTATGTAGGGAATACCTCCCAAGAGTGTCTGGCACCAGTCTGAGGAGAGAAGTCGCAGTCGAAGATCTGTTCTGTATTCCAGACAGAGTGCGGGCTCGCTCCTTGCTCGCTGACGCCTAGTAGCAGAAACTGCCTATTCTCTCCGGAAGACTCCCTTCCGCGCAGTTGTGTCTGCCGAGTGGGATGCATGATGACACGCCGGCCATTTCCACTCACGATGAGACACTGCCGCTGGGCATACAAGTGCATACTATGACTTGTCAGAGGATGACGGCACGCGCCTTGCATGAAACAGAGCAAAGCAAGAAGAAGTCAGGGAGAACTCTGGGGTAGAGGGCTGAGTGGCAGTCGACGAGAAAAACACCTTGGGTATTGACGACAAGTGGATATGACAGACCAAAGGAAACCCAGCAGGGCTCGCCCCGTACTCTCGAATAGGAGTCGCTATTCAGCACCCCAGCAAACGCATCTCTCCGCCAATGCTATTGTCCAGAGCGAAAAGAAGGGTTCTGCTTTCTGCTATACTATTACTACTATCGCTGTGTCTACAGTATCATCATTCTGGAATGCTGATTAGGGCGCTGGACGGGCAGTCCCCTGGAATAGCGTGGCATCTGTCCCCTTGGTCTCCTTGGCGCCTCGGATCTCGAGATCGGCACTTGGCAACGAGGGAGACAGATCCGACAACACATGCCCTTCTCCTGCCAGGCTTGGTAGGTATGTAATAGTAAACGGCAACTCACTGTGAGAGCGAGCACAAAGAGCAGAGCAAAGGGACCTGGAAGGAAACGAAGAAACGCGACACCCCAGCCTTGCGTGCGGCGCGGCCGTGGGGCCTCGAGCCTCGAGCCTGGCCCGTGATCTCTGAGCTGCTGCACCGTGCCGCCCTGGTCGCCGACCATTGTCCTCTTTTCTTTTCGTGTTCAGAATCATGTTGCTCCTTATGCGGTTAATAATGCACCAAGAGGCTCTGTGGTGTGAGCCGCTCTGTGTGGATCAGCGACCCTGTCAAGCGCCGCGGCCGAGCAGGACGTGAGACGGGCAGAGGAGGCCTTGTCATCTGGCTATTAGCCGTTTAGCAGGGTGCTCTATGCCAAGGCCAGCTTCAACAGGCGAGCTCAACCTGACGCCCAACCGGCATGACAAAAACACACCGGGGGGGGGGGGGGGGGGGCGAAGTGACTGTGACTGATCGATTGCGACATGGCCGACGCTCTCTTGGCTCTGCCGCCTGCTGTCTTGCTTCCACCTGAGCTTCTGGACGACCGCGGACAGGCCCGCCAGGCGAGCCACATTTCACGTCACAGCAGGCCGCAGTGGCAGCAGCGGCGTGGTGGCACAAGGGCATCATCAGTGGTGATGGGCCCGTACGAATAGTATGTACTACATACGACGATGTTCACGGCAGCACAAGCACAGGAGGTGCTACATACGATACGACTCGGACAAGGTACGATAGCAGTGGGATAAGATGACGGCTGGTAGTAATACATACAGAACCGCTGATGCCGCGGCTCTCCGGGTTGCCATCTGGCCGAGTGTCACAGAGATCTGGGACGTGGAACAGCGGGCACAAGTTGCCGAAAGCTTGCAGCTTGGACACAAGGACGACGCCTTTCGAGCACAGGCCGGCGGCGCATGGCACCTGGTGGACGGCGAGGAGGTGCCGGCTACGGAGTAGCAGAGCTGGCTGGAGCTGCCCTCTCTGCTGTTTGAAACATGTTATTGCCGATATTGGCAGCATACCTACGTAATAAGGCGAGCTTCACATAGACAGTTCTCGTATCACGAGTTTCTGTCTGTATGCACAGTGCAGCCAATGCTTGGAGCTCTTTGATCCCCGGGGGCGCTCGAGAATTGTTGTCCGAAAGGCGAGGAGAGAAATGGGGAGAAAAACAGGCTTGAGGAGGGAAGCCTCGAAAGCGCTGGTGCAAACTATGCAGCCTTGCCAGGCAGCGAGTGGTCGTTGGGATTCTAGTCGATATCATAGCACGAAACGGCCACCGACAAGAACGCGGGGAAGCTCTATTGTTGTCGCTTTCGTCTCAATTGGCGTCTCGGTAGATTCGCGCCTAGCAGTGGCAGCTTGTCGATGCTATGTATTACTACTAGGCCGCGATGCTAAGCAAAAACGACGGCGCGGAGGCGAACATGGCGCGGCACGGGGAAGCATGGCCGTGCAGATCTAGAGGGCTTTTGAAGCCTGTCACGGATCGTCTTGTATGTACAGTATGTCTGTACTGTACAGTGAGCAGGTCTACTACATGTACCTACTAAGGTATACCTAACTGCTGCATTGACTTGTGCTCAGTAGGTATTCGTTATACGAGTAGCTGCAGCCTGTGCTATATAGGTAGTTGTACATGTTCTGCCAAGTAAAGTCGCTCTATGCTGAAAAGTACAATCTTCGAGGCAGATGTCTGGAGGCAACAAAGGGGAATTGATCGATTTTCATTTCAATTTCCTTCGTCGCCGTCGAACCAACGCCATTCTTCGGCGATAGCACGGGAGCACGGAGCTGCGCTGCATCTGGGCACCGTGTCCCTATGGCTGCTCTCGCACGGACGGGCCGGTGCCCATTTGCCCAGCGCCACTAAGCCCTGCTAATACGACTTGCCCTCCAGGGCGGGCTGCTTTTGATTCTCAACTCCTTGGTGGGCAATTGAGGGGCCGCCTCATGTCCCCACAGGCGGATTGACGACGGATTGACCCTTTTGCCCACCAAGAGACGACGGAATCTCCCGCTCCAGAGACAAACGACAAGCGAATGAGAATGACGATTGATCCAGGCAAGTTGCTGCTGCACTCGTTGGTAGCGGTACGTACTTTGTCTTCCATTTCCCTCCGCTACAGCCAGTCGAGATGACGAGTTCCGGCGCGCGAATCCTCGAGCACAGCAGGCGGTCGGCTGAGCCGGTCAAGGTACCGCTGTCTGAAGCTTGCATGTTGCAGCACGGGGGGGGGGGGGGGGGGGGGGGGGCAGGTAAGGTAGGTACATAGGTACATGGACCTCGCTACGCGCATCCTGGCTCCTGCTTCTACCGCCAGACGCCGCAGTTTGGAGGTATCGCTACGATCCTCAAAGGCCAGCTTCCTTTGCAGTAATGTACAACTACCCGATCGGGATAGCACACGCGCTCCATGGGACAAGGGCGTTATTAGATGCGGCGTGTTGTCGCTGTCCGGGCTGCTGTGTACATACATGCATCAGCCCAAACCCTCTGTAACATGGACACACACCACCCCCCTTTATGCGAAGCCCGGCGGCAGCATCGCATCGCCAGTGTTGTGCTCGGCGTCGTTCCGAGGACGAGCTACAGCGAGCTCAAAGTACAGGCTACGCAGACCGGCGTCGCTTCTGCCACGAGACATGCGCTGGTCTTGCCGTTCTGCAGGCCCGCCCACAGTGTGGTGCTGCTCGGCCGCAGAGGTACCTCCACAGCATGCACGCGGGCGGATGCGGGCCTGCTGCCGGCGGGCCAAGTGACGCGACGACTTGAGATTGCGCACTGTGGCGCTCATCCCACTGTGGCAGCCAGCGGCCCGTGCGCTGCCCTCTGTCCGCTCGTACCCCATACCTGCAGGCGGTGCAGGCTGCAAAGTACTCCGTGCGGACCGCGACGACCCTGTGCTTGTTCAACCCTTGCCTCATGCCTAAGGAGACACCCCAGCATCACGCACGCCCCCTCAAGGGAAAAGGCAGTTGTGCACTGTGTCTGTACAGTACGAGGAGGGGGGCACGATGCGACTGCCTGCTGCCAGTGGTGCGCCGACGCCCAACAGCACGTTTGAAGCGAACACTCCACCGCTGGAAACCTTGCAGCCAGCGCGGCGGCCCAGTGCGAGTGCGAGGGCGTCCGTACATGGTACCCCGTGCCTCGGACTATAGCCGTGGCACCCACGGCTCTTGCGAGCAACGAACTCCCAGTACCGCCATGCCTCGCTCCAGCACAAGCTGCCCGGGGGGGGGGGGTTTCTCTTCCACTTCAATTGACGGCCGTATTAATATTACAACCAGCCTATACCCAATCTACCGCGCGCCTCTCCTCTCACCTCTCTGTTTGCGCCCTCGCCTTGAACAACCCTATCCGTCTTGCCTGCTGTTTCCTCTCTTCGCCCCCCTGGGATCGACCAAGCAAAAGTCCGTGTTGCTTCTCCTTCCTTTTTTTCTTCTCTCTCTCGAATCCATCGCTCTGTTGCGCTGTTATTCGACCGAACGAAATCTCGCCTAACCGGATCATATCATCTTCGCCCACCCCCTCTTCCCTCTGTTGTCTTCAGTAGCAGAGGAAGAACGCATCGCCGGCTGCGCACATTGACAACGCGAAGAAGTCTAGCTGGTACGACACGCAGACACGCAGACGCACAGCGCCCATCTTGCGAGTGTTCCGTCCCCAGAGACTGCGGCGATATCATTTCCCTCGCCTTCGACGCTGGCGGAATATCGGACGGCAGGATCGCCCGCTCGCACCTTTTTTTCCCCCCCTCTATCCAACGGAAGCATCATAGCAAGGACGAGAGGTACAACAATTACGCTCGTCTTATTGAACTCTACGGACGATACAAGCAGACGACCATTACCTACCTAGTACCTGACTGGAGTTACTCTCCTGGTCAGCCAGAGCCGCGTCCACCAAACGCCGTGGGAATATCGATACGGGACGCACGCAACGCGACGCCGCCGATTCCCTGTTAGGTGCAGCGTCACCTAACGCCGTCACGATTGCTCCATCAAGACTCCCGTCGCGGGAAACCAACTTCCGCCTCATGGCTATCGACGCCCTCAAAAACCTTGTAAACAACATACCCAGCTGGCAGACGAGGCTCGATGAGCTGAGCAGCCAGGTCGACAAGCGCCAGCTGGAGCTCGCCGCACTCGCCGAGGCAAACAGCACTAAGGAGCCCGAGACCAGGTCGCTGAGGAATAAGGGGTCCACCGAGTCCCTCAAGCCCAAGGACGATGGCCAGATGCACATCTTCTTCACCGAGGATGTACCAGTCCAGCAGCAGCAGCAGCAGCAGGACCTTGCTACCACGACTCCCCCACAGCCCATCGGACAGCGCCGGTCCTCACCGCCGAGTCCGGCTGCCGAGAAGCGGCCCGCGTTCCCCAAGTCTTCAACAGACACCAGCGCGGCATCCAGCAACCGAGCAGCCAAGAAGAGCAGGACAACGTCGATTGCCTCTGCCGACGGCCCCCGCCAGACATATCGCACCAGGAACATGATCATCGTCTACTACGACAGTTACGTGCAGGGCTTCTTCGACGACCTCGTCAGGTTCATCTCGTCAAGTAGGAATCTGATGCGAAAAGCCAAGATGGCGGCAAAGGTGGCCCAGATCAAGAAGCTGGCGGAGATGGATGTGCCCGAGGATGGAAATGCTGAAGGCGACGACAAGGCTACCGAGGCTCTGCCCTCACTACGATATATCAGCAGTCGGCGGTATGGACCTACCGCCATGCGTCTGGGTCACCCCAGCCTCGCTGGCCAGGCGCCTGATGTCTTTGACGAGCTGGACAAGGCACTCGAGTTTGTGCAGAGCACGTGTGAGCACGGCGCCCACCAGTTCCTCAGGGACGCCAAGTGCAACGAAGAGGTGTCCAAGATCCAGCAGCGTATAGGCGAGGTCCTCGAGATGGCCAAGAAGGAGATGGAGCGCATTGAACGCGAGGAGCCCGAGACCATGAACGAGTCGCCAGACCCAAAGCCTCGCACGATGAAGCCCATCACAGTCAGCAGGACATTGGTGCCGCACCACAAGGAGGGTGACGACGTCCACTCGCGGAAGCTCGAGGTGGCCGATTCCACCGCGCCGAGGCTGCCGCCTGCGCTGCACATGGCTGACCGTATCGAGGCGGATCCCAACGCCGGCGACGACGACTTTGATACCGAGGCGCTGCTCGCCAGGATACGCTACACCTCATCACGGCAGATGCGCATGCGGGCTGTCGTAAATTAGGGAATCGGATGATGTCCCCCTTTTTTTTTTTATTTTTCCTTTTCCACGTCTTGTTTGGGATTTTTTCTTTGCATAGCCGACTGTTGCTCGGCGCGGGATCAGGACTTGTCGCACAACTTTCATTTTCTTTTGCCAATGACGGAATGAAAAAAGAAACACTCTTGTTCTTTTCTTGTCTCTTTTTTATTATTAACGATCCTGGTATATGCATGGGAGTTTGGGGAACTATGGGAGGTGCCTTTGCTGCTGCTGCTGCTGCTGCTACTACTACTACTACTATATTCAGCACATGCATTTACTTCACAACACAACAAAGGGGTGTTTCTCGACAGCTTGAAAGCTTGATTGTTTTCGCAAGGGAGTCCATCACAAACGCATATAGCCGCACTATGGGGGTTTTTGGGAAGAGAATTGGGCACAATGGCGTTTCTTTTTCTCTCTGCTTGTCTTCGGAAGGGACATATTTATTCTCACCCTTTTGTTTCCAACATCATTCTCTAGTATTCCCTCTTTTTTTTTTTTTTTTTTTGCTGGACTCACTTATACCTCCTTTAGTGGGAATGCTTTGCCTGATACTGGGTACTTGCTCTGTTCAGTTTATTACCTTACTTCTGATATACCTCGGTAGCTGCCCTGGAGCGGAGAATATGGCATATGAAAATACCTACCTCTTTATTTGATCAAGGACCTGAACAAATATCACTGCTTTGTTTGAGATTTGTCTTGCGTGAGTTTGTATGCTGAATGGCATGGACTTCTGTCCACCTCATCACTTTGGATGCTGTTGTCCATCTACTTACCTCGAGGAGGTATCTGATGTCGGGTCACTTGTGTACCTATATTAGGTGGGCTGCTTCCCGCGAAGATAATCACGGTACATCCCCTCTGCAGTTACTGGAAGGCCTACTGTATTGTACAAGCTAGAGTGTCAAGCCAACCTGTATCAATAGCGAATTTAGCCATTATTTGACCTGATAATGTGTTAATGAGTAGCTCTGGGCTCTGAATCGAATCAGCAGGATGTCTCTGAACGCCTTCATCTGAAGTTGGTTGCCCTGATATCCGGCTAGCCTCCGTCGTCGTTAGTGGTGTTTAGTGGAGGAACAAGGCGCTAAACCCGCCCACACTGCGGCACTGCCTGGGCTACCTTAGGCTACAGGTCCACGGGTAGCATTGCGGTCCAGTGACGTCCCTCCGCCTTGCTCCAGCTCCTGCAGCTATCCAACCTCTCGAGACAACGAGAACCTCTGTGAACTCCAACCTCAAATCTCTCTCCATACGCACGACCAGCGACCGACGACAGCATCCAGCAATCACAGACATCGTCTCTGCCGCCTTGATTGTTCGGCCGATGTCAAAATGACGGCGATTTCCTCCCTGGCCAAACGATAGACGCCACACATCCCACAGTCCCCCCTCCTTTCGCCGCCGTCTGGACCCTTGGGCTACGACAATTTCGTGTGTCGCCGATCGAGGGACCAAGGACTACCTCTTCCCCCTTTGCTGGCTCGCGTTTGCTTGTTCTGTTCTCCCTTGTCTGAACAGAAGCCATGGGCCAAGGATTCTCTCTCGCCACGCCGTCGGCCGGCGCGGCGGGCATAGACATTGCGCAGCTGCAGGACATCCAGTACGAAAAGAGCATCGGCAATGCGCGCTTCATGAAGAGCATCCGCGGCAGGCACGAGCACGGCGTGGTGCTGGTCAAGGTGCTCGTGAAGCCCTACACCGAGGTGAAGCTGGACAAGTACAAGAAGAAGATAATAGGTGAGCTTTCCCGGCGCGTAGGCTGAAGCAAGAAGGTAGGCAGCGTGTTTGCGTGCCTGGGTACGTCTTGTCTAACCCGTGGGTTGTGCGAAACTAGAGCAGCGCAAGGCACTGGCAGGCGTGCCAAACGCCCTGGGCTTCCAGCGCATCATCGAGACCGAGACGAACGGATACCTGGTGCGCCAGTTCATGTACAGCTCGCTGTACGACCGCATGAGCACGCGGCCCTTCCTCGAGGACATTGAGAAGAAGTGGCTGGCCTTCCAGCTGCTCTGCGCCCTGCGCGACTGCCACGCCCGCGACGTCTACCACGGCGACATCAAGGCCCAGAACGTCCTCGTCACCTCGTGGAACTGGCTCTACCTGACCGACTTCTCCTCCGCCTACAAGCCCGTCATGCTGCCCGACGACAACCCGGGCGACTTCTCCTACTTCTTCGACTCGTCCGGCCGCCGCACGTGCTACATCGCCCCCGAGCGCTTCTACTCGTCTGCCGAGCCCCCGCCGCAGAAGCCCAAGATGACGTGGGCCATGGACATCTTCAGCGCCGGGTGCGTCATCGCGCAGCTGTTCCTCGAGTCGGAAATCTTTAGCCTTGCCCAGCTGTACAAGTACCGTCGCGGCGAGTACGATCCCGTCATTACCCACCTGAGCGTCATCTCGGACAAGGACGTCCGCGACATGATTGCGCACATGATCCAGCTCGATCCCGAGAGGCGATACTCGGCGGAGCAGTATCTCGACTTCTGGAAGGACAAGGTGTTCCCTGGCTACTTTTACAGCTTCCTGCATCAGTATATGGAGGTGATTACGGATCCGTCGTCTGGGAACGGGCCCATCTCCGGCGCCGAGAGGAACTTGGGGGAGTCGGATAACCGCATCGACAGGATCTTCAACGACTTTGACAAGATTTCCTACTTTTTGGGGTATCAAACGGAAAAGCAGACGGTGGAGCCGATCATACCAAAGTCGAGGCTTGGCCTGGATCATTTCCCTGTGCGACTGAGCATCCCGAGCCACGAACATGCCGTCTCTGCGGATCTCGAGCCGCCAGAAGACGACGGGACGCTGATCTTCTTGACGCTGGTTGTCTCGGCCATGAGGACGACGGCCCGGGCAGCTTCGAGGATCAGGGCGTGCGACTTGCTGTTGGCGTTTGCCGAGAGGCTCACGGACGAGGCAAAGCTGGACAGGGTGCTGCCGTATCTGATGACGCTGCTGCGCAAGGAGGAGACGGACATGGTCCTCGTGACTGTGATTCGCGCCGTCACTCAGCTGTTGCAGCTCGTACGGATGACGACGCCCATTAATTCCCATGTGCTGGTGGAATACGTCTTGCCCCGAATGGAGATTGCTCTCGGGACAAAGTCGTGGACGCCCAACCCGCTTGTGCGGGCGACATATGCCTCTTGCATAGGCAGCCTAGCTACTACCGCTCAACGGTTCCTGGAAATGGCATCTAGCCTTCGAGCGGATGGATCGATGCCCATCACTGATCCCGAGGTTGAACCCGGAACGGACGGTGCTGCCGCCAACTTTGAGAGCATGTTTGACAACGCGAACAGGCAGCTCTTTGAGATTCTGGAGAGCCACACGAAGCAGCTTGTCGAAGACCCGGATGTCCACGTTCGACGAGCGTTTCTGACGTCGGTGCCGGAACTGTGCATGTATTTCCAGGAGAATTCTAACGACATTCTTCTCACGCACTTGATCACGTATCTGAACGATAGGGACTGGATGCTGAAGAGTGCCTTTCTGGACACCATTGTGGGCATTGGAGCGTTCATAGGCGGTACGAGTCTCGAAGAGTTTATTCTCCCTCTTATGATCCAAGCCCTGGCGGATCCGGAGGAGACGGTGGTGCGTTCGGCTCTGCACTCGCTGGCTCAACTGGCAGGCCTGGGACTGCTGTCTAGGCCAAAGATCTGGGAGTTGGCGGACCTGATAGGGCGGTTGACGATGCACCCGAATATGTGGATTAGGGAATCTTCAGCAGAGTTCCTATCCATGGCCGCCAAGTTCTTGTCCAAGGCCGATGTCCAGTGCATTTTGCTGCCACTGGCCAGGCCATACCTCAAGATACAGCATCTTTCAGACTTTTCCGAGCTCAAGCTGCTCGATTCCTTGAAGCGGCCACTTCCTCGGGCCGTCTTTGACCAAGCGCTGACTTGGGCAGCCAAGACGGACAAGGGCGTCTTCTGGAAGTCAATTCTAGGCAAGCGAATGTCGTCAAGCCAGGGAGCGCTTACATCGGCCGCTCTGATACCCTCATCGACCAGTAAGATTAGCCGCAACGAAGAGGACGAGCAGTGGCTCGAGAAGCTGAGGAACTTTGGACTCAAGCCTGAGGACGAGATGAAGTTCTTGGCCTTGTGCGAGTACATTGCGCGACTCAGCACCAGCAAGGCGCGGGACGCTGTCGTTGTGGTTTCGCCCGCCCCTGAAGAAGAGAACATGCCCACCGGCTTTGTTCAGCTGAAGGAGCTGGGCGTGACTATCCAGACGGTGTTCTTTGACGACACGCCCCTGAAGGACCCCTCTGCCGTAATGCCAAACTTGGACCCTACGCCGCCCGTGTCAGGGCCGTATACCATTGCCGATGCGTTGCTGGACGCTTCCATGACGATAGACGATACGCTCGCCAAGAAGAAGCGCGCCGCTCTCCCCTCGCACAAACGGGTGCATAGCATCGGCCCCCTGCCTTCCCGCAGCACGGGACGCCTGCTGTCCCCCACTGGGAGCGACAGGGCTAGCTCGATCGATTCTCGGGCCCTGAATTCTCCCCTGGGACCTGGAGACGACGCCGCCTCGTATTCTTCACGTAGAGGCATACGGCACCAATCGAGCGCTCTCAGCCTATTGGACCGCAGAGATGGCCACAAGTCTATTCCGGAAATTGGGACTAGCGATGCCAATGCGTTTGGAGAAGTGGAAGGGCCCTTTACGCAGACGTTGCCTGCGCAGGCCGTTTCTAGGCCGGCCACGGAAGGTGGCGATACGGCCCGTCAGAGGCAGGTGAGGCACAGCTACGAAGGAACGGATCCCCATGTCAGGCGCATGCTTGACAACATGTATGTCGAAAACTTCCCTCGCGATGTGCTGGAGTTTGGGCCCATGGTTCAGCCCATCTCTGGAGACAAGAGCAGATCGGTCAATGTCCCGGGCGCGGATCCTCCGTGGAAGCCCAAAGGCAATCTCGTGGCGACGTTTGCGGAACACCGGGGGCCCATCAACCGTGTCATTGCGTCTCCTGACCACGTCTTCTTCATCACGGGCGGCAACGACGGGACGGTCAAGGTGTGGGATACGCAGCGGCTCGAGCGGAACATTACGAACCGATCTCGACAGACGTACAAGCATGGTGATGGTGCTCGCGTCGTTGCCCTTTGTTTTGTCGAAAACTCGCACTGCTTCGTCAGCTGTGCGTCCGATGGCAGCGTTCACGTCGTCAAGGTCGATACGGTTCCCTCGAGTGGCATCATTCGATATACAAAGCTGCGGGTGTTGCGGGAATACCAGCTCCCTGAAGGCGAATACGCAGTGTGGTGTGAGCATTTCAAGCAAGAGCAAAGCTCCATTCTCGTCATCGCCACCAACCTATCGAGGATTCTTGCCATGGACTTGAGGACCATGGCGCTGCTTTACGTGCTGGAGAACCCCGTCCATCATGGGACGCCTACCTGTTTTTGCGTCGACAAGAAGAGGAACTGGCTGTGCGTGGGGACTTCCCATGGGGTTGTCGACTTGTGGGATCTCCGGTTCAAGATGAGACTGAAAGGATGGGGCGTACCTGGGAAAGGGTCGATATACCGGCTCTGCGTACACCCCACCAAGGGTAGAGGGAAATGGATCTGTGTGGCCGGAGGAACCGGGCAAGGCGAGGTTACGGTATGGGACTTGGAGAAGACGACGTGCAGGGAGATTTACCGAACGGGCGGCAGTAAGGATGGCCCGAAGGGATACACTGCGTGGGAAGTCGACGAAGACAAGCCCGAAGGGATGCTGGGCCGGTTTGCGACCAATCTCGAGATGAGTGACGTGGCAAATGCTGATCGAGGCGTCCGAGGCATGGTCGTGGGCACGGGGACATCGGAGGAGTCTCGCGAAGTCCGGCATGCGTTTATGCTCACGGGAGGATCCGACAAGCGGCTCCGGTTCTGGGATATTTCTCGGATCGAAAACTCTTGCATCTACAGCGGCCTCCAGCCGGACGAGCAGGCGCCAACCTATGCCAGCTCGCACCCGACGACGTCGACCACGCTGAACACGGAGCGCTTCGCAAGGAACGCGGCGTCTGCGCCGAATGCGGGGACCGGCTCGAGGCAAAAGGCGCCGAGGTCGACGGTGATTTCGATGCAGCAGCAGCAGCTGCTCAAGTCGCACCTGGATCTGATTATGGACGTGGCGATTCTGGAGTATCCGTATTCGATGAGCGTGTCTGTAGACCGGTCTGGGGTGGTGTATGTGTTTCAATAGACAAGTTTGCTTGGTGCTTGGTGCTTGGAAATGAGCTTTGGGTTGGTTCCATGGTTAAAAGGAGGGAATTGCTTTTTATTTTATCTTTGGGTGGTGTCAAATGATTGCATTTAAACATGAGGTAGGTTGAGCTTTGAGTGTTGTGTTGCTTTACAGAGGTAGATGGATGACAATGGGGGGTTATCGGCCTCGCCGGCTTTGCAGCATCTGTAGCCTGTTCATTTTGCTCAACTGAACGACTAATGAAGATCCCAATGCTCTTAATAAAATGTGATACTTTGTTTGTGCCTGGTTAAATTGTTTGGTTCTTGTACGTAGATAAGGTAGTGCTGTGAATGTTGTAGATGCTTCATCTAAAGGTACGGAGGAGAGCTCGGGGTGGTGAGGTCAAAGTGTGGCGCTAGCTACGTGTGGCGTCACCAGAAAAAGTGTGGCGCCTGAAATTTCCACGCCTTGTCCCAATCATTTCAGCCTTGCCCATTCACTCTCGAAGTTGGCATGCGACATCATCTTTCCTCTCCTCGACCGATTCTTCCCCATTCCTCTTTGCAGCGTTCTCACGTGCTTTTGGCCTCAAAGATTCGTACCGTCAATGATGAACCCTCTAGTTTGATCCTTGTGATAGACTGGTCAATTGTTACGGACAAGTCGTACCCAATCATTGCAGCAACGAGAAGCATCGAACTCGAACTCGAAACTCGAAACTCGAACGAAGCGAAGCGAAGCAACGTGCCTTTGGGCGATTTCATCCCCGACAACAACTTCTCTTCCCAGCAATCGCGTTTTCGCAGATAGGGTGTTAGGATGCGGCTTACGGCCGAGCTGATTCGGGATTCATTGTCCTATTTGAATCCCTTGAAGGAGAGAGAGCTCGACCTCCGAGGTGCGTTTTTGATGAACCCTTTTCCCCTTGCGTTTTCTCGTTCAAATCAGCCTCCCCATTGAAGGAAAGATTTGGGAGGGAAGAAATGGGGGGGGGGGGGAAGGTGGAAAGGGAAAGATTGAAAAGAGCAGATGCTACACCTCTTCTTCGTCTTGGCTCCTTTTCGGTTTCTTCTTTTGACCCTCTCTTTTTCCTTTCCTTCCCTTCCCTTCTTATCGCTTTTGAGGGTTTGAGAGCTTGAGATTTGCTTTGTGATGGCTTTTAAAGAAGGAATATTTGATACATTGGAAGCCCTCTCTTGTCGATGGCGGCGCAATGAACAGGACACCGAATTCCTGCCATTGAAAACCTGGGTGTCGCTGGCGTGAGTCTTCTCCTACCCTCCCCCTCCCTATCCCATCTTCTTGTCTTCTTCTCTTGCTGACACAGTCTGGTGCTCTGCTCCGTTCCCAACAGCCCCACGATGCCATCGACTTCACCGACAACGACATCCAAGTCCTGGGCAATTTCCCTCTGTCCCCCCGCATAACGACGCTCCTGCTCGCGCGCAACCGCGTCGCGAGCATCCAGCCCACGCTGGCCTCCGCCGTGCCGAACCTGCGCAATCTGGTCCTGGCGTCGAACAACCTCGTCGAGCTGGCGGACGTGGATGCGCTGGGTGGGCTGGGGCGGTTGACGCACTTGGTGCTGGCTGATAATCCCGTTACGAAGAAGGAGGTGCGTGTTTTCGATTCTGCTGCCGTCTACAGAGCTTTTCTTGAGCTTTCTTTGGCGGTGGCTTTGCTCTGGCGGCTTGAGATTGAGTGATTCGGACTGACCTGTGTGTGTGTGAAGCATTACCGATATTGGGTCATCTGGCGGTGTCCTTCTGTCCGGTTCCTGGACTACGAAAAGGTCAAGCAGGCGGAGCGGGACAAGGCCCGGGAGCTGTTTGGCACAGAAGAAGAGCCCACGGCTCTGGCCACATCGGTACCTACCTACCTACCTATCCATACATCATCACCTTCCATCCCCCCCCACGCGTGAATGCTACAAAGTGTGTTGTATACTAACCGTTGAACGTGCGTGCTGCAGATCATGGGCAAAAAGTCAAAGGTCGACGTCACAGCCAACGGCTCGTCGGCCGCGCCGTCGAAGCTCTCGCGGATAAAGCTCACCGACGCGGAAAAGCAGCGGCTGCAGGAGCGGATCAAGAAGGCGACGAGCCTGCAGGAGATTATCGCGCTGGAGAAGGAGCTCAACGAGGGGAGGTTACCGTCCGGGGTGTATGGCGATGCGATGGAGGAGTGAAGGAGATGATTTGCCTTGTTGGGATGGTTTCCGTTTTTTATACTCTAGTTTTTTTTCTGGCACAGGAATGTTTTAGTTTACTGGTCGTTTGATTTTCTACCGGCTGCTTTTAGAATGGCCGGCCTCTTTTGATGAAGAGAGATGAGAGGTTGGGTTGGTTTACGCGGCCATATCTGTCTGTACATTGTGTGGTAGATCAAAAGGAATCGCCATGAATTGCAACATCTCTCTCAAGCTATGGGGGAAAAAACATGAAAAATAAGAACAAATGCAGTTGTGAAAACCTCCCCAAAAAAGCAAAGCTATAGATAACCATCATCCAGCATCATCCCCGACAACGACGCGAACGCCGACGCACCGCGAGCTTCTAACCCGTCATGTCCACATCCGCATCATCATCCTCCGGCTGCGCCGCCTGCCTCATCTCCAGCTCAAGCTGATCACTAGGATCGTCCGTCCTGTTACCATTCCCACTGACGCCGTTGCCCTGCGCGCTCTCACCACCATGCGTCTTGCTGCTGGTGTTGTTGTCCTTTTCCTCGTTGCGGAGGGACAGGGTGAAGGGGTTGGTGCCGGCCTTTGCCTGGCCGTTGACCGCCTTGGCAGCGGCAGACTTGCTCTTTGATGATGCGGTGCCGTTTGTCGAGGCGGAGGCAGACTCGGGGAGGAGCTCGCCGCGGAGGCGGGCCTGGTTGATGGCTTTTGCCTTTTTGAAGGGGATTGTTTTGGGGGCGACGTCTTCGAGGAATTCGAGGTGGTCGCGGTGAGAGATTGCGTTGGCTTTAGGTGGTGCAATGGTGAGAATAGGTTGAGTTGAGTGAGTTGAGTTGAGTGAGAGAGAGAGGTGATTGTGTGTGGCGTATAGGTAGGAAAGGAGGATGAGGAGGAGGAAGAAAGAGACAGGGGGGGCAAAGAGAGTGACTTACCGACGTCTTTGTATTGGATGTTGCGACGGGGTTTGCGTTCGAGCTTTGCTTGGGTGTGGGCTTCTTCGGTGAGGTGCTGGATGAACATTTCCTGCAGTTGATGTATGAGTTTTTGAGACCGCCCGGTGGAAGAAGAAGAGAAAGGGAGAGAAAGCTAAAAGTGAAGGACGTACGGCAGCGAGGGTGATGACAAAGGCGGCGTTGTTAGAGCACATCTGGACGTCTGGATCCTGGCTGATGATTTTCTTGACTCTTGATACTTGGGGAGGCAGTCAGCTTTTTTTTTTGTGTTCTTTTGAGGATGTAGGGCGAGGAGAATGTGAAAAAAACCTACATGGAAGCTGAGTCTGGCCGGTAGGCTCCTTTCGAGGAGGAATTGCGTTGGTGTTGTAGGGCATTGTTACGATATATTAAAGGTCCGATGGATGAGAGACGGTTTAAGGGGGTTGAGGTGAGGGCTTGCTGGGTGAGCTGGTGGTGGATGTTGGGTGAGTGAAAGAAGATCTGTGATGACGCGCTTGAGGTTGTGAGAGAGATGCAGGAGAATCGCGGGCTCCTGGCGTTGGTGCTTGGGCTTTGGCGGGGGATTCAAGGTTTTCTTGCGGGTTGAGTTGCTCGTGTTTGATGGCCTGAGCAAGGAGAACGAGGAGGGATGTGAGCTGCGCTGAAGAAGGAGTCGGAACTGGTGGGAGTTGGTTCGGGTTCGAGGTCGAGGGTTAGGGGCGGTTTGTAGGAGAAACTTTGGAGGAATGAGGTGGGCTCAAGGCATCATTAGGTAAGTCAGCAAGCTGGATGCTGGCAAGCAGCTGTATAAGTTGGGGGGTTCAAACAGCTGATGGAGGTCTATAGATGCTCAGTCTAGATGGACGTGTCACTATTGTTGAGATGGGCTAAAGTGAATTTCGGGAAGAGAAGCTGGGTCAAAAGGTGAGTGTCCCTTGGATACATGTAGGAATCTCGTGGTTCTGGTCTTATAGCTTCAGGTCCCTTAGTAGACATGAGCACTGCAGAGCCTCGGGTGAGACGCGACGCCCTGACGCGACTTGTTCAGCGATGCGCCTGGGCTGCTGCACCCACTAGAGCGGCGGCCTCTAGTGGACGGTGCCCCCCAAGCTGTAGCGCATCCATATGCACTAGGACGGGGCCAACAGGCCTGCACAGGAGATCTGCACGGAATGCCTCCATGGGTGCTGCTTATCTTATCTGCCGAGCATTGTCCATCCAGTCGCAGTAATACTTGACTCGAAGGTCACTGTGGCAGCTGATGTCGACTTGGTTATAGCTTCGTTTGCGACAACTGCAACAACACCCTCTGCTTCGAGTGAACCTACCTATACACAAGGCCGACGAGCGCATCACTACCGCGCTCGCAATTGCCCCTAAATAGAAGAAACCGCATTCAGCACCATCAAGTCGCATCACATCCAATAAAGGCGCATCCGGGTCGCATTCGCATCCAACAGTCGCACGCACGCACGCACGCAGACCCGGGCGGCCACCCCCATCGCCATGCTGCGCAGGTCGGCGCCATGAACTCGACAACCACTTCCATGGCTGCCCTCAGCCCGTCCATCTCGCGGCGCCCGTCCATCAGCTCGCGCGTCTCCTTTGCCGTGTCCCACGCAGAGCAGGGCGAGGCCGCGGGCCAGGCGCCGAGAGAGGGCCAGATCGAGGAGGAGATTGCCGAAATCAAGCGATATGAGGTGAGCGAGTGTGTGCTTTGCCATGGCCTATTGTATGCACTGATGAGGCTGACGGTTTGCATCGCAGGACTTTACAACGATAGGTGAGAGCGGCTAGGCTTTTGTTTCTGACTCTGGGGATCCCACATCCAAACGTCACCACTGCAATAGAGTACGAACCGGGCTGACGCTCAACGGGACAGACTGGGTACAAGATGCTGCGCGGGAACAGGCACGGCGCAAAGCTCGCAGGAAGCGCACGGCAGGCGTCTACAGGCTCGGCCAGCCCGGCTGGAGATACCGGCTGTGGGAGTCGTACGACGCCGCGCAGGGATGGATCGTCGTCACCATCATCGGCGCGGCCATTGGCCTGAATGCGGCGTTTCTCAACATTGTGACGGAGTGGCTGGCCGATATCAAGACGGGCCATTGCACGACGGCCTTTTATCTGAATGAAAAGTTCTGCTGCTGGGGAGAGGACAATGGTATGCCTATGCTGCCCCCCCCTCGATGGAGAGAGAGCATCTGGAGGGCTGTCACTGACTGTTGTTTGCTAGGCTGCGAGCAATGGCATCGCTGGACAGGCTTTGGGCCCCTCAACTACTTTATCTACTTTGTATTTGCGGTATGCACATGCTTATTGTTCTTGCCGTCATTGAATCATTCTAACTCAGCGATAGACCTTGTTCGCTTGCGTATCGGCGACGCTCGTCAAGTCGTATGCGCCATATGCAGCCGGTTCTGGCATATCGGAGATCAAGTGCATCATTGCCGGCTTCGTCATGAAGGGCTTCCTCGGCTTCTGGACTCTGCTGATCAAGTCCATCTGCCTGCCCCTGGCCATTGCCTCCGGCTTGTCCGTCGGAAAAGAAGGCCCCAGCGTCCACTACGCCGTCTGCACCGGCAACGTCATCTCGAGGCTGTTTGACAAGTACAGGAGGAATGCGGGCAAGACGCGCGAGATCCTCAGTGCCTGCGCCGCCGCGGGTGTCGCCGTCGCCTTTGGAAGCCCCATCGGAGGCGTGCTCTTCTCGCTCGAGGAAATGTCGAGCTACTTTCCGCTCAAGACCATGTGGCGCAGCTATTTCTGCGCCCTGGTGGCCACGGCGGTTCTCTCGACGATGAATCCTTTCCGCACGGGGCAGCTGGTCATGTTCCAGGTCAAGTACGATCGAGACTGGCACTTTTTCGAAATCGTCTTCTACATCATCATCGGCATCTTTGGCGGCCTGTACGGCGCCTTTGTCATGAAGTGGAATCTTCGAGCGCAGGCGTTCCGCAAGAAGTACCTGACAAAGTACGCAGTGCTGGAAGCGACGCTCCTCGCGGCTGGGACCGCCATCATCGCCTATCCCAACGCCTTTCTGAGGATTGACATGACGGAGAGCATGGAGATACTATTTCTCGAGTGCGAGGGGGCAGAGAACTACCATGGGCTGTGCGACAAGGACAAGAGGGCGTGGAACCTCGTGTCGCTCATTCTCGCGACGGTGCTGCGCGTGTTCCTCGTCATCATCTCCTACGGCTGCAAGGTGCCCGCCGGCATCTTTGTGCCCTCCATGGCCATTGGCGCCTCGTTTGGGCGAACCGTCGGCATCATCGTCCAGGCCATACACGAGGCAAACCCGAGCAGCGTCTTCTTCTCCGCCTGCAAACCGGACGAGCCGTGCATCACCCCGGGCACGTACGCCTTCCTCGGCGCGGCGGCAGCCCTGAGCGGCATCATGCACCTCACCCTGACCGTCGTCGTCATCATGTTTGAGCTTACCGGGGCGCTGACGTACATTTTGCCCACCATGATTGTCGTTGGCGTGACCAAAATGGTCAGCGAAATGTTTGGCAAGGGTGGCATCGCCGACCGCATGATTTGGTTCAACGGATTTCCCTTCATCGACAGCAAGGAAGACCACAACTACGGCGTGCCGGTCTCTCACGTCATGCGGAGCTCCGTCGTGTCCCTCCCTGTGAGCGGGCTGACGCTTGCCGACGTCGAGCAGCTGCTGGCCGAGACCAAGTACCAGGGGTTCCCCATTGTGCTGGACGGCAGCTCCAAGACGCTGGTGGGATACATTGGCCGGACGGAGCTGCGGTATGCCGTGGACCGGGCGAAGCGCGAGCGGCCGGTGTCTCCGGATGCAAAGTGCTTCTTCTCGCCCCTTCCGACAACGAACCATGCGCCCATCACGCCCATCACGCCCAACTTTCGCGCAGACGTGACTGCCTCGTCGCCCCTGGACTTTAGTCGCTATGTCGACGCCACGCCCGTGACGGTGCATCCTCGGCTGCCGCTGGAGACGGTCATGGAGCTGTTCCAGAAGATTGGGCCCCGCGTCATCCTGATTGAGTACCACGGCAAGCTCTCCGGCCTGGTGACGGTCAAGGACTGCCTCAAGTACCAGTTCAAGGTGGAGGCGGCCGAGAACCCGAAAGACGACCACCACATCACCGAGGGGCAAGAGCATCTCTGGAGCGCGCTCCGCAGGGTGGGCTTCTGGGTGTCGAACTCGGTGTCGACGGTTTCGCGGGGTCATATCCGGCTCAGCGGGCAGTTTGACGAGGAGCGGCGGGCGGCGAGGCGCAGGGAGGGTATCCTGGATGGGGATGAGGACGGGGTTGATGAGGGGGTTGAGTTGGAAAGGAGATAGAGCACTGTTTTTCAGCATTTGCATAGAGCGGCGCTATATAACAAGTCAGTTCTTTGTTTTGCCTTTTTGCTTTGGTTTGTGTGTTCTTTGCTTGTGTTTGATAATTCTAGATAAAGTGGTATGATACGTGCTATATCATGCTGTTGCTTCTGATCGTCATGATGCCCGCACCCTCAGCTACGCAGCTCGCCCAAATCAGGAACATCCTCATCGCGATACCTCTCCCCAACATCCAAATCCTCATCCAATTCAAGCACGCCGCCGCCGCCACTGACAGGCACAGGAGGAACAGCGTAGTCCTCCGCCGCCGCTACCCATCCGCTTCTTCCATCCTCGCCCTCGCCTTCGCCGTCGCCCTCATCCTTGCGGCCAGCAATGACGCTGCCGGCAACGAGGAGCGATGCGCCGGCCCACCACATCGGGGGCAGGGCCTCGGAGAAGATGACGAGGCCTGTGAAGGCGGTGACGAGGAAGTTTGTGGACGTGTTCATGATGGAGACTTGGGTTGCGGATTTTCCTCTTGCGAGGGCTGTTGTGAAGAGGGACCACATCTGTTTGGTTGGTTTTCCTCATCAGTATGGCTGGGATGGAGAAGGGGGGTTGTGAATGAGATTGGGGAGGGGGGCTTACGATGCCGTTGAAGGTGAGGTTGAGGATGAAGAAGATCTGGTTTTGGTATTTTGGTTAGTTTTTTTTTTTTTTGAAGGGTTGGTTAGGAGCTGATTGTAGGGGAAAGAAGAAGGAGGGGGGGACTTGCGGTGCGGATGATGATTTCGACAATGGAGGAGTGGGATTGGAGGGCGATGGCTTTGGCGATGGCGGTTGATAGCTTTGATGTGAGCTCTGTGGTGGTTCTGTATGAGTGCCGTCTGGGTCAGTAACTGATGTGTACAGCCACACTTTTATCCTTTCATCTTTGATGAGATTGATGATGATGTGGCATGAGAGTGGTATACACCAAGTATAAATACATATATGTATAGACCACTCCTCATTGATTATAAGGCGAGATTGAGAATGGGAGCAAAACGTACAGCTTGGCAAACACGCCGTTAAACGCCGCACAAGCACCGCTCGCCACGGCAAAGAACATCCAATGCTGCCTCCACGAGGGCCCGATCGGAGCGTCCATCTCGGGTTTGGTGTTGTTTTTCGAGGCAGCAGATGAAGAGGGAATGGCAGTGGTGGAAGAGGAGGATTGCTGATGAGGCTGGGCTTGGGAGTCCGGAGAGGTCGGCTTGGTGGCCCGCCGTTTGCGCGCGTCCATTGTGAGTGAGTGAGTGGGAGTATTAGGTATTAGAGGTGTGTTACTGGATTGGGAAAGTTGGCCGTTTTTGGGCGGTGTTTTTTTGGATGGGATTGGGTTTGTTGCTGTGATGGGAAAGGAGGGGACAAAGTGTCAGAGCAAGAAGAGAGAGAGTGACTGCTGAAGTTTCAAAGGGCCAATTGCTTGTTTTGTGTGAGAGAGGTTGAGAATAGGAGGTAGGTAGTAGTGATGCTGAATTCCAATGCCTTGGCTGAGGACATGCTGGAGCAATGAAGGGGTGTGTCCGCTATGCCTAGGGTACATGTACCTACATGTACTGGGCTTCCACCGCCACAGTAGCGCGCTCTGCTGTGGCTCCAGGGCACCTACTAAGGGGAACAGACCCGTCACAAGGGCATCACATGCGGTCAAGTCCATATTACGCGTGTGTCGAGAACAAAGACGTGATTCCCATGTGCATTATCGCCTCGTCTATCCCATCTGTGGCTCAAAAGGCCCAATTGACAATATCTGATGTCGGTATAAAATGAAGATCAAGCACCAGGCCTTGTTCGTGTAGCCGTAATCCCAAAACGCCGTGAATCGCCCCGTTCCGTTGCCGATATTGATGCTTGTTTGCCCCTCTCCCCCTCCCTCCCCGTCTTCCATTCTTGCTTGATATCCCCTCAATGTCCAGTGATAAAGAAACCCAAACTCCAAATCAATCAATCAAAGACAGCCCTCTTGCCGCGCTCTACTGTCCCTCGCCCGGTCTCTTTGCATTGCAGCTAACAATCTTGACCTTGTCCGCCTGCACAGAGACGCTGCCGTTGTCCATCTTGAACGTGACGTTTTTGATGAGGAACGTCCATACTTCGTCGCAGAATCGATATGTATCCAGGCTTCCCTGCAGATTCACACCACTCGTCAGCCCCTCTTGCATCTCCAACTCACACATACAGTCGGTCGAGAGTCGTTACCTTGAACTGGAGCCGGCTCTTGACATTCTTCTGCAGCGCCTCGGTGATGGCCTGGTCAAAGTTGCTCAGGATCTTCATGGCCAGCTGCGGGTGGATGCGCTCCTCGCTGATGAGATCGTCCAGCGTGTCCGTCAGGGCGAGGCCGATGCTGCGCGCGCGCACGAGGTTAGCGACCAGACACGGGGCGTCTTATGTTGCCAGCAGCCAGCAGCGACATAAGTCGTGGCTTTGGGGGGAGGGGCGCAGTTTACCTGCTCCTGCGGTAGAGCTCGTAGAAGGACTGCGCGCCGCTTGCCATGGTGAAGCAGCGTATCGAGGTAGGGCGACGGTTCTTTGGCGGCGATTTGGTGTTGAGAAAGTAGAGGCTCCAGGAAGTGATGATGTTTGGGGAGAGCCTTGACTGCTGACAGATGAATGGGTAGAGGTGATGTTACAGGCAGCCTTGACGCTAAGCCACCTGCAGCCTCCAGCGCAGTGACCGTAGCGACTCCAGTGCTGGACACATTCAGTAACGGCGCTATATTAACAGTGACCTGGAGTGTAAATCAGCCTCCGAAGGGCGATGACTCAGCAGCAAAGGGGAGGGATGCTCGTCATGTGACGTCGGCCACTGTCGCGCCTCTATGCTCCGAGAGCGAGAGCTCAACCACCTGTAAAGCCAAAGCCAAGAGACAACCTCTGGAAAGCTTCCCGCTCAGCAAACAGAGACGACGAACGACGAGCCGCCAGCGCTGATCTGCTGCTTCGACCACCGGCTTATACAGGAGAAGAACCAGCATTCGAGCAGACACAATGAGTCTCAAGTACGGCGTCGGAGGAATCGGGTCGTTTCTGACCGTCGTGGGAGCTTGTATGTGTTTCAACCTACCGTCATCTTGGCCCATCACCACCTTTTGTCGTCATCGGCATCACCATGGCCAACTTGCTCGACCATGCGACTTCACTCCCATGCCACAAACTTGCAATAGCACCTACATGATGCATCTACTCAGATGAACACTGACATCTCTCCGCAGACATGCTCTTCACCGGCAGCGGCGAGTCCTTCAACGTCGGCGCCTTCCTCGAGTCCGTCTCGCCATACGCCTGGGCCAGTCTCGGCATTTCCCTCTGCATCGGCCTGTCCGTCGTCGGCGCCGCCTGGGGCATCTTCATCACGGGCTCGTCCATCCTCGGCGCCGGCGTCCGCGCCCCGCGCATCCGCACCAAGAACCTCATCTCCATCATCTTCTGCGAGGTCGTCGCCATCTACGGCGTCATCATGGCCATTGTCTTCTCTTCAAAGGTCGACTCCGTGCGCGGCGCCGAGCTGTTCTCCGCGGACACGTACTTTACGGGCTATGCCCTCTTCTGGGCCGGGTTGACGGTCGGCGCGTGTAATCTCGTCTGCGGCGTGGCGGTGGGCATCAATGGGAGTGGTGCGGCGTTGGCTGATGCGGCGGATGCGTCTCTGTAGGTGGATTTCTTTGCGGGCCGTTGGCTGGGATATCCGTTGTTTTTTTCTTGGGGGTGCTGTGTGCTAACCAAGTTGTGTTGATGCGCAGGTTCGTCAAGATTCTCGTCATTGAGATTTTCAGCTCCGTCCTGGGTCTCTTTGGTCTCATTGTCGGCCTCCTGGTCTCTGAAAAGGCACCTGCTTTTGGCGCCAAGTCTTCTTGAGCACTCGAACACGCACACAAGAGGGACTTTTCGAAAAGGCACTCAAGATTCGCAGTCCTGTATCGCCTCCCCGCCTCCCTGTTTGTCCCTCCCCCTCCACCTTGTGATGGGAAGAAATTGAAACCGACATATGCATTGCAACGATAATTTTGGTTGGGCGTTTGGAAGATTGGGCTGTAGACGATGTTTATTCTATTTTCATCTTTTCTTCTTCTTTGTTCCTCCAGTCTGAAGCTGTATGACTAGCCCCCGTGTACACTAGCCAGAGAAGCAGCTGCTGATGCTCTAATGGAAAGCATCTTCTTTATTCAGGAGGCATGGCTGGCTTTGAGACACAAAGTATCAATGAGACCACCTCCAGTTACCCCTTCCCCCTTTACGGCAGTCTTCACACGGGCCAAGTGCTCACTTATCATAGCATTTCATTGCTTTTTTTCTCCTTGTAGTAACATATGTGCTGAACCACGTTGTAATTGATGAAATGAACTAGGCCACTACCCACTGCGTATAGAACTCATCAGCAAAGCCTCTACCCTCGACCCCTTGTCCAGCTTCCCGCTCCCACCAGGCAAGCAGAGCAGCGCATTCGCCGACCTCAAACTGCCCACCTTGGAGCTCCGCTGTCCGCCGGTGCTGCTCGCCGTCAGCAGCCCATCCTGACCGATGCTGACGACGACACGATGGAACTCTGGTCGGCGATCGAGGCCAAAGTCGTGGGCCAGCGTGACGGGCACCTTGGGCAGGCCGACGGGGGCGACGCCCGACTGCTTGTGCAGTGACGGCAGGACGAAGAGGTGGAAGGTGACGAGGGCGGAGGCCGGGTTGCCGGGCAGCGAGAAGACGACCTTGTCGAGGCGCCGGCCGGCGTTGTCCTTGACGGGGACGGTGGCAAACGTCGTCGGCTTGCCGGGCTTCATGGCGACGCGGCCAAAGTGGATGGTGCCGCCGAGGGCGCGCTCGATGGTGGGCTTGAGCAGGTCCAGCTCGCCCATGGACACGCCGCCCGTGGTGACGAGCACGTCGGCGTCCCGGAGCCCGGCCCGCAGCGTCTCCTCGAGCGTGCCGGGCTTGTCGCTGGCGATGCCCAGGTCCACGACGGGGAAACCCCATTCGCGCGCCGCGGCCATGAGCGTCACGCGGTTCGTGTCGCGCACCTCGCCCAGCTTGAGCCCGCCGGGGCGGTCGTGCTCGATAATCTCGTCGCCCGTCGACAGGATGCCGATGACGGGGCGCCGGTACACGCGGGCCTCTGCCGCGCCGACCGCCGCCAGGAGCCCGATCTCGCCGCCGACGCCCGAGATCTGCTCGCCTTGCTTGAGGATCACGGCGCCCTGGGCGATGTCGCTGCCGACTTCGCGCACGTTGGCGCCGTCCGTGACGCCCTCGGCCTGGATCTCGACCTCCTTTTCCTCCTTGCCGTCGTCCGTCATGGTCTTGAGCGTCGTGTCTTCCACCATGATGACGGCCGTGGCGCCCGGTGGAAGGGGCGCGCCTGTCGTTATCCTGGCGACCTCTCCCTCCTTCAGGGGCGGCAGCTCTCCCGGTGCGGCGTGGGAGACGCCGGCGACGGGGAAGACGCCCTTGACCTTGCCGTCCTTGGGCACGACGACGGCGTATCCATCGACGATGCTGGCCCGGAATGCCGGCACGTTCTCCCTCGCCTGGACATCTTCGGCTAGCACCAGCCCGACAATGTTCTCGTCGACCTTGACGGTCTCTGCCTGCGGGCCTGGCGTGTGCTCGGAGATCAAGGCGAGGGCGTCGTCCACGGATATCATGGGATAGGGAGATTCGCGGTATCGCCGCGTGGGACCCAGGCTGATGTCATTGGATAGATGAGTTGTGCTCGTAGAGCCAGGAGTGGTGAATCTCTGAAGGCTTGCGTGGCCGTGGCTCTGACCGGGACCGTGGCTGTGGCTGTGAGAATGTCCGTGGTGGTGATGGTGATGGTGTGCCTGGGCGGATGCCGGTGTTTGTGCTGATGCTTGAGACGGGGACCGTTCAATGCCGGCGTCTGCCTCGAGCTTCTTGACGCCGCCGGCATGCAGGGCTCTCGAGTTTGAGCCTGCTGCTTGGAGGCAGGCATGGGGCAGCGTCTTGATGATGGCCTGGAGGTTCTCCCTGGCCCCTTTGGGCGAGCCGGGCAGGGTGACGATGACCGTCTTGTTCCTGACGCCAGCAGTGGGACGAGACATCATGGCGACTTGATAAACATGGTTTAGTTAGCTTGGTGAGATGCCGTCCGAGTGGGTGAGTTGACTTACACGGCGTTATCGCGAGTGAGGCAGACAGCATGGCGTGGATCAGGCCCGGAGCCGTCTTGTGTATCATTGGAGCAACGGCCTTGAGAATTGTCTCAGTCAGTGTATGGACATTAACATCGTGACAACGAAATAAATGCAAGCTCACCTCTGGCGTGACATCAGCGACTGAGAAGCCGGTGCCGCCGGTGGTGACGATGAGGTTGACGGCATCCGGCCCGTCGGTCCAGGGCATGATGCTCCTTTGGATGTCCAGGACATTGTCCGAGACGATGCGCTCGTCGACAACGTCCCAGCGGCCGCCGCCGTCCTGCGTCAGCACCTCCCGGAGGACCGTGGCGGAGGCATCGGCCGAGGGATCGCGCGCGGCTGTGGTTGAGACGATGAGGATTGCGGCCTTGAACGGGCCGTCCATGGTAGGCGGTTGTTTGGGAGTTCAATCTCGAGTCCTTTAGAACTGATGGAATTCGAGATATGGCATCGATATCTGGTCTCGAGATGTGCCACCCTGATGGAGGATGTCAATAAGTGAAGAGATATAAATGAGTGTTGGGCTCTTGTTGGAGCAGCCCAAGACTGGAAGAAGCATGTGCTAATTCGAAGATACTACTTGGAAGATGAATGGCAGATGGGCAGCTCGGCCGTGTTAGTGCCAGCCTCCTTGTAGCGAATGCTTCACCAGCTACTACCAGGTACATGTATGTACTTACATGTAGGTAGGTACTTACATGTACTGGCTCAGCCTTGTCCTGAACGAGGAAGAACCTTGAAGCCGTCAGGCAAAGATATACCTCCCAGCCTAGCTGCTGTGCAAATGTGCGTCAAGATGCAGGAAAAAGGGACATGTAGCATCCATCAATGCGGAGGATTTCACGGGTGCACAATACATGTAAGAACCGGCCACTTGATGACCCCCGAAGCAATCAATGGAACATGAACACCTCATGGATCCAAGCCCCAGCCGTCCACTAAGAAGAGCCCGCTGCAGCAGCCGCCAGGGTTACATGTAGTCTGGTGCTCGATAAGCCTCCAGTGCTCCCAGGCGCTGATCTGCAGCGCCAGTTACAGCGGATACCACGCTGTAATACCCCCGAGACCCGAGTGGGCGCGCCATGGGCTTTTTTTCGGCTTTGACGCCGTCGAACTGGATCTCATCTCCATTCCATGTTTGTCCTCCAGAACTGCCGTTTTGCATCACGGAACCCTTGCACGAATCCCCCCATCTCGTCTCTTGTTGAGCTCCCTTGCGCCTATATTCTCTTGCCTTCCACTGGGGCCTCGGCATTTCACGCTCTGCCGAGTTTCTCTTCTTTGTATTCTTCTTGCCTCTGCCGCCGAATCTGACGGATCTCGCTGAAATCGCTGCCAATGGTGCGCATCAAGGAGCGATACCTGCTGGTCAACATCATCTACCCTCCCGATGCCGCAACCTCCAAGGCCCGTGTGCCCGGTCTGGTCGCCCAGCATCAGCCGACCGTGGCCAAGTTGACGCCGCAGGCTCTGGTGAGGGCCATCAAGGCCGAGGTGGCGGAGCTGTATGGCGATTTTGGCGCCGGAGCTCTCGAGGGCAATCTTTCAGGTGAGTCTTGGGTGGTTCATTGGAGGAGTCAAAGCGAGAGAGGAGAGAAAATTGGGGTTTCTGACATTGTATTCTAGTCAAATACCTCTCTTTGGCCACCTCAACGTTCATCCTCAGGTGCAACAGGGCTCACTATCAGCTGCTCTGGTCCGCATTGACCTTCATGGACCGCGTCCCCGTCAAGGACGGCCGGCCCTGCATCTTCCGCGTTGTCCGTGTCAGCGGCACCATCCGCAAGATTGAGGAGGTTGCCGTCGAGCGGGCCCGGAAGCTCATCCTGGCCGCCAAGGCAGAGGCCAGCTCTCATCCGCAGTCTTTACTGTCCGTGGACATTTTAGGCAAAGACGACGCCATGCTGGATGTCATGGACAATGCCATGAGCGACGAGGACATGGAAGACGGCAGATGACGCAGCAGTTTGGCCGATTTAATGATTCTTCATTACTTGTTCTTTCTAATTACCCGGACACCGCTGTCCTCCGGTACCGTCATATCGCCAAAGTCAGGGTCAAATTCTGCCTCCGATGTGGCAGGGGCTGCTGGTTGTGCCTCGTCCACATCCATCCCGTTGGCCTCCGCCATCCTCCTGCGCTCCTCTTCCTCGGCTTCTTGCTCCATACGGTCGTACTCTTCCTTGTGGTCGATCCACCGCTCCTGGACGTCTTGCACATCGAGCATCGACGCTTCGTTTCTCATGGCGACGGCCCATACCGTGTCATTGGCGCCTTCAGCGCCTCCGAATACATAGCCTCCTGCGCGGTCAATCACGCGGAGAAGATGCATCATGCTCTTCTTATTCTCAACGGCCAGCACTTCATACCGCACTAAGCCGTAGCTCTCTATCATCTTTGCTATCGCTTCGTGCAGTCGGCCGAATTTCTCGTTGCGCATCCCAGGGGACTCGGCCTCAAGGTACGGCGTTAGGTATGTGAGATCGTCGACGTCGGTGTAGTACTCCAAGTTGAAGGGCAGCTCGTCGTACGATGCTACCTTGTCGATCTTGGTGAGCACATTGACGTGTGGCATGTCCATCTGGATCATGGCTCGGAGCGAGAGGAGGACGTTGGATACATAGAGGGATGGCTGGGTAAGGCAATAGCTATCCGTGAGATGTACGCAGACAAACTAGCACAAGACAGTCAGCAAGCAATTCTCATGTCGGTTGCTTCCCACAGGGCAAACTGACTCTGAATTTAAGAGTCTTTTGGAGCTTGTAAAAGATGTTTCGTAATGAGTTGTGATGCGTGTAGAGCTCGACCTGGCCGGGACAGTCGAACAGGAAGTAGTCTTCCCCAAGCTCTTTCAGGCCTTCCTCCAGCCATTCGAAATTGTTCTCGAGCTCTTCGAGAGCATATAGAATACCGCCGTTTGGCCCCAAGCGGTCTTCGCGCATAACGTCCTCCAGCTTAACCAGGTCGCGGATATCGAGAGCGCAAGGGTAGTTTGTGTGGTCGTTGGCGGGATCGAGGTTCACGACGGAGCACGCGCGCCCAATGGCGCCCATGAACTGGTGCACTGAAGAGATACAGAGAGGGCCATGTCAACACCAATGCCCGTGTCTATTGTTCTACTTGGTTGGGAGCAAGCACAGGGACCTTGACGTACTGCCATCGCAGTAGGTACTCTTGCCCGAGCCGGGGCTACCGAGTACTAGCTGCGCAAAGGGCATCTGGGTTCAGAGGCTCTGGTTCTGTTGGGTCTGTTTCACATGATCAGTTCCGACCGGAGTTTGATCCGAGGTCTTGAGTCGGGAGTTGAGGAGGAGAGAAAAGCTAGAGTGGGCTGTCGCAGAGGAAATGACGATACCTACGGTAATTGACTTTGAAGCTCTCTCACGTGCGCTCCGGCGATCAGCCCTGTCAATATTGGAACTTTGATTGTGCGTAGGTGCTTTTAAGATGGAATAAAAGGAGTTGTAAAGAATGGGATTCGCCGTTTTTGCTAGGGAAAATCTGCTTCTTGATGCATATGTTCACCTATTCCATCGCATTCTTATCGAAGCTTCTGTAGAGGTTGTGGTTATGTCATCTCAAATTCGGCGAGCTGCGAAAAAAACTGGTGGGGGTGGTGGGGGTGCTTATGCCGGCAGAATCCCGGCCACAGAGCTAAGCTCCATGGTCAAAAACCACATGAAAATTAATCACGAGCTGCCCTCTTTTTCTCTTTCTCTTCTCTCTTCCCCCATCCTTATAAAAGCTCTCAACCTCTCTTTCCGGCGCCGCTTTGCCGCCCCCAACGGCTGCCATTTCTCGCTCTGCAGAATGCTGGGCAATAATGTGCAGCACCATCTCCAACCATGGCATCTGACGTGTCAAATGCTGCTCGGTTGGCTGGGGGCCTCTCCAGCAGCGTCTCCCACGCCATGGACTCGGCGTCCAGCTCGCTCCCCGTGAGCTACGCGACAGTGGAAGCTGCCCATGCCTCGCCCGGCTGGCTGGGCCTCATCGGGTGGCTTCTCCTCGGCACCATCAACTTCACCACCACGGTCCTGTACTGGATCATCCGCACGGTGACCATCACCTTGCCAACCTTCCTGTACACGCTCTTCTCCGCGAGCTGGACAGTGACTATGAATGCCACCACGCTGTATGCTGCCAGTCCCTTGGTTGTCCCGGGCCACTCAAGACTCACAGCCTTCCTAGCATGTTCATCGTCGTGGCCATCGTGTCGGCGGTCAGCTGGGTCGTCAGGTATCGCATCCTGAACATGTACTCGAGACTGCCTCCTGAGCCCCAGCGCAAGGAGCCCGAGATCGACTTGTTCCCCGACACTCACGAAGGTGGCATCAAGTCCGGCCTGTCCAACTATCTGGACGAGTTCCTGAGCGCGATCAAGATCTTCGGCTACCTCGAACGATCCGTGTTCCACGAGCTGACCCGCAGTATGCAGACTAGAAAGCTTATTGCCGGGGAGACCATCAACCTGGAAGCAGAAAAGGGCTTCTGCATTGTCGTTGACGGTCTCGTGGAGATCTTTGTCAAGTCGGGGCGGAATTTTCGAGCGCCTGTCAGAAGCGGGTCGCGAAACGACCTCTTCGATTCTTCCTCGGACGAAGACAATCTGCCTGGTCAGCAAAAGTATCAGCTGCTGACAGAAGTCCGCAATGGAGCGCCAATGTCGTCGCTCTTCTCCATCATGTCTTTGTTCACAGAGGATGTGAAGCTCAAGAGGCACGACGAAGACTCTCCTCTTGCGGCGGGCGCGAGTCGGCATGCGCGAAGCGACTCTGTAAAGGAGTCTGCCGCGAAGGTGTCTCATGGCCCGACGTCGATGCCAAGCACGCCGCATCTTGACGCCAACGTGGAGCGTCCAAGCGTCCGGTATGGTGATGCCCTCTTGTCAGACGGAGCGAGTACTCCTCAGATACCGCCCATATCCCTTGACCCTGCTCTGAGCTTTCAGGCGGGCAAACAGAGAGCGGGGCTTCACAGCAGGTCAATGTCAGCCTCGGCACACCCTGACATTATAGCAAGGGCAACGGTTGATACGACCATCGCAATCATCCCTGCGAGTGCCTTTCGGAGGCTGATCAAGATCTACCCCAAAGCCACGGCACACATTGTCCATGTGATCCTTTCTCGGTTCCAGAGAGTCACGCTCGCACAGGCGTTCAACTATCTCGGCTTGACAGCTGAGGTGCTTCAGACCGAGAAGGACATGGTCAAGTTCACCATGTGCCAGCTCCCCAACATCCTTCGCGGAGATGCCCTCACTCGGCTGAAAGAAAAGTTCAATCGCGAGCGGGAGCGCATTGGCGAAGATCAAGAGACCAAAGGGATTGCTCTGCACAACTCGGCGGCTAACAGGCGCCGTCGGTCGAGCGCGGCTCTCCGCAAGGACCTGGTCATGCAAGCCATTGCTAAGAATCGATCTGCGTCGTCCACAATCAACAATGCCGCTTCTGCGCGCGATCTCCGCTTGGCTCGCGGTCTCAACCCTGGAGATCTCCTGTCAGGCGCACAGCCCAATCGGCCACACAACAAGAGCCCTTATCCGGGAAGCCTCGTTCGATCTCCAGCATACATGGGCACAGAGGACAGTGGGCCTTTCAGTCCCCTGACGCAAAAGACGTTCAACCCCTTTGACTCTGGAAGGCACGCTCGCATCTCAACGGATCGTGACTCAGTGGACGAGGATAACCTCTTCAGGGTGTCCATCCTCGAATGCGTCTTCAAGGCCCTTGGCCTAGATGCGGGCGGAACGTCATCGAGAGACGTCGACTCGGTAGAAGGATCACCGAGGCTGACGGGATCTCCCCGGTTGATTTCTACAGACCGACGTTCAAAGACGCTGTACACGAGCAATGCGTTCGGGTTCATTGGCCCGTACGACGGCTCCATTGATGGAGAGACTGAATCATTGGCCTCCAATGGCCTGGCTGCTCATACTCCGCCGAATGCCCATGCCTTGGCCCACGACATGATGGATGAGGTTGAGATCGTCTTCTTCCCCAAGGGGTCGGTGCTCGTGGAGCAAGGGGAGCGCAGCCCCGGCCTCTACTATGTTGTTGACGGCTTTCTCGACATTGGCACCACGGTTACGGATGGCGTCCAAAACATCTTCCAAAAGTCCGGCCCCGCGTCCTTTAGCGCAGAGTCGCTCCATGCGGACCATCGGTTCGAGAGCCCTGGCTCCAAGGCTTCAGTGCATGGCACACCGCATTCCTCACAGCCAGACCAAAACCGTCGCCGAAGCGTGGCTCTCATCAAACCAGGAGGATTGGCCGGATACATCGGGAGCGTCTCGTCGTACAGATCGTTCATTGATGTGGTGGCCAAGACGGACGTGTATGTGGGATTCCTTCCGAGAGCTTCTCTGGAAAGAATCGTCGACCGCTATCCCATCATTCTCTTGACCATGGCAAAGAGGCTTACGCACATCTTGCCTCGGCTCATCCTGCACATTGACTTTGCTCTTGAATGGGTCCAGGTCAATGCTGGTCAAGTCATTTTCCATGACAATGATGAAAGTGACGCCATCTATATTGTCCTCAACGGGCGTCTTCGCCTTGTCGAGGACAGGCAGGATGGTGGAGTATCTGCACGAGCCGAGTTTGGACAAGGCGAGAGCATCGGTGAGCTCGAGGTGCTGACAGAAACCGCGCGTTCTGGGACCCTGCACGCCATTCGAGACACCGAGCTCGTCAAGTTTCCTCGCACCCTGTTCAACAGCCTCGCCCAGGAGCATCCCAACATCACCATCAAGATCTCCAAGATTATTGCCTCGAGGATGAGAGCAGCGGTGGACGACTCTACCAAGTACGTTGCAAAGGAAGCAGGCTCGGGAGCTGTGACCAACCAGCGCAAGTCAACCTTGAACATCCGGACAGTGGCCATCCTCCCGGTCACCGCAGGGGTTCCCGTCGTCGAATTCGGGCACCGTCTTATGAATGCGCTCGCCCAGGTCGGGCCCCAGAACGGTGCAACGTCGCTCAACCAGTCTGGTATTTTGAACCATCTGGGAAAGCATGCGTTCAACAAGATGGGCAAGCTCAAGTTGTCGCAATATCTCGCCGACTTGGAAGAGAAGTACGGCTTGGTGGTCTACGTGGCAGGTAAGCTCTTTGATCTCCTTTTTTTCATTTGCTGTTTGCTCTTGGTCTTCAAGATCCTCTTGCTCTTATGATGACAAACTTTCACACCGGAGACACGTCTCTGACGGCTATGTTAACTCTAATTTTTTCCTGATTGCATGACTTTATAAATCACTTCGTTTACCTTCACTCTTGTATGGATGCGCAGGCTAACATGAGTGGTGAAAAGATACCAATGTCAACTCACCGTGGACGCAAACGTGCATCACGCAAGCTGACAGTATCCTGTTGGTGGGTTTGGCTGAGGGCTCTCCGGCCATTGGGGAATACGAGCGGTTTATGCTTGGGATGAAGTCCACAGCACGCAAGACTCTGGTTCTCCTCCACACCGAACGGTTCTCACGACCTGGCCTCACTCGGTCGTGGCTGCGAAATCGCATGTGGATCAATGGCGGCCATTACCATATCCAGATGCCGTACAGAACAGACGCAATGCCTGTGCATCCACCGTCAAAGAAACTGGGCCAGGCTCTCAAGGAACGCGTGCAAGTGCTACAGGCCGAGATTCAGAAGTATACATCGAGGAACGTGCACCATACTCAATACTACTCGCCTGACACGCCGTTCAAGGGGGATTTCCATCGCCTCGCTCGCCGTCTTTGCGGAAAGTCTATTGGACTCGTCCTCGGCGGCGGCGGAGCACGAGGCATCAGCCAGATCGGCATCATCCGAGCGATGGAAGAGGCCGGCATTCCGGTGGACATTGTCGGCGGAACCTCGATTGGAGCCTTTGTCGGTGCGCTTTACGCCCGGCATGCAGACGTTGTGCCCATGTTTGGCTTCGCAAAGAAGTTTGCGGGCCGCATGGCCAGTCTCTGGCGATTTGCGCTGGATCTCACATATCCCTCTGCGTCTTATACGACGGGCCACGAGTTCAATCGAGGCATCTTCAAGACTTTTGGGAATACGCAGATTGAGGACTTTTGGCTCGAGTACTACTGCAACACGACCAACATCAGCAAGAGCCGGGCCGAGTTTCACACGAGCGGCTACGCGTGGCGATACATTCGAGCATCGATGTCGTTGGCCGGCTTGTTGCCTCCGCTGTGCGACGAAGGCAGCATGCTGCTTGACGGAGGCTACGTGGACAATCTGACGGTTTCGCACATGAAGGACCTGGGCGTAGACGTGATTTTTGCCATAGACGTGGGAGCGCTGGATGACGATACGCCGCAGACGTACGGAGACTCGTTGTCCGGGTTCTGGGCGTTCTTCAACCGGTGGAATCCCTTCTCGACACACCCCAACCCGCCGACGCTGGCGGAGATTCAGGGCAGGCTGGCGTACGTGTCGAGCGTGGATGCGCTGGAGCGAGCAAAGACCATGCCGGGGTGCATTTACATGCGGCCGCCTGTCGACGGGTATGGGACGCTCGACTTTGGCAAGTTTGACGAGATTTACAAGATGGGATACGAGTTTGGGCGCGAGTTCTTCCAGAAGCTCAAGGAGGAGAACAAGCTGCCTCTGACGGAAGAGACGGAGGCGAAGAAGGCATTGCGGAGGACAACGGCACCTAGACGAGCCAGCATATAGACTCGACACGAATAGAGAGCGTTGGTTGTGTTTTGCAATTTCGAGGAAGTTTCTGATCTTGTTGCTCACCTAAACTTACAGCCAAGGTGACACAGACGTGCCATGACGAAAGTTGACGATGCTCGATTGTTTGGAGATTCGTCTGGGTTGTTAGTGTCAGGTTTTCTGCGTGCGCCGATCGCGAGAAAATGCAGGGATTCTTGGTTTCCTTTTTTGCCGGTTGGCTGCAGCGAGTGGGAACCTGAGCTCGTGACACTTGTGACATCATTTCCGGGGTCCAGGGCAAACAAATCTCGATTTGAGGCGAAAGAGAAGTTGGTTGTTATTTTCCTACTGGGTGGGAAGATTGTGAAGGTGGAATGACGCGGCGAAAGAGGCGGTTTTGGTTATAAAGGGGGGGTGATGAGGACGACTTTTTACCAGTTATAATATCATTGGGATGATGACCATATAGAGATTGTCTACAAATCATCTACAACTACACGTTGTCCTCTCCAGTTATCGAAACACATACATCTGCACACACACACACACACACACACACATTTGCATTGATAAGCGATGCCTTCTTCAAGAAGAGAGTACCCGAGCAGCATGTATCCCGAAGTGGGATCGAGTTACAAGTCTGGTGGCTACAGCGACAACGGCGCCGACGGATATTATTCTGCGAGAAGGAGTTACGAAGACAATTCCAACGATTATTATCGTGGAAATTATCGAATTCGCGAGGGGGATGGTGCGCGAGACAGGGGGCATCATCACCACAACGAGAGACCTCCTACGAACAGGGACTTGACTCGAAACCCTCAAGACAAAAGCAATAACAACAACAACAATCGAACAAGAGACGACAGAGAAAAAACCAGGAGAAACAGCAGCACCGGAAACAACAGCAACAGCAACGCCGGTCGGCTTTGGGAACGCGTCCTGCCGCCCGACTTCCGCCCCTCGCAAGCCGATCCGGACGAGCGCCGGCGGAGGCGATTGAAAGAAAAAGAGTGCGAGGGCTTTGACTGGACGCCGGGGATTGTGCTGGGGCTATTGGGCGCGGCGGCGCTGTTTAATCATGAGAGGTCGCTTGTGAGGAGGCGGAAGAAGGAGTATATCGAGCGGTGATTTGATGGTGATGGTGATGATGATGATGATAATGCTGAGGGTGATGATGATCAAAGGCTGTGAAGATGGTTATGACTCTGGAATGAGCATTTGTTCTTGATACGAATGATGATGTTTATGAGATATGATGTGCTATACAAATGACATGAATCTACATTGTATTTCTAACCACGACCATGACGAGACTGACAGAGGTAAATATATATGTGTGTGTGTGTGTCTGTGATTTGTATCACTCCTTCAACTGCTTCTCAACAGTCTCAACCAACAGCTCAAACAACCCCCGAACATGCTCCTCCCTGACCGCCGCCGTCCCCGTACACACCCGTATCGCAAAATGCCCATTCACAACCGTGCTCGTCAGGTAAAACCTCCCCGAGGCATTCACCGCCTCATACAACCTCTCCGTCCTCCGATTCACCTCCTCCTCCCCCCCATCATCCCCTTTCACCCGAAACGTCACCAGCCCAAACCTCGCCCTCGTAAAGACACTAAACAGATCCTCCCTCGAGACGAGCTTCTCCTCCAGCGACTCCCCCAGCGACACCCCGTTCCGGATATGCGCCTGCAAGCCCCTGATACCATAGCTCCGCAGCACAAACCACAGCTTGAGCGAGCGGAAGCGCCGGCCCAGCGGTATCTGCCAGTCGCGGTAGTCCGTCACCAGCTCGTTGTCGCTGTACTGGTTGCGCAGGTACGGCGGCTTGATGCTCAGCGCGGCAATGAGGTGGCCCCTGTGCCGCACCCACACGGCCGAGCAGTCAAACGTCGTCAGCATCCACTTGTGCGGGTTGAAGTTGAACGAGTGAAAGGCCGCCATGGGCTCGGCCAGCGGCTTGTTCTCGTCCAGCAGCAGCGCCGCGCCCGCGTACGCCGCGTCCACGTGCACCCAGATCTCGCCCGGCTTGCCCGCCCGAGGGCCCAGCGCCGAGGCGATGCTGGCAAAGTCGTCGACGGCGCAGACGTCGGTCGTGCCCAGCGTCGCCGTCAGGTAAAACGGCTCCAGGCCCTTGGCCCTGAGCTCGTCGAGCGTCTTGGTCAATGCCTCGCCCGTCATCGAGAAGCCGTTGTCTTGCGAGACGGGCACCGTCGCGAATCGCACGCCCAGCACCTGCGCGGCCTTCTTGGTGCTCGAGTGCGCGCCCGCGCTGCCCAGGGCCACCAGCTTGCTGCGGAGCCGCCACGTCTCTTCCTCCTTGTCCTCGCCCTCAGGCAGGTGAGCCGTCGCCTCGTTGATGTACTTGTCCCTCGCCGCGACCATGACCGTCAGGATGGCCTCGCTCGCGCTTCCGTGGATCACGCCGCCGCCGTGCGTCGGCCCGCCGCTCAGGAAGCACTCTGGCAGCCCCAGTGCCTGCGCCAGCCAATCCATCACAATCGTCTCCAGCTCAGTGACCGCGGGGGAGCAGATCCAGTTGAAGTGAGCACCGTTGAAAGCGTTAGAGTACATCTCCGCAATGGCCGCCGGGTAGCTGCTCGAGCAGGGGAAGAAGGCCATGAAGCCGGGAGACGACCAGTGGGTGATGCCGGGCAGGATCTTGGACTGGATGTCGGACTGGATGGCCTCCCATGGCTCGCCGTCGAGGGGTGCCGAGGCTGGGAGCAGCGGCCTCAGGTAGCCGGGCTCAACAGCAGAGACGACGCGGTGCTCAGGGACACTGTCATGATAGTTTGCGACTGTTTGGGTTTTTTCAAAGGTTCTCTTGTTAGCCAGCTGTATCTTATCTTGAACGGGGGAGATGAGAAAAGAGAACTCACTCTCGTCAATGGCCGCCTTGGCCGCCACCCTAAACTGCTCCGTGTTCATTGGGCTCGCCATTGTCTGTTTCTCTTCGTCCGGGCTTCTTCTCACACAGAGTCCTTGCCAACCTCGTCACGAAGCCTGTCTGATAAGGGGCCGAGAAGACTGAACTGAACGTTTGACGAGATTCCCGTCAACTTTTAAGCCCATCGACAACTGGATCCCGCAGCCGAATCTCCTCCGTCTTTGGCTTCCCCCCCACCACCACCACCGTCAGAAACCAGCAAAAGGGCGGCACACAACAATAAGCAGTCCATGTGGAGAAGCCACTCGGGATTCCTCGCCCTCTCATTAGCGCTGGCTGCTCTTGTTTGCCCTCTTTGGCTCCGGCAGCGCTTCCTGGACCGGAACCTGGCCATCCTTGATCGGGGCAATAAAGCTCGGGCTCTGCAGCGGAACGAGTGGAACTCCCCCGTTTATTCCCATGCTGCACAGAAGCCGTTCTTTAAAATCTGGCTCAGATTTCCGATTCCGATTCAACCTCACAATAATAAGCAGACGTTTTGTTGACGAGATGTCAAGGCCGTGAGGGTGAAGAAATGTTGCAGAAAGATGCTGGTCAATTCGCAAGTCGTTTGCAGGAAACCAAAATGTCAAATTGTCGTATTGAACGCGCCCTTTGATGACACGCCGTCGCTTGGTGGCACCAGAGGTTACTTCATCGGAATTAAGCGACCCAGCATGTCAGATGCCGTTCCAGATCGCCGTCACAACATGCCCCAGATCGATCCCGTTGATGCCGCTGCATCTTTGGCCGCAAGTTGGCGGCGTGATCAGGAGCGGCATTCAATATGTTGATTGAAGAGAATGGAGCATTCTAGTTACACAGCATTAACGCATAGTAGCTGTCAAGAACATGAGGTTCTCTCTCATTGAAAGACACATGACATATGGGCGGACCTAGGCACTTGTATCGCGTAAGTTCACTGTGTCTCGCGAGGACGTGACATGCCTTGAGAATAACCACTGGAGAGGCAGGTAGTCTCAAATCATAAAGAACATTCATCAATAATAAAAGCTTGCCATAACTGTGCATATATCAACGTTCGCTAAACTCGTTAATCAACTTTGATCGCACTGGTTGTGATCGCTGGTCAGCACGTCTTTACCCCTAATCACTTCGAGGAAAGCGAGACATACCTGTATATCCTTCGCACAAAGGCATATGCGCTCAAGAATCCAATCGTGCCCGTCAACAGCCCATACACACAGCACGCCATGAAACTATACGCAAAGAAGAGCATGCTACTCACAAAACCACTGATGTGCAGCTTGAAGAAATAGTACCACAGCGAATAGAGAAACACCCAAAACGCGCTTCCGCCCCCAACAAAAAATGACTGCCACCACCAGTGGTAGTTTTCTGCGCAGAGCTGGGCATAGATGGTCACAATGGTCACTTCGGCAATGGTCACCATCAGAATGGCCAGCACCACTGCCAGGAAGCCAAAGACGTAGTAGTAGCTGCTCTTGTCCTGCCAGATCGACTGGAAAACGAACAACAGCTCGATGAAGATGACGGCAAACGGGATCAAGCCCGCTAGAAGCACTGCCTGAATCGACTTGCTGTACCAGGCCTGCCGAGGCACCTGTCTGGGGATCGTCGTTGTCTTGGTGGGATGCTCCCAAGCACCGGCCTTGTGGAAGCCATAGTGAGACCCTGCATACACAAGCGGCACCTGCACGCAGAGCCAGAGAACAAGAATCGCCAACAGGGTTCCGAATGGAATCGCCGTGCTGGATGCCTGGGCCCACACAAAGAGGTTGAGGATAAAGACAAGCCCAAAGGTGAGACCGGGGAACAGCAAGGCTGTAACCAGCGCGTTTGCACGATGGTCCGCGCCGTCAAAGCTCTTGAAGACGCGGGCAGATAAGTAGCCGGAGAAGAGTCCCGCAAAGATAAACAAACCTACTCCAACGCTGATGAAGCCGCCCCGGAAGCTCGGGTTCAAGACCCCCAAGGCACCGAGCGACACCAGTCCAATGGCCATGAAGAACAGCTGCATCCCGGACCCAACAAGGGGCGCCAGCAGGGTCCCAAGCTTCGGCTTTCGAAACACGTCTCCGTGGAGCAGCTTCCAGCCCGTGGCCTCTTCCAGTGCCTCGCCCTCGTCGGATAAGTCGTCTTCATCATTCTTGTCGTCGTCGGGTCCCTGACTCAGCAAGCCTGAGGTCTGCTCGCCCTTGGGCTTGGCTGCTCTCTTGCCCCTGGCTTTCCCTTCTTCGGCTGAGATGCCCTTGTTGATGTCGCTATGGATAGTCCTGGCGAGGATAATCATGACGATGCCCGTCAGGAGCCCGCAGATGATGAGCGAGTTGATAATGGCCATCCAGTGGATGCGCGTGCCTTCCTCTTGGTTCACGAAGTAGAGGTCCCAGCGATGGCCCCATTCGATGCTCTCGTCTTCGCGAAAGTAGACAGAGTAAGTGTAAGGAATTGTCAGAGAGCCGGGGCTGCTGTCGTCGTCTTCCACCTCATCAGGGTGGTATGACAAGCCAGCATAGTTCAACGACGCATCGGCCGTCCTGTTGGGGGCAATGTACAGCTCAAAAGGCTCTTCAACGTTCTGAATGTCCACGGGACATCCGGCGCTGTCCTTTTTGTTGCCGTTTCCAACGCTCTTGGGGTAAACTTCGAACCCAACAATCACCTTTTCACCACGATCGCCAGCCCGGCCTGGTGCTCTGCGGTACCGTATGACAATGGTATGGTGATTGTTGAGATAGTAGTGAAGCTTCCCGGTCTTTGGCGAGGCCTCTGTATATCCCAACTTGAAGCCTGCGGCATAATATTTGCGCGACTTGTCGGCAGTGACAAAGCTGGTTGCGCCGGGCAGGTTGTCCACGATCCACTCAGCCACATACCCGTCCTGGATCAGCTCTTTTGTCCAGCGCATATCGCGACGTGATAGCTCTTTATTGCAGAGTAGTGTGCACGGTGTGTCTTTCGCCATGGCAAGCTCCATGTCGGATGTGACAATGCGGTCACCACGCAGCACCTCCCCCAGATTCAAGGGCACGCTCTGGCCGCTCAGCAAGCCGCCTCCGGCCTTGTGGTTCCCCGTCGGGGAGCAGGTAAATGGCAAATCGTTATAGGCATACTGGAGCTGCGTGTTATCTGAGTAGACCTTGTTGACCATCAGCGGTACCAGCTCGCCATCCTTGTACGTCTTGACTGACCAGCCTGGGAGAGGAAACGTTAGCGGCCTGTTGAGCAGTTGCCGGTCAAGACAGCGGCAAACACAGGAACAGCGTGGCTATACCAGGGATATAGAATGCCGTCGACGATGAAGCCAGCAAGAGAAGGAGCAGGCCGCGGAGGCCAGTCTTTGGTGTGCCAATCATGCTGATGCGCCGTGCAAGCTCGGTTTATTCCTCGCTCTGCTCGCGGCATCACCAGCAAGGCATGTATGAACCGCGCTCAGCGCCAGGTCTCTTTTTCTGTGTCCGTATTTACACCCTCAACGCTCGGTTCGCCACGCCAGGTGCGCGATGGATCAAAGTTGGGAAGTCGAGTAAGCGCTTCGAGAAACCGTGACGTTATCGTATTCTTCGCTTTACGGAATGCGACGGGATTCGAGGTCTAAGAGGATGCGAGATCGGGAATGCGAATGACGGTTTCCACTGGTCGGCGCAATCAATTGGAAGCAATCAGACTGGTCTAAGGTTATGCTGAAAGCTTCGCTTCGACTCTTGTAGGGTATCGATGCTGTATTACAAGCAATCGGCCAGATATGAAGATGAAAGTGATGGACTGAAGTTGCAGCACCTTCAGGCTCCGACCAGGGGCTTGGTTCAATCTACAGCGCTGCCGACAGGCTAAAGGGAGGAACGGATTCAGGGCAGCTCCTGCATCCCGATCGACACGGATGATTAACCGTTCTTTTGCCGATCGTGATCGCCCTCGACCTGGCCCATAACAGTCAGGACAGAGCCCCACGTGCTTCAGGAGGATGGGGATGCTTTGATGAGTCGGAAATCGACAAATGAACATATGAAGCCTTGCAGATGTGAAGAGGCATCCTGTCAGGGCACACAGTGCAGAGAGCTCAGTACATACCTAGTATGTAAGTGGTCTTCAACCAAGCATACAAGTATCTGTTTCAAGCTCGCTCTTATACGTGTATACCGATCCATCTCTTGCCTGCTGCTTACCTCATATCATGGTGGATAACCGGGGTTCTAGGTTTATAACAACCACCAAAGCCGAGTGTCCTTCATGGCGCAGTGAAATAAGTGCCATACTCGTGACTGATCGCACAGCATTCATCTATCCATAATCTCTCAGTCCGGCAGTAGAAACCGAGGCGCTCTTCGTCCTCATCTGGCAATACATGTCATCCCACCTTTCCTAAAGTGGCATTACACCGAATCTCATATCGATGAACTGCAGGACTACCTCAAGATATCGACAGAAAAGCAGACTTCTTTTCATGCCTGAGAACCAAATGGCGGAGGCAGAGGCGGACTGGCGGAGTTGACTCCAGAGATAAGGAGAAGATATATATATAGTATATATATGTCCGTCTGGTCGAACTATAGTTGGTGACTTGGGCTTCTTGCAACTCGTGTTACCATTCACACCAAGTCTCGAGTTCAAGCTTCTTATAAGAGCAAAGTAGACAGCAGCAGTATTGTCAGCCGCATCACCAACCACTGCTGGGATGCACCTCATCCTCACAGGGGCAACAGGCCTCGTCGGCTCCGGCGCCCTGGACGCCATGATAAAAGACACCCGCATCGCCAAGATATCCATCATCAGCCGTCGTCCGGTCCCCATGGCCGACGACGCCAGAGATCCACGCATCAACGTCATCATCCATAAGAACTTCGAGCAGTATGACTCCTCCATATTGGAGCAGCTCAAAGATGCCAATAGCTGCGTCTGGGCTCTGGGCATCAGCCAGTCGAAGGTCACAAAGGATGAATACATTACAATCACCAAGAACTACGCCCTCGCGGCCGCACGCGCATTCTCCTCGCTTTCAACCTCGCAAGGCCAGCCTTTTCGCTTCGTCTACGTGTCTGGTGAGGGAGCAACACCAGAAGCGGGCCATTTCACACCGACCTTTGCGAGGATAAAGGGCGAAACCGAAGTTGCACTCGCAGAGATGAGCAACGAGCTTCGCACCATGCGAGTCTACTCAGTCCGGCTCGGTGGCGTAGATGCTTCCCGACATGATGCGATCAAGAAGTATATCCCAGACCCGGCCGCGGTGTATAGGGCTGTGGGGAGTATTTTGTACACTGTGATGAGAACGCTCATGCCGTTGGGTTTGGCGCCTACAGACGTTGCTGGTGATTGTTTTGTAAGAATGGCAATGGAAAAACTGGACGATAGGCTGGAAGGGCCAGGTGCTGTCAAGAATAACCTGTCGTGGATTCTAAACAACAAGGCCATGAGAAGGGTAGCGGGTAGGTGATTCGGACGGTAGGAGAGATATTTGAGAGGAGAGGTTGCAGATGTGTTCTTTGGACAAGGGGGGGTTGCGCATTATGTGTCGCCGTGTTTGGGCCGCATGACGATGTGTCAGTGCAGCTCACAAATGATCCAGCTTCAAATAGGTAGAAAAAGATCGAGTGCTGATGCGGTATTCCGTATACGCCAATGGGCTGTCGTGAGGCCTTGTTATCGACATCATTTGACTAGGGATCGGATCGAATTCGTAAAGTCAGGCTGAGGCCATTAAGCAGATCAAAAGTGGCTACGCCTGGTAAACGCGTAATCGCTAGAAACCGTTGCATCCAGCCTGTGATCAAAGTCAAATCGATGAATCATCGCGGAGCTGGGAACAGCTGAACGGCGCGCCAAGTGGCGTTGCGGTTCGAGTATGTGGGTGGGCGATCACTGGGAATAAGCTTCTCGTACATGGACCACCTGTGGATTTGCGGTTGCATGCAGAGCGCGACTGCATGTGATATCTAGGAACGGCACTGTATATAAACGTTGTACGAGCTCGGGGAACTTACTGCCCAGGTTCTCTTATGTTGACAAACATGATTCATTCGAGCTGAGGATGTAGATAGAGGATCCAAGCGATGTATGAGAAGCACGTCAACTGCAACCTCCTGCAATGAAAGGGGAAGACAGAGGTACTGGTCAAGCGTCAGTCAATTGGGTGGCCTGTTGGCGCCATTCCTACATCCTTCCCCCCTTTCTACCGCCCAGAGCTTCTCTTCTTGATCAGGCGCATGATTCCATTGCCATTGTCAGCAGGGGACTTTGTTCAGGCGGCTTCCAAAAGAGGATTTGTAGAATATTCGTAGGTGTAAGCCGAGTCACGAAGCAGAAAAAAGCAAAATGAAAGACATTGTGTGAAGCTGGGGCAAAGAATAGATTGATATGCTAGGCCGTTTACGGAGATCGTCTGTCAAATCGTGCAGCTGGCTGGGGCAGAAAAATCGGGGAGCAGGGGCGTGTGCTGCTTGAGATTTCGTGTCTGCTCTCCCAGGGTCGACGATACCCGCCTTTGACGGGTGTTGCACTCCATCAGCCAGGTATCCAGCTACCGATCCTTCGAGGGGTGGCTGAAGAGATAGAGAGACCGAGCGGGCGCTAGGGAGCTGCAAAGTGTCTGTATGTACCGTGACCAGCGTCTCTCTCGGCTCGTCTCAAGGTGTGAGCTGCACTTGGTCATTAAGGTAGTGGAGATGCTGAAGTAGCGGCTCAACTAGACAAAGTTTGCCCTAGGCTATGGCTTTTGCAAGTCTCGTGAGTGCGAGATGGCTGGTATGGATGGAGAAGACGTTGGATAAGGGCGATATCGGGAAATCATTGCGGTAACCGTCTCGTCGTTTGAAAGAAGCAACATCCGTCGTCTCTCCCACAGACACGCAGGACATGTAGGGCAGTCGATCGTCGTGGGTATTGCATCTCGTTGACTTCATGTAAACGTCGCATCCCCGCTGGACACGTGAGAGATGCGCGGCAGTCCAGTAGAGAAATCCTCACTGGACGGTTATTAGTTGATCTCTCTCCAACATATCGCGAGTTTAGCCCAACCACTAACCGGCCATCCCATCCATCCGCCTTTCAGGCACACCAGATGGCCTGACCCAACCGATAGCCGCTCGACTCAGAATCTTCTGCCGCTGGGAAGAGCCGCTCAACCGGCGCAGGCGAGGACTTCTTCGTACTGCGCTATAAGCATCGTCAATAGAAAGTGTGGGCATGATTCGTTCCGGCAAACCTCCGGTCCTGCACCGAATCCACCACTCTGAGCACCCACCCGATGGACCTGAGAGAGAAAAAAAATTGGTCGTCAAAGAGTCCAGACCGAGCCAGAACGTCGTCTAAGGTAGCAGCCATCCACACGACTCAAGGGTCCCGGCGCGAGCTTTGTTCTTTTCGGGTTGTTTGTTCAACTCGTGCGCAGGCGCCACAGCAGGGGCTCTCGTCAACGGGGATCTGTAAGATTTTATTTTTTCCCATCCCTTGCCTTCGCGGTTCTTTTGCTGTAGTAGTGCTGGGTCGAAGCATTGGCGACGTCTCCATTCAGTGTACTGGAGCACCTGAGAAGGGGAGTCGAGGCCATGGGGCAGACCCGGGGAAGACCGAACTGCTGGGGCTCTTTCGCTTGTTGAAGAATCGCTGCAGGCTGCGGGATCTGGAGGAGATTGGCTCTGCACTGACTGACACGGACACGAACTCGCTGGCACCGGATCTGTATGCGGCAAAAGCGCTCATCTGCTGACTTGAAGGAAGAAGTTTAAGCCGAGGAGTAAAAGATGTCGAGATTATCCTCAATTTTCAGGCACGGCTTATTCAGGGCGATAACGCAAACGTGGAAGCTGCGATGCTGCACAGTGTTAGCTCCAGGCGATATGCTTGGACAAGTACCGCTACAGGGCACGATACCCGCCAGCTCCAGTTGAGCGTGCCCTACCTGACCTGACCTCGTGAGTGTTGGAGGCAACCTCGATGTCTGTACTTACATAGTACCTACTACTACCTTAGGTAGGTAGTAGGTAGTCATACAGTGCTTCGTACAGTACCTACCTGACAGTAACTCTTGCCGTCAGAAACAACATAATCTTCCCAATCTCTTCCATCTCCAACCAAGTAGGTACCTTATTCGACTTCATTTCCCCTCTGCGAGTAAACCTCACGATACTACTAGTATGTACGAACACTCTCGACCTCCAAAGAGCCTCTCGCCAATTTCGCTCCGGGATCATCGCACAACGCACGAGTACCTGCGCCGGAACTGTGGAACCGTCCATTGACGAGCTCCACGCGGAATGGCGGCACTGACTTAAGGCGTACGTCTGGTCTTCCTACTGGCTGCCAACAACTCATTGATTGCCACACTCCCTCTTCTCGCAGCTTCTTCGCACGCCCCAAGCATCTCCTCAGGGACTCCCATTCGCAATGCCGTTGCCGCAAGTACCGGTACCGCTGCCATCAAGCTCCTTTCCATGGTCTACTGGGCAGCAACCCCTCCATCCATCTTCACGGTCAAGCTCATGATGACTTGGTCATGGCGACAACAGACCAGTTGACTCAGCTTTAAGGGCGAGAACCTCCCCCGACTTGTGTCCCCCTCGATTCGACTTCATCCCATCCTTGCGGCCTGCTCTTTGATTGCTCGTCTGTTGTTTCCTGTTTGTTGCCCGCGTTTGTCTGCTGCTTCTTTGCTTTTCTTATCATAATTCCGCCTGGACGACTCGGGAATTCGACCGTTCAAATCTCTAATACGCCACAAAGACTGCGTCCCATCACAGAAGCCAACCTCGCCCATCAATCAGCAGTCCTCAAAAACTCTCCCCATCACAACGATACCATCCGTACACCCTTGACACACTATTCTCTATACTCGATCCTGAGTGTTCCGTGGCAAATCAAGCCAGAGATCACCTCGCTCTGTTGCGCCCTTGGACGTAACAAAACTATCTCTCGCAGCGCCCAACCATGTCAGCCTCTTCTCAGGGAACTACTCGCCCTTTCAAAGGGTCCAAGAGCGGCACTGTTCACAATCCCACCATGGAGGTCAAGATAGACCAGCACTTCAACACCAAGGTCTATACCTCCGGGTCCACCATCGCCGGCCATGTTGCAGTCCGTCCCCTGAAGGACACTGCATTCAGCAGCTTGGACATTGTCTTTGTCGGTATCTCTGCCACTCGCCTCGATTTTGTCCAGCAGTACCCTTCACACTCCTTCAGGCCGTTCTTGAAAATTCGCATGCCCATCCAGGAGTCGGACTTGCCCGGAGACCGGGTATTTCGAGCCGGATGCGAGTACAAGATACCCTTTCACTTTGTCGTCCCACATCAGCTCACCATTGGGGCCTGCAATCACGCCTGCTTGTCACAAAACGTCCGCGAGAGACACTTGCGACTACCCCCTAGCCTGGGTGCGTGGGCGGCTGATGATCAAGCTCCAGATATGACGCAGATCGAGTACGCAATCAACGCCAAGGCCATCCAACATGGAAACGGAGCTGTCACAAAGGTGATGGAGGCCCACCACATCCTCAAGGTGCTTCCGGCGCTTCCTGAGGATGCGCCGCTCGATATTACCTTTCGAGACGAGTGGTATAAGCTGTCCAAGACCAAGACTATCCGAAAGAGCTTGTTCTCGAGCAAGACGGGCCAGTTCACTGCAAGCGCTATTCAGCCCAGTGCCGTCATGCTCTCAGCCGATGGCCACAAATCCTCCATGACGAAGGTCCGTATCAACTTGGAGTATGCTCCGTCGTCCGCCGAGACGGCTCCTCCCAAAATTAACTCGGTCACGGGCAAACTCGTCTCGACCACATTCTTCAGCGCTGTACCGGTGGACCATCTGCCGAACTTGGGCAGCCGGACAAACTGCGAGAGTACCCCATGCTTGAACTATACGACGACCCATTCGCTATTCACTCTGCCAGTGGAATCAGTGTCATGGATGCAGCAGGAAGCGTCATCACGTTCTCGGCGAGATTCTGGCTACTCCAGCACTGTGGTGGATGGAGACGCCTCAGAGTCGGATTCGTCTGCGAGGCGAAGGCGCCAAAGCAGCAGAGGAAAAAGCACCAAGAAGCCCAAGCTCTCAACGATCAAACACACCACCGATATCGAGATTCCGTTCACCGTGACCAACACCAACAAGAAGCTCTTTCTCCCAAGCTTCCACTCTTGTTTGATCTCTCGATCTTATACACTACAGTTGAGTCTGTCTGTCGGACCGACAAACACCGCCATCTCGCTGGCCGTGCCTCTGCAGATTGGCGTCGAGACAGTTTACGAGCCCCAGGGCCACGAGCTCCCTAGCTTCGAGAGCGCGCTGGCTCAGGCCGAGGAAGAAGAGGCGGACGCCTACTTGCAGCCTCGTGTGATCCATATTCCGGATTCCAGGCCGCAGGATCATAATATGTTGCCGGGATACAATGAGTTGAGCCGGAGAACCATTGGCGTGGCTTAATCGCACGCTGTTGGTATTTAACTGTCTTTCCTTTTTTTTCCCCTTCCTTTCTTTCTTTTGTTTCTCGCGATTTCTGCTGTGGTAATCTTGTTAGCATGGAGTTTGGGAGATGGGCCATCTATCAAAGAATGTTTCAGCCATTGAATGAGTTTTAGTTCGGTTCAGTCCAGCCCACGGCAATGGCTTGCCTCCCAAGTCACATAATTCATTCTCTCAGGATCATAGGGTTCTTATATATATAATTGATACCATAGGTGGTTGATTCTCGTAGCAGAAGTTGACAAAAAACTTCTATCAACCAAGATTCTTCTCATACTACACCCTTGCCAACATTATCATATTTTTACTAGTATGCAGCAAGCATCGTGAGCGTTGATGCTCGATTGTGCTATTCAATGCGCGTGTGTCTCATGTAGGTTACTTCCGACTTCAACCACTCGACGTCAGGTAGTAGGTAGATCACCTAACTTACCTTCTGGAGTTATTGACAAGGACCAGTTTCAGCCCCGCTCGGTTTATCGAACGACGGCATCAGGATCAATGAGACATCATGAGCTTCATCAATTGTGTTTCCAGCTGCTAGTATAGAGACAGCCCTTAAGAGGTAAAAGCGCAGCTCCCTGTTGGCCAGAGATAGAATATCCCCCATGTAATCGACCCATGTTAGGTATGTATGATACACGAAAAAAAATCAGATAGCAGAATTCGCCGAAAATTCTTGTTCCATCAACCGCAAGATGAGCGGGCAGGAGAGACCCAAGCCAGGTGCGATTCCAGCACCTTTGAGTGATTGGCCCGCCCGTATATGATTAGATGCCTCAAAAGGAGGGCCGCCTCACGCCCGCAAGCGGAGGCGGCGAAGTTATGCATTGTGAGCCCTATCACCTTTTCGGGCTTTGTTTACTCGTCCTTGGTGTCGACCTTCTTCGCAGCAGGGGCTGCAGACTCCTCCTCCTCCCGGGGTCGCTTCAGGTTGGTTGCGGCAGCATCCACGCGTTTCCTAGTTTACTGTGTTAGTTTGACCATTTCACAAGGGATTGGTATCAAATCGAGCAAGGGGGGGAAATGCTTACTCCTGTCGGCCAGAGTCGCGGTCACGGCCGCCGCGGCCTCGACCACCTCGGCCCCGTCCACCGCGACCACGGCCACCGCCGCGGCCTCCCTTGAAGCCATTCTTCTGGTCCTGCTCGCGTCGCTTCTTCCAGTCGTCCTGGTTGCCAGAGGCGCCGCTGCGCAGATTTCTCTTGCCGTAGTCCTTGCCCTCGTAGAACTTCTTCTGCGATGTGCCATTGGGCGCCAGCTTTCCTTGCTTGATCAGCTCGCTCTTCTCCTCGCAATAGTCGCGCTTGGACATGATCTTGAGGTCGTGGTCCTTCCACTTGGGAGCGGGATCCAGGGCAAGGAACTTCTTGGCCGTCTCCTCGTCGGCGAATGTGACAAAGACGGAGCCCTTGAAGAGACCCTCGTTGGTGCGGCGAAGCTTCAGTCCGCTGACCTCGCCAAACTGGGCAAAGAACTTCTCCAGCTCGAACTGGGTGTCGGGCTGCTCGTCACCAAAGCCCTTGGCGTAGACAGTGGCAGCCTCGGCCTTGGCCTTGGAGGTCGTCATGGGCTTGTAGGGCACCTTGCGCTTCACCACCTCCTTGCCTTCCTCTCCAGACACCTCGAGGAACTTGCTTTCCCTGAGGGCGGCAACAACAGCACTGTAAGGCTGGAAGCATCGCATGCGCTTGAATGAGTGGATCGTTGCAATGGGCATGGGCTTGTTCTCTGATCCTCCGCACGTCTCCCACATGAACTTGTCCTGGGGGAAGTTCCAGTCGCCAAAGTAGAACTCGACCTGTTCCACTGTCTGTCAGTATATGCTTCAGGAGGTGGTGTGGGCTCTGAGTATCCATCCTTACCTGCTTCCTGATCTCCTCAGGGTCGTCGGTCACCTGTCGGACCGAGGGGTCAAACTTGCGGTTGCTCTGCAGGTTCTCGCGGTCAATCTTGGCCGTGGTCTTGAGGATGTTGGCGCCATCCTTCTTTTCGGGCTCGCCAGCGTCCTTCTTCTCTTCAGCCTCCTTGGTCTCTTCAGCCTCCTTGGTCTCTTCAGCCTCCTTGGTCTCTTCAGCCTCCTTGGTCTCTTCAACCTCCTTGGTCTCTTCAACCTCCTTGGTCTCTTCAACCTCCTTGGTCTCTTCAACCTCCTTGGTCTCTTCAGCCTCCTTGGCCTCAATGTTCTCGGTGGCTTCGTTCACCTCAGCGGCCTCGGGATGGGCAACCGCCGCCTCCTTCAGCTCGACGGGTGCCACGGGCTCGGTGGTGTTCTGGACAGCCTCTGCTTCGCTCATTTTGAATCTTCAGGGTCGGAAGACTCAAGATGGTTTTCTAATGTATACGCGATGAATTGGCGACCGGAGAGAGTGTCGTGGCTCGTAGTAGCGAATAGGTAGAAGCCCTGCAGAGAGCGAGTGAGTCTGGCAGCTCAAGTGATGCGGATTCGCTTGCAAATATCGAGCTGCAATGCTGCTGGAGTTGCCTGATGCTTACCTGTGGGTTCAATTCGCGTGTCGCCTGTTTCTCTATATGGAAGACTGATGGAGCTTGAAGAAACGGATGGCTGAACCACGAAATTGATGAATAAAGATCGAGGTTGGAGGTGCAGCAATTCCGTCGCGACTTGGATTAGAAGAAAAAAAAAAGATATTTGGGGCGCAAAAAATCTATGCGAGATCTGCTGGGGCCCCACTCAAAGACGGCAACCCCACCACCTGCTTGGACAAGCGCGCACCCACTTGGAGGTACCTGCTGGCGACTCGGAGTCAGCCGCTATCAGATATGCTTTTGCTGCTTCTTTGGCGATGTTGATCTATCGGATGGCTGGCTATTGGGAGTGCTCATAAAGTACCTACCTATGGACTGGCGACTAACTGCAGCGGGTTCGTGGCAGCTACAGTACAGGCAGCGTTGATAGCGGACCCTGACGTTTAAGGTAGTGATGCACATGAAATCCGACCTGGAATGGCCTTCAAGCTGCAGCTATTTGGTAGGTATTGAATGGTAATCTTTGAAAATGAGAAATGAGAGACTTTACAGCTGGAGAGCACTGCGGACTTTGCTGTCACTGCCATCAGAGGTAACATAGATGTCCCCTTTTGCCTCGTACCGTCCATGTCTACTGTATTTCTCGGTCTGACGGCAAGAGAAGAGTCATCCATCCATCCCTGGCAACTCTCCCCAGGCAGACTCGACTGTAGGTACCTAATATCTCTCTGAGTCATCTATTCAACAGCCATATCCAACGACAATTGGATATGAAATTAGCATCTCATTGAGGCACCGCCGTGCATCGTGTGACCAAGGTGCAGCATTAGAACGCCCAATGGAAGCTTCCACATGCTAGATGGCTACGCCTTGGCGGGGTGTTGCGCCTGCAGGTTCCGAGGTACCTGGCTAACCGCAGCATTGACGTAACGACTACGCCAACAAGCAGCAGCTGCGCGTTGGAATGGTCTCATCACGCCAAAAAGTCGCAATTAACCATAAATCCCGTCAAAAACACTACATATCTAGCTGCTCCATTTGCCACCATGACCTGCATGGAGTGAAGTCTCGCAGCAGATCATCTCGAAACCGCTTCTTCTTGAATCTCAAGGCTGATGTCGTCACTCCTTTGACCAGCAAGCCGGCTCTTGTGAGCTGAGGCTCAAAAGCCACATTCAGAACATCATCATCACACGCGATCATGAGATATCCCGTAAAATTGCCGCGGCCGTTGATATCCCTCAGGTCGAGCCTGAGAGCTTCGCGGCGCCCTCCAGCCTCAGCAACTCGACTTGACCGCAGCTTCTTCACGCAGTCAAAACGCCAAAAGAGACAGCAGCCAACCAGCTTACCAGCCACAGTCCTTGCTCTGGGTCTCTTCACGTGGTGGCTGTATCCAACAGAGGACTTTGCTCGCCTATCCGAAAGTCAAAAAGCCAAGCGGAGGAGAAGAGCGGAAGAGGAAGAGGAAGAAGGTGATGACGAGACCGAAGATCAGGAGTCCTATCAGCTCGTGACGGAGAAAACTGACGACGGTGCCTGGGCGTACTTTGCACGGCAGTTTGAGTTCTTCTCTTCAGCGGCCGAGCTGGAATGGGCTGCTCTGTCTGATCGGCTGGTTGATGCCATTATCCCGGAGTGGTGGAAAAACATACCCATTTACGTGAGGAAGCTCCAGCGGGAGCTATCTGCGTCTCCGGGATCGCTAGCGGAGGAGATATGGCAGGAGGCTCATGACCCTGACATCAACCCCGAGATACAATACTCTGCTGCTGTTCGAGTCTCGACGGAACTGTGCGACGAAGAGAAGGAATACCTCTCCAGGCGGAGACTCGTCACGAGGGCGGCATTGGCAAACTATCTGGGGCTGGACGAGCAGGACATTCACCCCGATGATGTGCCAACAATTGCCATGTGCGGATCGGGAGGCGGCATGCGAGCTCTGATAGCAGGGACTGGATCGATGTATGCGACAGACGAGGACGGGCTCTTTGACTGCGTCACTTATACCGCTGGTGTAAGTGGGACCTGCTGGCTTCAGATGCTTTACCTCTCGTCCTTTGCGAGAGGAAGCGTCAGCGCTCTCATACATCACTTGAAAGCAAGAGCATCTACGCACATAGCCTATCCACCGGTGGCCTTTCAATCCCTGACCTCACTACCGACAAGCAAATTTCTATTGAGCGGACTGGTTGAAAAGCTCAAGGGAGATCCCCATGCCGACTTTGGGCTCGTCGACATTTACGGCCTTTTGCTGGGCGCCAGATACTTGATCCCTAGGGGCGAACTGGGCGTCGATGCAAGAGACTTTAAGCTGTCGAATCAGCGCCTCTATATACGACAGGGACAACGTCCGCTTCCCATATATACAGTTGTGCGCCACGAAATCCCGGCTGAGGAGCCCCAGGACACCAGCGATACCACGGTACCCACGGTGGAAGAGATGAGAAAGGAACCCTACTTCCAGTGGTTCGAGCTCACGCCCTACGAGTTCTTTTGCGAAGAGTTTTCGGCGGGAATCCCGACATGGGCGCTCGGCAGACGCTTTTCTAATGGACACGACGTATCGGATCATGGTTTTCACCTGCCAGAGATCAGGACCCCCCTACTCATGGGTATCTTTGGGAGCGCGTTCTGCGCGACACTCAGCCACTACTATCGCGAGATTAGACCACTTATTAGAACAATTACCGGCTTTCAGACGATAGACGACCTGGTGTCAGGCAGAAACGAGGATCTTAGCAAAGTACACCCTATAGACCCCGCCATTATCCCCAACTTTGCATATCAGATGTACGGCAAGCTGCCCAGCACCACGCCAAGGAGCATCCTGGAAGGGGAGTACATCCAGCTCATGGATGCGGGAATGTCCAACAACTTGCCCATATATCCACTGCTGCGGCCGGGTCGCAACGTGGACATTCTCATCGCATTTGATGCCTCGGCCGACATCAAGACGGACAACTGGCTTTCCGTTGCGGATGGCTACGCGCGGCAACGAGGCATCAAAGGATGGCCGGTGGGCATCGGGTGGCCAAAGGACGAAACGCCTGAGCAGGCGAGAAAAGAGCTGGAGGAAGCCCAGGCGGCAACAGCAGCCGAAGCGGAGCGGAAAGTGGAAGAAGCTCGGGCTGAGCAGGAAGAACGCCGAAAGGCCTCTTCAGACGACCAGAAGAAGCTCGACGTTGAGTCCAAGTTTTCCCCGGGCAGCGAAAAGGCAGGGGAGCTCGGCTACTGCTCCGTATGGATTGGGACGACGGAGGAGCGATCCACGGATTCGCCGCCCATCACCAAGCCCATCACGGACGACACGTCGTGGAGGCTGATGGAGCCTGACGCGGGCCTCGCCGTCATCTATCTCCCGCTTCTCTCCAACGAAAAGGTGCCCGGCATCTCGCCCGGCACCACGGACTTTTTGAGCACGTGGAACTTTGTGTATACCCCTGAGCAGATAGACAGCGTCGTTCAGCTTGCGCGCGCCAACTACGACGAGGGAAAGGAGCAGATCAGGGCTACCGTGCGGGCTGTGTACGAGCGCAAGAAGCAGCTGCGGGTGCAGGGCGAGACGAGGCGTCTGATGGTTAAGGGGGAGGCGGATCTGCTTCATCATGGGGATCAGTTTAGCTAGGCTGGCGGCTGGCGACGAAAAGGAATTCCGGGGAAAATATAGAGAAAAATGCTGTTTGAGCCTGTACCTATATCATGCTGTATCATATCCTGTACATTTCGAATTCATCTTTTCTTTTACGCCGAATGAGATTGTGTCTGTCCAAGTTTGATTTTTACGATATGTTTTGTATTATACAGTTGAGGGCGACGTTTCTCTAACCCAAACATACATGCTCCGTACCTCCCTTCTTTCATGAACCCGTCCATCGCTCCGTTGCCCTTTTTTGCTTCTTTTCTTGCTTTCTCATTCACTTCGTACATGTATACACACACACATATATACCCTGAGATCCCATTCCCAAATTCCATGACTCATTGGGAGGGGGGATGGAATATCATCACCACCTTCAGCAACTAGCGCTTTAGATGATTTCACCGATATCAATGTGCGGCGCCGTCCACGGCTTGGCGCCCGGCTCCATCATGTCGCTGGGCACCCGCACCTTGTTGCCCGGGCTATACAGGTACCACGCCTTGAGCGACGTCATACACGCCTTCCGCCGGGCGACGTCGAGGCTGGCGCCGGTGCCCTCGCCCAGCTTCTCCTTGCCGCTGTAGATGCCGACGACGTAGACGGGCGTGCGGGACAGCCGGCCCGTCTCGCTCTCGAGGCGCGCGACGGGGGGCTCGAAGCCCTCGCGGGCGCACAGCATGGCCAGCTCGCGGGTGGGCAGCTTGAACTGGAAGAGTCTTGAAGGGTCGAGCTCGCGCGACAGGATGTGCGACTTGACGAAGGCCTTGGCCTCGTCGCGGCCGCAGTGGGTGTAAATGGCGCCGATGACGGCCTGGACGACGGAGCCAAAAGCCTCGCTCTGCAGCGTGTTGTACTCTAGCCTCTCGGACTCGGAGGCGCTGCTGCTGCTGCTGCTGCTGCTGCTGCTGCTGACCTGGTCACCAAAGTCGCTGTCCAAGACGACGCGGCTGCTCAGTCCTCGCCTCCAGGCCTTTCCCTTGGCCGCCTCGGAGCGGATGTACCCCCAGCGCGTGTTGACCACGTTGCTCTCGCCGGCCTTCCACTGCAGCAGGCCCGGGTCGACTTCCTCCCCGGGTGCGGCAGCCGCCTCGACACCCCATCTCCGGGCAATCTGCTGCAGCGACTCGTCGCCGGCGTAGGCCCTCAGCGCCTCGTACAGGATGGCCATTGGCAGGCGGGGCCACTTGCAGACGAGGTACTCGTAGACGTGGAAGTTGATGATTGTGCTCCCCAGGTAGGCCAGGTTCGCATTGTTGAAGTTGGGGTTCGCGTCCGCGGACGGCGTCACCAGGGCCCTGGCGAGCGTCTGCAGCGGGATCTTCTTCGAGAGGGAGAGGCGGGCGTGTAGGGCGGCGAGCTTTGCGGATTGGGGAGCCCGGTCGAATGAGGGAGCCGGGAGGGGAGGAGCAGGAGGAGGTGAGGCGGAAGAAGAAGAGTCGAGGGTCGAGGAGTCGCTCGCGGGGACGGAGGAGGTCGATTGGCATCTGACGGCGAGGCAGAGAGGCGTTCTAGCGGCTGGGATGCCGGCGCCGCGGCGGGCCTGGAGCAATTGGCCGCTCCATCGTGAGGGTCGTATTCTCTTCATGTGGGAGGTGATTGGTGATGTCGAAGTATAAGAAACAGAAGTAGAAGAAGAAAAAAAAATCCCCCTCTAAAGCCGGTGCCCCTCAGCCTCTATATGATACGACCCGCAAAAGACGTCCAGAGAAGCAGGTCAAACGGGGGCAAATTGGAGAAATACCGCAGCTGAGGCAAGGGAAGCAGACAAATGTCGCTGTCCCGGAACTGCCTCGTCGAGAGAAACCTAGGATTCGTTGCGTCGATTGATGCTCCCCAGGTTCAAAAAAAGTCGTGTGAGCCGTTTGCCCACCTGCTTTTTCGCAAACTTGCGACCTTTGGCGCCCACATTGCGGGCGGAATTACTTCGGGCCGGCTATTTTGCGCTCTGGCTGAGCTATTGGCGGGACTTCCGTCCTCACCTTTGGCTTCGTTGATTGTATGATCCTTTGAAAGCGCTGGATAGCAGATTGCCCAGTTATCCCTGCAATTGCGCGCCAAAAAGACCGTATCCAGACGTCTTTTGATACATTTTTCACAATGGTGAGTGGGATGATTAGGCACTGCTCAAGAGGATACCAGCTAACTAGATGTCCAGGGTGGCGGAGGAAAAGTCCCGTAAGTTGATCTCGTCGAACCGAAGCTCGAATCTACTGCCCTGCCCCTCGAGACGAGTCGTCCTACTTACGGATTCTTCAATCGCACAGTTACCCCAAGCACGTCTGGTCGCCTGCCGGTGGTTGGTACGCCCAGCCTGCCAACTGGCGCGCCAACACGTTCATCGCCGGCGCCGTGATGTTTGGCGTCGTCGCCATTACGTGGAAGTTCAGTGCCGACAGGGAACGATGGGCGCACAAGCCAGAGCCCTGGGAGTGGCATCCTAGCCGATAGTACGTTTCTTCCGCGCGACTACATGTGGAAGTGCTGGAAGGGAGTTTGCTAACGTTGCGGGTGCCTTGTGAAGCTGGTCGAAGCAGTTGATTGAGTGGGACAAGGAGGATAAGCTGAAGGCGGCGAACGGCACGAAGGAGTAGGTTACGGGCGGAAAAGGATAATAGACGGAATTGTACAAAGCCATACGACCAAATCAAACATTTGAACCAAGACCGGTTCTCCCAAGTCCGATATCAAGCGACCTCTTGTCTGGAAAGCATTAACTGTCAATCACCACTGCAGAATAACCCCCTGGGACATACAGGTGTCACTTATGGCCACGAACCACTCGATCTAGGACGACAAGGCATAGATGGATCTGCATTGCTGGGCCATCTGCGAGTAGTCACGCATGTCGTGAGACGGTAGGCACGAGGGCTGTCCGGATGCCTTGCATTCGGGTAATACGGCGCCGAATTCAGCACACCGTTCGGAAGATCATGCATTCCCCAAAACTTCAATACAGACAATCCCCTGAAACCCTCTTATGCCGATTGCGCAGCATCTAGATCCATGCTGACGGGATACAGATTCATTCCGGAAGGCTGCCTACAGCATCTCACCCAACTAACAGCGTATCAGTAAATGCACGTCAGCCTTATCAGAGCCTTGCGAGCCTGACCTGAACCTTCAGAAACCCCAGCTTGCCGCCTCTGTATCTCCATAGGGATATGTCAAGGTCTGCAGGGGGGGGCTGCTTCCCAGAACCAGGCTGGTATCAGGCTCTGATACACCTCCACGTTGGGAACTTCCTGTACCTTTGGACCCTGCGGCTGAGTTTTGGTCCGTCAATTTGCATATGAGCTATTGCGTATGAGCGATATAACTCGCTGGTCTTAATTACCTAGCTCATGTAAGGTAAGGTATGTTCATGTTGGCACCCAAAATGCAGTGTGTATCAGACACATCGACTTCAACTTATCGCCGTACCTTGAATTACAGTGGCCAGCCTCTTGTACAACACAGCAGGCCGAGCCAAGGCATATTTCGGGGTACTGTTTGTGACGATTCATATTTGACTCAGCTTCTTCGATCTGCCTTGGCTTGCGTGCGCCCAATTAATGGTGATGGAGGCTGCATGTCACGCTGCAAGCTACTTCTACGCCCAGTCAATGAATGGTACATGTAACAAACAGACTGGAGCCCTGACAATTGCCGTCGTACAGGATACAGCGCAAACCAGTTGAGATCCGCCCGCAGAATCGTACCAGTACCTTTTAGTTTTGGACTCAGCTTGGAGGCTGGGGTCCAATTCTTTTTTGCAGCATTTGCAAGCACTGCCTGCAGTGACGAGATTCACAGTGTGTGATTTCCAAGCCCAGCATCACTCAGATGTCGTCGCCCATTCACTCACTTGAACAATCACGCCCGGCAACCTGGAGCACCTGCACACAGTACATACAATAGATCACATAATGCTCGGCAACGGGCTACAGGGCACCCACAGGCACCTACGGGGCCCTTACAGGCGGCTACCGGCGCTAAACGGCAGTGGCTCTGGCTGCTGCTCCGCCCTGACGAAACGTCACTCGGCCGCTGGCAGCAACCTAATCATGCCCACCATCGAACCCGCGTTACACCAGCCTGAGGTGAAAATACACTCGGCTGGTGCTCCAAGATAGATTGGACTCTTTGCCTCCTTCATCTCCCTGCGGTTCCTCTGGTCCTTTTCTTTTCATTCTTCTTCTTTCCTTGTCCTTCCTTTCTCTTCTCCTCATGGTCACTTGTGCGGCCATACCTTACGACTTCCTGTGAAGGACCCTGCGGACCTGCAGCATCGCCCGTCACCGCCAGGCTGCGGCCATCTTGGCGTCATCGTTCTCCGGCCTCTACTGTGCCCACCACTCCAAGCTCCCGTCCTACGGCCTCTACCATCTTCCGCACGCCTATTTTCTTCCCTTTTTTTGCGGCTTTTCTCCGACCGATTTAACCTGCGCGCTCGCTGCGTGATCTCTCGCCACCTCCGGGCTGCCTCTTGATGAGCGCTGTTGCCGGAGTTTCTGTTCATTTATTATATTTCCGCTCTCCTCCGACGAGGCGATTCTCTCGACCGTGAGACTCTCGCCGATGCAGGTGGCCCCTGCAAGGCATTTAGTCATCTCGACCGAGCGATAGCGTACATATACAACGGCGCTCGTTGTCCGATCACGATCCGGACATACGCAGCTTCCCTCTGCCCTACAAGTCGGCCGCCTTTGGCCGCTGGAAATCCAACGCCTGGCGATCCGGGACATTGGGCTGTCTGTGCGGCTCGCCCTGCTGCACCGTTGCCGTTGGCCGAGCCCGGCGCCTTGACTGCGATTCACCGCAGGCTGCAGGTTGGAGAGACAAGATGGATTTCGGAGGACGTCGACAACGACATCTCGACGCAGGCGCCGGTCGTGAGGTCGTTTACTGCCATGCCTGCACTAACGAGTGGTACCGCGACGAGCGAGGCTTGCAATGCCCCGGCTGCGGCAGTGATATCACCGAAATTGTACGTTCTTCTTGGGTCTCTCTCTCTGCCGAACTTTGAATGCCTCTGTCTAACCTTACTCGCAGGTGAGCCCGGATAATGACCCTCGAGAGCTTGACGACTCAGAAACGTCATCTACCGGACCTCATGAGTCGTACCCAATGGGGATCGGGATGTTCGAAGGTGACGACCATCACCAGACTCGCGGCCAGCACCACGACATGGATTCGGACCCCGACGAAGCTGATATTGAAGAGCATCTTGGGCCACACGGATTCCATTTTCGCCGGAGCGTTAGAGTCCGCCCGGGCGATGAGCACCACGATCCCGCCGTGGACCCGGTGATAGAACGCTTTCTCGGCATGATCCAGGATTTTGCGCCCACGCAACGGCCGGCAGACGAAGCGCGGCCGGCACATGCCCATCCGCACATTCACCGCGCGACATTCATGAACGGTAGTGGTAGCGCCTCCGTCACCATCTTTTCCGGCCCTTCGTCTGAGTTTTTCGGGCCTGGTTCTCCTGGTCATGATCACCACGGTGACCTTTTTCAGACGTAAGTTGGCTCACTCCTATGAAACCCCTCGGAACTCCATCTGTTCATGAAGCTAACCGTTTGTTTTCATCTCTCTAGATTCTTTTCTAATGTCCTTCGGGACGTGTCACCCCCTACTGGAGGTCGAGAGGCGGGCGGCCCTACTCCAGGATTTGCGAGGGGGCTGCAGGAAATTCTGAACCTGTTTAACCCGGCACACGCCATCTCTGGAGATGCCGTTTATTCTCAGGAAGCACTAGACCAGATCATCACGAACCTCATGGAGGCGCATCCGACGTCGAATGCCGCGCCGCCAGCGTCGAGCGAGGCTCTCGCCAATCTGGATCGACGCCCGGTAGAAGAGTCCATGTTGGAAAGCGACTCAAAGACAGAGTGCACCATCTGCATCGACGACATGAATGTAGGTGATTCGGCTGCCTTCCTGCCCTGTAAGCACTGGTTCCACGAAGAGTGCGTCACCCTGTGGCTCAAAGAACACAACACGTGCCCGGTCTGCCGAGCGTCCATCGAAAAGGCCGGCGGAAACGCCAACAGTACGAACGACCAGGCAAATGCACGCGCCACCGCAACGGCAAGCGCCGGCCCCAGCTCCGATGGTCACCCAACAGGAGAGCCTTATGCGGCGGGAAGTATCTTCACCCGTAGCTTTCCGCTTCCGATTCCAGCAGCACGACCTCAGTACTCTCGCCCCCCGAGCCAGAGCCAGAGCCGGCTGAACGAGGCCATGAGGAGCATCTCATCGTTGCAGCAAGAGCGGCAGCAGCAGCAAGACCGCGAGCAGGAGAGGCACCGCATCTGGGGGGTCCCGTTGGACCGAGGAGGGGAACGGCAGCAGGAGCGCGAAAGGGAGAGAGACCGGCTATGGGGAGTGCCGTCCAGCATGGCCTACGACACCTCACGGATGCAGCGCCGAAGCTCTCGAACTTCGGCTTCCCCTACGAGCCCTAGAATGTCCTCGTTTGCAGATTACAGAGTGCGTCCGCGCCAAGGCAGTCCGACCCAGAGCAGCCGCCGCGACGGGGGCAACAGTAACGCCAACAGTAATGGCAACGGCAACGGCAATGGCAATGGCAATGGCAATGGCGGCTCTGGCTCTGGCTCAGGTGGCTCTGGTCAGCAGACCAGTAGCTCTGGACCCTTCAGCTGGCTCAGAGACAGGTTCTCAGGGGGAAGTTCTCGAGACGATGCCAACCGTGACGAGCGCTGACCTTGCTCTCGACACGTCGCCCGCAAGTGTGGACTCAAGCTCACTTCATGCATGAGGATCAACGTCAATCCCTCTGAAGTAAGGCATTGCTTGAAACCACACGATAGCCTAGCGGGGATTGGCTCGATAGTTTGCCTCTGATGTCCAAGCCAGAGGACTGTGGGATCGAATGGAAAGAAGAATAACCGAGGCTTCGGGCGATGAAGCTTCAAGCGCACTGACTGAGGTCACAAGTGCATACCATGACGATATGACGATAGAAGGCTTTGCACACACACAAGTGGTGATATTTTAGCTTGCACAATGATTTGAAGACTGCCTAAAAACCTGTTTCTATATCAGGCAGTATTGGGAAAGCGGAAAGGGGGAGGCATACTCCAAGAAGTAAATTACGGTCGTTTCGTCCTCCTTCTATAGTTGCGTTGGCTGCGGTTCGCTCGCGGTATATATGAAGGGCCTGCTAGCCAATAGCAGTCGCATGAGTGCAGTTCATCGACTAAGGCCGTTGCCGCCGGGTCGGTATGCGGATAGCATCTGATAGTTGTAGTATTTTACGTGTCAACTTTTCCTTCTTTTCTGAGCTGTCGGGTGCTTGCAATTTTGTCGTTGTTTCTAACGACCGGGCTTCGAGCGGGATTCGGGATGTTGGGCTGCTTTTTCTTTCCCGCGCTGGCCAGGGGTCCTAAGGTACCTACCTAAGGCAAGATCCATCGTCATGGCAGTTGTCGGCAGTTGAGCTGACTGACTTACGGCCGCTACGGCGAATATACAAAACTAGTTGGAAGGCTGAAGGCTTCACATAAGGTAGGACCGGTTGCTTGGCTTGACACTTTCTCGAACGGGTTTAACATGCTTCAAGGGACTCTTTCGTTGAGGTCAAGAGAAGGGTTGAGTTACATTCACGAGCCGGCCCCACCGCCGTGAGCCGAGGCGCCGAGGCACGTAGATGGAAGGGTGGATTCAGGGCTGTAATACAGCATGTAGTACATATGTGGGAGGCGATAACAAAAGATGTGACAGGAAAAAGAAAATGTGATGATGATGCCACGGAGACGGAGACGGAGATGGAGACGGGGACGGAGACGGAATTGATGAGGTAGGGCCGGCCGGTGGTGTACGTTGTGATGTTTCGGGGGTTTGGAACTACCTCTAGGTATATGGTCTTCTGAGACGCATGAAGCTGGGCATCTTGTCCGTCATGGTCAAGCCAAGATGTTTTATATCTACAATGCGAAAAGAGACGGAATCCAATATTGGCAATAGACATTGCCTGCTGCCTGGGACAGTAGGTATGTAGATAAGAGACGCCCCGTGTCCGGGTGTGAGTCCCGTCATTTGCGGGCTCATCGGCTGATGTGTACAGTACGGAATAGTGTGAGGCGAAGTCCGTTTGAGGTTTTATGGTTGGTCTCATATCGTAAAGGGGGGAAACATGAAGACCCCGTTTCGCGGTCCACGCCACTGACGGATGGCATAGGGGAGAGCGAGCCGAGGCACCTCAACAGGTTCCATCTCTGATCGAGATGCGCAGCAAGGGAATGAAGATGGTGCAATGGATATGGACCTGGAAGAGAGTCGGCATTCGTTGACTTGTCTGCTGTATAAGCGGCACCAGGGTCTCCAATCTAAGCTTCCCGAGACCGAGAAGCAGGTAAGCAGGATGGATGCACGCCACGTCCGCCTGCTCCACCGCGGCGCCGCTTACAGTAGCTGAGAGCAGAGGCTTCAGGGGTGCGAGCCAGATCCACAGGCAGACAGAGAGAGACGGGATTGCCGTCGGGATGGGTGTAACGATGCGCTGTTGGGCTCCCGAGCGGCCGTGAAGCGAAAAGGACGACGGAGGGACTAACTAGTACTAGCAGTCGCAGGAGGACTGATGAAGATAGAAGATGGCAATGACGGCATTGGATCATGTATGGTCAATCGGGCTAAAGAAGCGCAGGTGTGTTTCGTATAAGAAGAAGCCCGGATCCAGATAAATACATACACCCAGCCTTGCCTCGAGACAAAAGGCAGAGATTCCGAAAAGCAGCTTCTTGTGTCCCACCATCGATCATCGCGGGCCCCTCATCGAACTGTCCCCCTGGTCATTGTTAGCGCTTGTTGGCTCTTTTTCTTCCATTCGAAATACTTTTAACTTGACTTGATAAGGAGCTTTGACTTGGTTCCTGTTTTCCCTGTCTCTGGTTCTTTTGCTCGACTGGGCTGTTGAGTGCGTCATATTATTTTTCGAGGGCTTCTCATTGGACTAAAAACCAACCAGCCTTCTTTCTCTTGTCTCTTTCTTTTTCGATCTTCTTGTTCAATTTGTTCAATCCTCCAGCCTTGCCTTTTGATTCGAATTTGTCCAGGAAGAAGATGGCTGAGACTGTCCCTATTCCTGAGCCTCCTGGGCTGCCGCTGCTGGGCAACTTGGGCGAGTTCTCTCAGAACCCCATTGCGGATATCATTCGCCTCGCAGACACATATGGTAAGGCTGTTTTGGAATCTCTGCTATACACTCATTCACCATCTTACCTCCCTCCTTATACACGAATATCACAAGTACTTCCTTGGAGGCGAGCATCTTCTGGCGACTCTCAATTGGTTATCTACTTGTCATCCGCCTGGCAACCTACGCAATTGCCATACAAACGGATCAGGACCTTTTGCGCCCCACTGTACATACTCACGCACTTGCCTTGTCCATCTGCTTACACCTTCCTTACACCGACGACGATCTTCTACGATTATCGATAACCTCATCAATAACCTACAATCTCCTACATGTATCTTACTCAGTCACATCCTCGCTCACTCACCGTCATCATCATCATCACAATAACCCAAGCAATTCCATCACCATCCCGCAATGCTGACATGCTCTCCCCCCTAAACAGGCGAAATCTACAGGCTTCACTTGGGCACCCGTCCCGCCGTCTTCGTCAGCACTCAGGCCCTCGTCAACGAATGCTGCGATGAGAAGCGCTTCCAAAAGTCTCTGAGCTCTGTCCTGCGAGTATGTGAACAACACTTCCGTCATCAGGCCACAATTGACTGACAGACGCTGCTTCTAGATCGTGCGTGAGGGCGTCCACGATGGCTTGTTCACAGCTCACTCCGATGAGCCCAACTGGGGCAAGGCGCATCGCATCCTGACGCCCGCCTTTGGGCCGCTCCCCATCCGCGACATGTTCGACGAGATGCATGACATCAGCTCCCAGCTGGCCCTCAAGATGGCTCGCCATGGCCCTCACGAGCCAATTGCCGTCTCTGACGAGTTCACCAAGCTAGCCCTCGACACCATCGCTCTGTGTTCCATGAACTACCGCTTCAACTCGTACTACCAGGAGAAGATGCACCCCTTCGTCCAGGCCATGAGCGACTTCCTGGCCGAGTGCAGCAGGCGCAACAGGAGGCCCGGCTTTGCCCCCAACTTTCTGTACCGCGCTGCCAACGAAAAGTTCTTCAACGACATTGCCATCATGCGGGACACCGCCAACGCCGTCGTGGAGGCTCGGAAGAAGAACCCGTCCGATCGCAAGGACCTGCTCGGCGCCATGTTGAACGCCGTGGACCCCCTGACGGGCGAGAAGCTGAGCGATGCCAACATCACCGATCAGCTCATCACCTTTTTGATTGCCGGCCACGAGACGACATCGGGCATGATGTCGTTTGCCTTTTACCATCTCCTGAAGAACCCGGATGCCTATCGAAAAGTCCAAGAGGAGGTGGATTCGGTGCTTGGCCGTGGGCCAGCCAAGGTCGACCATGTCTCCAAGCTCACATATATCCAGGCAGTTCTGAGAGAAACTCTACGCGTCACCGCCGCGATCCCCGCCTTCTCTGTCGAAGCCCTCGAAGACACCATCATTGGAGGCAAGTATCTCGTCCACAAGGGCGAGCCCATCAGCCTCGTCCTCGCCAAATCACACCTCGACCCCCTCGTCTATGGCGAGGATGCCAACGAGTTCAAGCCAGAGCGCATGCTTGATGCAGAGTTTGCTCGGCTCAACAGAGACTTTCCCAACTGCTGGAAGCCGTTTGGTAATGGCAAACGCGGCTGCATAGGAAGAGGCTTTGCTTGGAACGAGGCCGTCATTGCCATGGCCATCCTCTTCCAAAACTTCAACTTCACGCTCGACGATCCCAACTACCAGCTGGAGGTGGCTGCGTCTTTGACAATCAAGCCAAAGGACTTTTTCATGCGAGCCCAGCTGCGGCACGGGATGACTGCCACAGAGCTCGAGCAGAGACTGGTCGGAAAGGGCGTCCCTGATGAGCATCGTGCGGACAAGAAGGCGGCGGCCGAAGGGGGCAGCAAGGAATCCCAGAAGCCTCTGGCCGTTTACTACGGCTCCAACAGCGGCACCTGCGAGGCACTTGCCCAGCGGGTGGCGACTGATGCCAATAGCCACGGATTCAAGGTGACCGACCTCGCTCCCCTGGACACTGCCCACCAGAACCTTCCCAAGGACCGCCCAGTGATCATCGTGACGGCCTCGTATGAGGGACTGCCGCCTTCCAACGCGACTCACTTTGTCAATTGGATCGAAAACCTCAAGGGCAACGAGCTGGAAGGCGTCTCGTATGCCGTCTTTGGCTGCGGCCACCACGACTGGGTCCAGACCTTTCACCGCATCCCCAAGCTCGTGGATTCGACCCTGGAGCAGCACGGCGCCACCCGCCTCATCCCGCTGGCCACCACGGATGCTGCCGACAGCGACATGTTTAGCGATTTCGAATCATGGGAGGACGAGGCCCTCTGGCCTGCTCTCAAGGAAAAGTATGGCGCCGCCGCGGGCTCTTCCGAGGGCTCGGCCGGTGGCTTCATCGTCGATGTAACGCTCCCTCGCAAGTCGACGCTTCGCCAGGATGTCGAGGAGGCGCTCGTCACCGATGCGAAAACCCTGACGACGAGCGGGCCTGCTAAGAAGCACATTGAGATCCGCTTGCCCACGGGCATGACATACCGATCTGGCGACTACCTTGCTGTGCTCCCCTTCAACCCTCCAGACACAGTAGCCCGAGTGTTCCGTCGCTTCCAGCTTTCCTGGGATGCAGTCTTGACTATCCACTCGAATCAGCCGACTACCCTTCCGACAGAGACGCCTATTTCTGCAAACGATGTGCTTAGAGCCTACGTCGAGCTCAGCCAGCCAGCAACCAAGAGGGTGAATTCCATGTGCCTATCTTCTAAACCCTCCACCAGCTATACTGACATTGTTCCTTAGAATATCTCCGTCCTGGCCGAGTCAACAGAAGACGAGCAGCTCAAGGCTCAGCTTGAAAAGCTGGCCGGAGACGATTACCAGCAGGAGATTGGTCTGAAGCGTGTCTCCGTCATTGACTTGCTGGAGAGGTTCCCGTCTCTGAATCTGCCCCTGGACTCGTACTTGGCCATGCTTCCGCCCATGCGTGTCCGCCAGTAGTGAGTGAAGCTTGTGAATGATCTGTCATGACGCCCCGGCTAACACAAGGCGCAGCTCCATTTCCTCGTCTCCCCTGGCCGATCCCGCGAAACTGACCCTCACCTACTCTCTCCTCGAACAGCCCGCACTGTCTGGCCAGGGCTCTCACTTTGGAGTGGCGACTCACTTCCTGGCCTCTCTCAGCGCCGGCGACAAGCTCCACGTCGCCGTGCGCCAATCCAAGGCGTTCCACCTCCCCAGCGACGCCGAAAACACGCCCCTCATCTTCATCGGCACGGGCTCCGGAGTGGCACCCTTCAGGGGCTTCGTCCAGGAGCGGGCAGCCATGATTGCGGCGGGCCGCAAGGTTGCCCCCGCCCTGCTCTTTTATGGATGCCGCTCGCCCGAGGTCGACGACCTGTACGCCGAGGAATTCGAGCGGTGGGAGAAGCTGGGCGCCGTCGAGATGCGCAGGGCGTACTCGCGCGCGCCAGAGAAGTCGCTGGGCTGCAAGTACGTGCAGCACCGCATGTCGCACGACCGCGAGGACCTATACCGGCTGTGGGACCAGGGCGCAAAGGTGCTGGTCTGCGGCAGCCGCGACGTCGGCAAGGCGGTCGAGGCCGTTTGCGTGCAGCTCGTGCAGGAGAGGGTCTCTGCCAAGGGGTCCGAGGTCACAGAGGAGAAGGCGAGGGCGTGGTGGGACAAGCAGCGGAATGAGCGATATGTCACGGATGTGTTTGACTAGGTAGATGGCGGGTGTCGCGATTGTTTGAGTATATATGTAACCACCATAGATTTGATGTTTGACTTGGGTATGATGTCGGATGTAGCGTGTTATAGAGAGACATAAGACTCGGGATACACCAACTACCATGATATTAGATGTTTTGAAATTTCATGATGAAGCAGCATCGAGCAGTTTTGAGGGATAACCACAGCACTATCCAACCCATGTTTCGCCGTCTAATGATCCACTCCCATCAGAGTCAAAAGAATCAAGCCCTCCATCCCCCCCCCCCCCCCCCCCCCCCCCTTTTTTTTTAGACAGAGTAGTCCATCTTCCTATCGCCAATGACGCCCCAAAACTCCTCCACGAGCTCCCTCTGCCCGGCCGGCGCCCCCCTGACGGCGAGATAGACCCTCTCATCCACGGCCGGATTCCACTCTCCCGGGTTGCCGCTCACCATGATGCCGCCCGCCTCCTCGAGGATGCACCAGCCCGCGCAGACATCCCACGCCCAGCACCCGCCCTCCCAATACGCATCCATCTGGCCCGCCGCCACAGCCGCGATATTCAGCGCCGCAGAGCCCAACGACCGCAGCGAATGGACCATTGCGCCGCCGGTCTCCCTTGTAGCGGCCAACTTCTTGAAGACGTCCGTCTTGAGGTCGTAGTTGGGGCCGTCGCGGCTGGAGCCCCATTCCACGGCGACGAGGGCATTGGACAAGCCCGCGAGCGGACGCGGGGATGCGGCGAGGGGGAGCTTCTGCGGCGCGGAACCCTTGATGCGGGTCATGTATGCGCCGTGGGACTTGATTGCTGTGAAGAGGAGGTCTTGGTAGGGGTTGTAGATGATGCCTATGACGGGTTTGCGGTGGAGGGCGAGGCCGAGGGATATGCATGCGTTGGGGAAGGAGTGGACAAAGTTTGTTGTTCCTTGCAATGATATTAGCTGTTGTATATATATAAGGGGCTTTACATACCATCGATGGGGTCGACGATAAAGGTCGGTTCGGGGCCGATTTTCGTGCCGGGCTTGTACGTCTCCTCGCCCATGAAGGAAAAGTCGGGGTAGGCGGCCTTGAGGCGGGACGAGACCATTTTCTCGACGGCCTGGTCGACTTCTGTGACGATGTCGACGGCTAATTATATATAATATGTGAGAAAAGCATGGTCAGTTGGATTCCACGGAGAATTGGTTCAAAAGTGCGTGAGGTGTGTGTATATGTCGTGTTTGGGAATAGAGAGGGAGGGAGAGAGAGAGAGAGAGAGAGAGAGAGAGAGACGCACAGTTGAGCTTTGTTCCCGTGCCAATGTCTGCCGGGTTCGCAGAGAGAATGGTGCGGCCGGCTTCGTAGGCGACGAGGACCATTTCGTCGTGGATTGCTTGGAGGTTGATGTCTGCCATTGTTGGGGATTTGGTATGCAGTCTTGTGTTTGTCTTTTCTTTTTTGTTTCTTTCACCGCTCCTGTTTTTCGTATCTTGTCCCTGTTTGAGATTCTGCTTTCAAATACGGTAATGATAAGGCAATGGTTCAATTGATGTATGAGAATTGAAATTGAAAATGAAGGGTGAGAATGAGACTGAGTGAGAGGAAAAAGAGTGGTGAGATGCAAAAAGGACGGGGAGGTGACATGTGTTAAGGTAAGGAGGGGTCCCGCCGCCATTGTGGGAACTAGAGGGGCAAGAAGCAGCAGCAGCTTATTTGGAGGGAATGACGCTGGTGACGTGGAGCCGCGGCTGGACTGGGAGCTTCTTCTTTTGCCTCGACGATTCGAGGTTATGTCAACACTCCCGGTATTCTCGATAATTTACATGGAGACTTACATATTCAAGCGGAGGAATTGGATATGAGAAGAAATAATGTGATTGCATGGCGTTGAATTGTAGAAGACCCTCTTCATTCCTTGTATGTACAGTTGCAGACCTCCCGATTCACCAAATCAACAAATGTACATGAGAAGACGGAAACGAAAACAGAAAAACAAATCATAACAACAGAGACGGAGGAAAAGACAGCCTCCAGAGTATCGTATCGTGACATACATCATACCACAAACATTTTTCCTCATAAACAAAGGCAAGCCACCGTCCGAACACGCAGCCCATTTTGTTTCCCTTTTTGTTCCCGTTACCGACCTCCATCCTCCCTTTTCCACGCCCATCATCGCCACGTCTGCCTCGTCAACTCAGATGTTTTCCCTAAACATCGACCTCCTATCGGCAAGGCTGCTGCCAGCACTGCCCGGTCGATCCCCGGGCCTGTACGAAGCCGCGTCCATGGGCCGCGGACTGACACCCCTGAGGCTCGCCTGCGCATCGTCATCGAAAGGGTTCACGCGCCCAGCTCCGACGCCCGCCGCCGTCGCCGCTCCCGCATCTCTGCTCGGCCGTCGCCCCCGCTCGAGATCCTCGTCATACGCCGCGTGGGCCGTCGTCGTCGTCCCTCCTGGAGCGCCCAGCCTGCCGCCGCCGCCGCCGCCGTAGCTGGCGCCCGTGTACTCGGTGTGGCCGCCCAGCTCCTGCTCGTAGTAGCCGTATCCATCAGCCTCGTTGCCCACGCGCGAGTCCCAGGCGTCGTCCGGGTCCAGCGGGCCAAAGCCGCGGTTGCCCGGCGGGCCGTGCGACGACTGCTCGTAGGCGCCCGCGGCCGATCGGTCGTTGCGGTGCTTAAACTTGCGCACCACGTCGTTGAACCAGCCGACGATGCCGCCGCGCGCCGGTCGTGGCGGTCCGTAGGGCGTGTCTGCTTTGTGCCAGGGCAGATACGACGAGAGACTCGGTGGTGGAAGCTGTAGTTGCGTCGAGGCGCACACGGTTAGTTCAGCCTTGTCAACTTCATGACGCGATCCGACATGGAGAATCGCTGTTCCCTGATAACGATTGCGCCGCCGCAGCTCCCGACAACCATGTCATTGCGACCCGTCCAAGTATTTGCAATGCGGTAGTAGGGAGACGAGACGCAAAGGTAACCGCAGAGCAGAGAGAAACTCACCCCCAGTCTCCGCGCGCGCAGCTGCGTGAATACGACCCATCCAGCCGCCGCGACGACCAGAATCACCACAATCGCAATGACGATGCCTCCCGCCGTCGACACCATGGTCTGTGTTGCTGCTGCTCGTACGTCTAGTCGCCTCTGCGAACTTGTGTCTTTCTATCCACCCCCGTTGAAGGCCGACGAATAGACGGATCAAGTGCAACTCGTCGAAAAGGTGGAAAGTAGATAGGTAGGTAGACCAGCAGGCGAGCGGTGAATCTGACCAATTCTTCGACAAGCTGCTCACTCGGTTCTGCGCCGGTTGGTTTATTGTTCAGTCGTCGTTGTCGCCTAGTTCGCAGCAGCGCGCATAATCCGAAAATGGGGAGAAGAGGAAAGAAGAAAAGGCGGGAAATGGATGCTGCAGATGTTGTTGTTGTTTTGGGGTGACGAGGCTTTGCCAATTGACGGGCGGTTGACAATGACGGACAGCCGGACTGACTGACCAGCACCTCCAGCGCACGGACTCGCTCGAGCTGCTGCTGCTGCTGCTGCTGCTGCTGCTGCTGCTGACGTCGAGCGGCTTCCGCTTCGGCTTCTGAGGGGCCGCCTTATCGCTGCCTGTCTTATCAGCGCCCCCATGTATCCGTACTTGTACTCGGTACCCTGGCCCTGGGCTACAGAGAAGGCTTCTCGCTGGTTCTGGAGACTTTTGCGATTCTAGTGCTGGGCTGAGCTGCTCATCTATGTAAGTCGAGCTCACCTCAAGTCATCAGCCTTCAGTCAGCAGTGCCCTCTCCACCACTATAAATAATTACGCCAGCTTCGACGAGCAATTCAGGGATCAGCATAAGCCGTCAATGCCAGAGTAAGCTCTTCAGCCGCCCGCACGGCCAAGTTGCCGAATCAAGTCTACATTAGACCAGTCAAAGCAGCATCAAATAGTGTCAATGGCAGCGTGTGATAAGGAGAGCATTTGTATTAAGTCCGCAAGGGACGGCCTACCGAGAACACTGAGAGGCATCAACCCAGACCAGGTTCCAGATCCCTCTTGCAGAGATAACCACAGATAACATGACTTACAAACCACACATGGCGAGAACAACAGCCTCAGATCCTTCCTCACCATTGACGTCGCCAATATATCCCAGTTTTCCCTCTCCGACGCAAGCCAACAGAACGGGGCTTTCACCAGGTTTGTGTACATTTTCTGCTCCGAACACGAGAGACTCAAGGACGGAATGTTTATTTGTCACATACCAAGCATCCGAAGGCTTTGCGTGTTTGAGAAATACAGCCTTTTGGCTGTACTCTGGGAGAAGCTTCGAAGCCAAGTCAGCCCCAATCGCCTGGCGATTTAACACCAGCGTCGTTCGTTGGTATGCCCCTTCTTCCCAGTCCAAGCCTGCTCTGGCAAAGAAAGGCTTGATACTCAATGGTTTGACGAAGCATGGAAAGTGGCCCATACACACAGCGGTGCCACCTTGTCGTACATACTGCAGCACTGCATCCCACACGGGTGCATGTTCCCTCAAGGTGAGAGCCTCGTCGGTGACAAGAACAGCGGCTGGTCGTGGTTCTTCCCGGAGCATATGTATAGCTTCTACTCCATCCTCAACCCGCTGAAACGGCGAGCCCGCTCGTAGTTTGCCGAGGAGCGATTCGTACATTGAATCGAAAAAGGACAGGCGATTAAGAGACACAGCGAGGACTCGTGGTTTCGCGTTTGCAGCCATCTTCTTGCTTCCGGATGCTTGATCAAGAGGTTTGATTGCGAGGTATCGGAGCAGCGTGCTTGCAACAATCATGTCCGCCCGGGATTCTTCATCAAGCGCTTGATTCGCCAGCGCATCAGCTTCCTTGTTGTCGTCTCGCGGCACCAGCCAGAACTTGAAAGTCATGCCCCCATCGTCACCATCCGTCATGTCATCCAGGAGCTCTTGAATCTCTTCCAGGACCTCAAAATGAGCCACCCTCCTGCCCTGCGAATTCATCCCACCATTCTCGATCCAATTATGGATCCACGATGAAAAGGTCTTGACGAGATACGATGAGTCCGTTCTGATATGATAGTGCACCAACGAATGGTCATCGGAGACGTTATAACGGATGATGTCCAGCGCTTGCGAAAGAGCTTCAATTTCAGCCCGAGTGCTTGTCTGCGGGAGAGTGGCGTCCAAGGCGTCGCTTGCATTGAGCATGGACTGCGGTCCGAAGTAGACACCCCAGGCGGCCCGGGCTGAGGGCGTTCCGTTGCCGCGACAAGCTCCGTCAATAGACACGACAACGGTGCGGCTGTCTACGCTCATCTGGCCAGTGTAAGGGTTCATTTCTCGAAGCTGGCGAACCTCTTTGTGGGGATTGTAGACGATGAGTTGGTCCGCAGGGACATGGCGATGTGCGCGACTGTTTTGCGGATCGAAGATGCGCTGGGGTTCCTCGTCATGCTCCTCGTAGAACAGCCCGATGTATCCCGTTGAGACAGCCATTGTACGAAGTGAGCTGTTTGGATTTGCAAGTTGGCTGATGGGATGATGTTTGAGCGACGGTTGTCTCTGGGCTTTTATATGCTGAGGGCATCCATGCCCTAGACGCTCTTCTGTTCCTGCCATTCCCTCGCAGTGCCAACTGCCTCCTCATCTGTTCACGTGTCCATTGATGGGCAGCAACTTACTCTTCAGGTTCGGCGCTCTTGCCTTCTCCTGGATCAGTATCTAGGGTGCCTTCCCGACGATCTGTTTTGCAAGCACAACAACATGAAGGAGCGACGGAAATCCATGAAGCACCGCCTGTTGTTACTGCCCGTACTGTGATTGTTTCAGCGCTTCAATAGGAGGAACGATTGCGAGATCTCCACATTTAATAGAAGCATCGTCTGACACTCACGAACTTTGAAGATGTGGAAAGTTCAAGGGGGGACTGCTAGTCATCGTTCTTGATATTCGAAGCCCGTAGCTCTCCCTCTGCGGAATCCCTACTTAGAGCAGATCATGCTGTGTAGACGGCCTATTGGCTGGGTGGAATGGTAAAGCATTCCCACGATGTCTCTCTGTTGCTCGATCTTCCATTGTAGGACGGGTTCGGTGTTGTCGTGAGGTTCACTGATGTCAGGGGTGAACAGGCACTTCCAGCATTGTAGACATCAAATGGGCATCATTTGAACTAGGTACCTACTAGGTAGTAAATGTTGGCAAGCAATCGAACGTGGTGGTATTTGATATGTACATGTATGGAGCATCTCCTTGCTATGCAGTCTCCGCCTTATAACGCTATACTTGGTAGGAAGCAACTGATAATGTAAATGCTGAGCTGTCAAACATGATCCCAATGAGGTTCAATAAGCAACATGAAGTCCCACAACGCCGAGCCCGGTCCCTTAGACTGTACAAGTCTTTTACCGTCATGCCATTTGCTTTGACGCGCCATGACATTGACTTTCATGTACCTACTGTAGGTAAGTTCTGAATCTAAATCTTGTTCTTCGCATTGTAATCACCCCTCAGCCCTCAAAGGACACTGATTCCACAGCCCTCCGCCGCGCACAAACGTCAGGCTATCAATAAAAGCACCCAGCTTGCACCGCCCCAGTCGATCCGAGTTGCACGTCCGCATCGGCACCACGCGGTCGTTGAGGATGATCCGCACCAGCGGCTCGTTCGAGCCGCTGCACTGCATCTTCTCCACGTACATGCGGGCACCAAACGGCACGACCCACGACGCGGAGAAGCCGTGAAGCTTCTTGGGAGACAGCTTGTACTTGAGCGGCAGATCCCTGGTCGAGTTGAACATGCCCAGGGCCGCAAAGATGGAAGACATGGTGTTGTCGTGCGAAAAGTCGGCGTACAGCTTGGCGTCGAGGGGGAACGTCTCGGGTGAAGAGTCGAGCGTCGTGTTCGTCGTCGTCGCATCGTGCACAGGCTCGCCCGTCAGCCTGGCAATCAGCTCGTTGCTGAATCCAACCCCCTGAGACGGGCCCATCGGGTTGCCCTTCCCATACCCGTACCACTTGTCCAGAGACTGAAAGTAGTCGTAGCTAGTCCACTCGTCCGCGGAAAAGAGCCTGCAAAAGTCCGACGGCACGCTCGTATTGGCCACCGTGGTGAATGGGCACAGGTCCATCATGTAGACGGTCTCGATCAGCGTCAGGTTGGCGCCAGGCAGCTTGCTGTTGAGCCTCCTGTTGATCGCAGGCCCGAAGACGCCAAGCCAGACCTTCTGGTTCAAATCCCTGATTTCAGATGCCGGGCCTTCTTCAAAGGCAGGGCACGCTCCATGGTTCAGAGTGTTGTTATATGCCTCGTCCTCGGGAATGACCAGAACATCATTGGTTGCGTTTAAAGCGTCGCGGTGCTGAGCTTCGTAGTACCCCTCGAGGAACCTCTGTGCCGACAGAACCACTCGCTCCGACCCAGAGGCTCGCACGAAGGGTTCGGAATCAGAGGCTAGGCCGTGGTACCGCTCGAAGAAGGCCTTTCCAGAGTCCACCATCTGCTGCTCACCAAAGGGGGTCAAATCGTCGGCGCCAAGTGTGTACGTATAGTCCTTGAGGAACTCGAATCCCTTGCCGTAATCCTCGACGCTGCTCTGAATGCGCGCAATCATCTCTTGGTAGACTTCCGTCTTCTTTTGCGTCGGGAACCGCGCTCCATGGCGGGACAAGACTTGCGCAAAAGTCAAACTGCAGCTCGCCGGGATGGAAGCGTCAATGGTGGAGGGGACTGAGAAGACGGGTGAGTATTGGCCCCAGATCTGCGAAACGTCTTCTGTGCAATTGCCGACGACTTCGCAAGTCGACGAGGGCTTAGACCGGCTTTGACATGAAGCCAAGTTAGCATCCTTCACTCACCCTTCTGCGTCCTTGATTGAGGGTTCATATGCATACCCGAGTGAGGCCATGGTCAGCAAGATGGCAAAGAGCGCCATGCCGCCGAGCGACATCTTGATCAGTCTAGTCTGTCCCTGAGACGCAGCAAAGTGTGCAGGTTCCCCGGCAGGCTGTCTTTGAGTTGAACCTCGTCGATCAAACTGCCGATGCCGCCGAGGCTCTCGTTCAGACTCCAGGTCGGGGACGGCGCTGTATTTGTATGCATCTCGCGAGGCCGCGCCTCGGATCGCGGCCACGATTCTGGCCACAGGCATGGTTCTGAGGTGTCAGTTACCGCATGTGAGCTCTGCTCTGCTTTTCCTCAGCAAGAGGTGACGCAAAGGTCCCCCTCTCTCTCGCTCTCGCTCTCTATCAGACTATCTCTCTCCAGGTTGAGGGCAGGCCGTCAGTAAGCCGCGAAATGTATAGCAGGAGGAGAAACGTGCGATGAGATGCGGCCGTAGATTGGACGATACGGCAGCAACAGCCCGTGTGAATCAATCACCCTTGTTTTATGGATTCAGCTCATTGTCGACCTCATATACGGAGATGCAGAGCAGAGAGGGGGCGGAATGCGACGCTTCGTCCTCTGACAAGTTGGTTGGATCCGTCGGGAATGGCTGCGCTTGGCTGAAGCTTGGCTGAGGCTTCGATTCAGCGCACAGATGGTAGGGAGAAGTGATGAGTAAGCATTGCGTAGCTTAAGAGGTCTGATGAGGTAATACAGCACTACCAATCAGGTTACATGAATTGGTACCAAGTCCCTCAAGGTTCTCAGCAGTGACAACCTCAAAGTCAGCTTTTGGGAGATGCAGGGTAAGTCTCTCAATCATATTACTATGAGCTGCACCTGCAGACAACCCCATTCTTTGTTTTCTCCCAAAATTGCGACAATGAAGGCTTGTCCTGATCAGTGATTCAAGTACATATACTAGTAGTAAAATAGGTAGTCAGTCTAACCATGTGAGAACTGAAAAGGAATCCATGCATTACTAGGGCGTGCAACGCCAATGCAGCACTGCCCAGCCCAAAAGGCACCGCATCGGCATTTGGAGACATTGGGCACTAAGACGCATGAATTCACCGATTTTGTGAGATCGTTGGTCCATGGTCAGTCATGTCACCTCGCTTATACGCAAGAAGGTCTTCTTCTGATATCCCTTGTCTCGTCAATCATTATTCAACGGCAAAAAGACGGAGATCTCGGTATTCTCGATGTACTACGACATTGAATCACATGCCCTCCACACCCAGAGTAGCATCTCCTCCACACCAAGGGATTCGTGCTCATTATTAGTATACTGGTATTCGCATTACCTCCTCTATTGAAACGATTTCCCCCCTTCGATGACCGCCCAAGTGACTGCCTGGACGTCACTCAGCTGCATCCGTCACTTGTCATCTTTGGTGGTAGTATAACCCATGGGGAGTCAAGGCCCGTCCCCTTCTATTCCCAGTCCAGCCCAACCCAGCCTGATATGCCAGACGTGCCCTGTCCATCAAGCCTCCATTTGATCCACGCCGTCTATAAGATGTGATCCAGCACATGCATGATATGTGTAGTAATAGTATGTATATACATTAGTCGTAGTAATTCCACAGTTACTGTATGTACGAGGCCAGCGCCTTGTCATATTGCGACGCCGACATTCACCGCAGCGGGGCCAGCAGCGTTGTTCATACCAAAAGTGGCCCGTCTGTCAATGAAGACGTCCTCGTCTTCCTCTCTCTCGTTCTTGGACGGGGTGCTTCGCGGCGACCAGGCCGACGGCACAGTACGGCCCTCGTCGTTTGTCGACCAAGTAGACAACGTATCAAATGTTTCGGTGCTCTGCCTGAGTGGCCGCCTAGGCGGTGTTACACACTGGTAGAACCCTTCGCTTCCTTTGATTGGACGCGGAACGTTTGTGACAGAGTCTAGGCTCTGCTTGCGGGCGCGGTCTGGATCCGGGAACAACCAGGTCGAGACTCGCGAAAATGACTTCTTTTTCCGTAGCGGTGGCCGTAGCACGAGGGGCAATGGCGGGGGAGGAGGAGGAGGAGGCGGGGAAGACTGCTGCGCTCGCCTCGAATGTGAAAACTGCCGAATGCTGTCGAGCGTTTCCTCGTACGCCTCCAGCTGGCTAATGTGGACAGACGCTGTCACGGGCCCCGTGTTGGGCAGTGACACCTCTGTGTTCAGGCGCTCAGCGAATGACGGCGCCGCTGGTGGGAGCGCAGGAATCACCGGGACTTCCGCCGTTTCTGCATGATTACCGCATAAGTCGGGGAACCGTGTAGGATGAGAAAAGGCACAAAGCTGCAGTCTGTAAGCTTACCGGGGATGGTGCGAGCCATGGAGTGGGCTGTTGATGGTCTGCTCGCGGTGTAGAGGCTCTGTCGCTCGATGATGTCGTTGATCTTTCTCTGCAGTTGTTCCACTTCATTCATGGCAGAGGCCACTCGCTCTTTGATCGTCTCCATGTCGGACGAGGTGTAAGCCCGAGGGCGAGTCTGCTTGTCGGAAGCGAGGTGCAGCGGCGACACCTCTGGGCTGCGCGACGTCGGAGGAGCAGCGACATTTTTGCGAGGAATGTGAAATGACGGCGATGGAGTATGTCTTTGATGACAAGGAGAGGAGTCATCGCGAAAGGGCCTTCCCGGAAGATGCACCAGAGATGGCGGCGTCATCTCGCTCGGAAAGTCGAAATCGGGGAGCATCGGCGACAGCTCCTTTCCCGGACTCAAGACGCTCAGCTGCAACGGCTCAAAGGGAGTCTCGGGCGTATCCGGCGTCAGAGGACTCTCCCAGGGCCGCGACGGGCGCTGAGCAGGAAACGGGAACTGGAAAGAGCCGGAATCGACATGTCTGAATTCAAACGGAGCTGAAATCTGTAGCTGCGGCCTTGTACCGTCCCTCTGCGCCCTGCCTCTGGATGAAAAGCCCGGCTGGCTGGATGAGAATGTCCGCTGCACTTTTTGCCTCCAGCTAGGCCGGGGAAGCTCAACCTCAGGGACCGCCATTGGGGGCGGATGGGATATCGGCTGGTCGCTGATGATGCGGATGTGACGGTTGTTGTCGCCTGGCGCCTATAAGTAAGTGAAGAGCTCTCAGACATTGCTTGGGGTATATCAACACCAAATGCAGCGAGAGGGAGAGAACGGGTGGGGAAATAAAGCACACGGAATCGAATACAAATATATCGAAACCACCACATACGTCGCTCGGGTCTCTCGTCGAGGCGAAAGGCAAACGGTTCCCAGCACGTGAGACAAGAGAAGCATGACGCATACGCTTCCCCAAAGACGCCCGTCGAAGCTTTCATGCTGTGGAGAGAAGAAGCAGCCTCATTGCCGACTGGGCCGGCAGATACGCTTTTAAAGCAAGGTGAGGCGAGGTGAGGTAAGGGAGGAGAAGCGAATGACAAGACCGCCCAGCGAGCCCCGATGACATAAAGACAAAAAGGAAATAAGCATTAAAAAAAGATCAGAGTAGATCCGGCAACATCGACTGGAAATGTTCAAATCGGAGGGCCGGGTGAGCTCGTAAATACTACTTCGCATCTGCAATAGCGCAGCTCACCCGACCTGGCCATGGACAGACCAGAACTTTGACTGGAGCCATCATCCGCGCTCGGTTCGCCCTTGTTCGCCTGCGTGTGAGTGGGTGAGTGGGTGTGTGTGTGAGTGTGAGTGTGTGTGAGTGTCTGTCTTGTGTGTCTTGTCTAGTCTTGTCTTCCATGTCAGTCTGCCCTTGTTTCTTTTCTCAGCATCAGCACCAGCACCAGCAGCCAGCAGCCAGTGCCAGAGGAGATGAACACGCCTCGACAACGGGCTAGACACGACGGCCCAGTCAGTGGCGGCTGAGCAGCGACGATGGTGAGCCAACAGGGCCGCCACGGTGATAGGCTGGGCCGCAGAGGCGACCGGCCAGTCGGCGCGTAGAAGCCATGGATGCGGATGGCTGGCGCTACCCACAAGATTGCAGGATCCACAGACGGCGTCAGACGGCCGGGCTGGCACAGCGAGTCGATGTCTTGCATTCGCCACGGCTTCATTCGTGGCTTTGCTCCAGATGGCCCGAGGAGGGGTCGCGTGGGCGGCCGGCATTGGCCAGCTGCTGGCATGCCCTCGGGTTCCCCTGGGGCCTGGCGACGACGATTCGCTCGCTGCCAGAGGGCTGACGGTTGGAGTTTGTTTGGGGTGTCCTTGTCTCGAGGGGAACAACCTGGTGCGTGTTTCGGCTCCGGGCGCAAGCAGACAAGAGGAACAGACAGACAGACAGACAGACAGACAAGGCGAGGCCCTCGATGCGGTGCGATGCGGTGCGATGCGAAACCTGCCCGTCAGATCAGTGCCTCGTCTCGTCTGCCGTCTCAGCGCCACGCAGCCGAATCTTGCCTCGTCCAGGACCCTCGTTTTGCTTCTTTGGGCCGTCGCAGCTCGATTGGCGCGCGCGCTTCTCTCGTTTCTCATTTCCCGCTTCGTCTCTCGCTTCGTTTCTTCTGTGCTTGCCGTCCGTCAGTCAGAGCAGACACGCCCAATCAAGCGGTCCCTCAATCACATAACCTGGAACAGTCCGTCGTTGCGGTTTCCTCAGACTTCTTCCCAGAAGGACCCTCCACTGTCCGAACGGTGTTCCTATCTTTAGCACCGCTTCTGGTGATGATCATGATGACATGCTGTGTGCTGTCTGTCTTACTAGACAGAGTCAACGCCAGAGATGATGATGGTGTGGGCAGCGTCGTGACGGCTTGACTCGAGAAACGACCACCTGACGCCCAATGGACGATGGACCGGCACGCAACAAGTAATACTGGACGCTCTGTGAGCTGCTGCGGCCAGTGGCGTGGAGAGAAAGACGCAGACGAGACCCAACAGGAACTGAGGATACGAGCGAAGCCATCATGCATGTCTCAGTTTCTTCCACCCTCTCCGGGGGCACCGCACCTATGCGAGGCCTGGCATGGGTGTGATTGTGATGCCGTCTGGATCATTCATGCACGGCCCTGTTTCTTTGTCTCTCTTCTTTTCCTTGAATTCTGTCTTTTGATGTCTTTGTGTCTTTTCTTTTTGGTCTTCTTCCTGTTTTCTTGTGGTTTTCCAACTTGGAGCTTAAAATAGGTAGGTAGGTAATTTGATGGTGCGCATTACAGCCACTAATAGAAGCCATGCCCTGTGCATGTGAGATCTGTGCCTGTCTAAAAGTAGTAGTAAGCAATCGGTGGCTCACAGGGCCGTCAGAGTGGCTTGAGTGGCTTGACGTGGATTCAGGTGCGTCAGAATGCTACGTACCTTCTTTAGCAGAGCGAAGAGTCCAATCCACTCCACCAGACAATTCCGCAGAACAGCCGAGAGTGGGTACTTGCGATAAGCTTGCTGGTCTTGCCTTATCGTGGAAGCATCCGAGGCGGTAAGACCCGGCAGTATCTCAAAATATCTACACTTCCGCGACGACAATTGCATGCAAATCGCCAGCAGCAGCAGGACGAAGTCGCCGAGGGTCTTGCAAAATGGGCAAACGAGCTTCCATTGACGCCGACGGAGCTGCCGCGTTCCGCAAGCGCCAGAAAATCACACACGATGTTCCCATTGGAGAGGACGTGAGCTCTGGGGAGCAGCTGCGCGGGCTGCTCGCGTTCGACCAGGACATGCGCAAAGCAAGACATGGTGGGTTTGAACCCCCTTCAACAGGCTCTACGGCATTTACGTGCCAATCAGTCGTGCTAATTTCTTCTGAACAGGTCTGCAGTCCTTCAAACGACTTCTCGATAGCATAGCTTCCGGCGAGGGCGATCGATCCGCGAGTCTCGCCATTCTCCGGGAATATCTTGAACTGGTCAAGCCAAGGCTCGAGGGCGAGGACGCCGTCTACCTGAGTGACATCATGGAGATGTGGTCCTTTGCCGCCCAGACGAACGAAGGCGGCGTCATGTCCTCTGCGGCCGTTGTTCTCGCCCTCGTGCTCAATGTCGTCTCGGATTCGCTGGAGCTCGTCAAGCATGGACTGGGCATTTGCCAAACGCTCCTCCAAGAGCGTCAGCTCAAGTCAATATCGAAGAATTTGTCCTCGGACAAGACGAAGGGCTTCATCATATCACCCACGCTGCGATTGCTCCGCGAAGCCGTGTCCCTCGACGGAGGCGCCTACGCAAGACGGATAGTTCGCGCCAAGACTTACACTTTTGCGTCCCTCGGCAGGAACCTGGAGATTGGAAGCACCGTTGAGAACCCTGAAGATGCTCGGAAGGCTTCCGTGAGGACAAATGCTGTTCGGTTCTTCCTGAGCTGCCTCAAGTATCTGCACTCTGACGGCCGAAAGGAGTTGCTCTTACAGAAGGAGCTGCTATCACATCTGACATTCCTGATCAAGAGTGATCCGCCATCTCTTGTCGTGGAGATTCTGGACAGCTTACGAACCCATGTGCTAGCGGACAGCAAGATCTCACGAGACGTCAAGTTCAAATGTTTCAATACCAAGACGTTGATGCGGATACTGGCTCTCTACAGCTACTCCAACAGCACAGAGCCGGAGAGCGAAGTCGACCGGGTTAGCGAAAAGGCCCATCAGTTTCTCATGTACGTCTGCACCAACCCGGTTGCCGGCATCCTATATCCCTCCACCGGCCTTTATCCCAAGGAGACAAATGAGGAGTTTTCGGTCCAGCTTGCCAAGCAGAAGAGCGCAGCACACAGCAATCTGGCCAAGGACGACTCGTACCGCGACGGCGTCCCCGTCTTCAACTTTGTTCTGTCCGAGTTTGCGTCGAAGCTGCGTCCCTGGTCCAGCATGAAGCACAGCCAGCTGTTGACTGCGATGTTCGAAGCGGCCCCGGAACTTATCGCAAACTACTTTTTCAACAACCAGTCATTCACGTTTGAGCCCAAATTGACCATGACCTGGATCGGATATGCTTCGTTCCTGTTCGATACGATGAAGATCCCGCTCCCCCCTTCGTTCGGCGACAAGACACGCTTCGCTGTCGGCCCTCCTCCCACAAACATCCTCTTGGATAACATTCTACCACTCCCGCTGAACCAAAAGGTCATGGTCCGGTGCCTCTCGCCCAACTCGAACCTGACATCCTTCTTTGCGACAAGAATGCTCATCGAAGCGCTCGAGAAGCTGTCGGTAGCCATGAAGCTGCACCGAGAAGGCTTTCGAGCAACAGACACTCGATGGGCCGAGGCCGCTCGAAAGCTCATCGATGCCTTCTGCAGACGCATCCCGGACATGAAGGAGATTGTGCGCAGCTACAAGGGCATCGCCAGCGAGAACACGCTGCACAAGGCCATGGCCAGCAGGCTGCTTCTCCTGTACTACGAGATGATCCCGCAGGTGGCTCTGGCTGCAAACTTTGACGTCTCGCCCTTCTTCGTCAACGTCCTCCGCAGCTTGCAGAGCAACGGCTCCGACGAGCAGAAGCACGACGGGTTCCGCCAAATGGAGCTGGAGAACCTGGTGTCGATCGCCAGCTACTCTCCCGGCATGCGATGGTTTGCCAGGATCGAGGTTCTCAGCGGCAAGGGCCAGTCATCGCCCTTTACTACTCTCCTCAGACTACTATCCAGCAGTGACCGAAGCGCACCTCTTGATCAGCTAAAGAGGGTGCTTGCAGACGTTGCCGTGGAGAACCAGCTCGTCTCGGCGGCTACCAGGCTAAACCCTCTTCTTCAAGCCATTGCGCTGAGCATCGACGAGAACAGCTCAGAGGACATGGACAAGATCTGGTCCTTCTTGGACAACTGCATCAGCCGCTGTGCCACGTCGCCAATCAAATACCTAGAGGTGCTCGAGAGCTATCTCACGGACAGCGACGGCGACGTGCAAGAAAAGGTCAACGCCCGCAGCTTCAATCTGCTCGCCGTTGCCATAGCAGAACAGCTGCCCTACGTCATCAAATCTGCGGATGCCCCTGAACGCGCCTCGCTATCAAGCTTCATCTCTCTCTACTTTAGCGCGCTGTACAAGAAGAAGAAGGGCAGCGATGCCCTGGAAAGCGTCTACGCCAAGATTGAAGAGTGCTTCTCTTCTAATTCCGTCAAGCTCGCAAAGCTAGGGTCGCGCAAGTTGCCCAAGGCGTCACGTAGCGGCACCCAGGAAGACGAAGACGATGATGATCAAGAAGAGCATGATAACAGCTCCCAGCAAAAGGAAACCGGGCTCACTCAGGAGCAGCTCGAAGAGGCGCTGCACATTCCCTTCACGAGCCCGGAAGACACAGGAGCGCTCCTGAAATGGCACACCAAAGCCGTCGAGGACCTCATCGAAGACGGCCTCATCACGAACCTCATCCGCCTCCTCGCATCAGAACACACCAGCATCCGCAAGGAGGCGCTCACAAACCTCCTCAAGATGGCCGCCAAAATCGACGAATCCTCCTACGAAGAGAAGAAGCAAGTCTGGCTCCTCCTCTCCGAGCTCGCGGAATCCTCCCGACCGCAAGTAGACAGCGGGCCCGTCCCATCCGCCTTCATCGCCTTCTCCATCCACGCGCTCGAGGTCCTCAAGAACCCGCTCCACCCTCTCTACCCCAAAATCAACAGCTTCCTCACGCGCAGCCCCGTCTGGTCCCCCGAGAAGCTGCCCCTCGCACACGACATCCTCCACGGCGAACCCTCCGAGGACGACAAGTACTACACCGAACTCGCCTGGTTCCTGGCGTACGTGCTCGACGCCCTCCAGACCCCCTTTGACCTCGGCGTGTTCCACAAGAAGCGCTGGCTCGAGAAGATTCTCGCCCTGGGCAGCAACCCCTATCTGCGGACGAATCTGCGCCTCCGAGTCCTGAGGATCGTCTACCGCGCTACGTGCATCGAGTCCGGCAGCACGACGCTCATCACGCGGTTCGGCTTGTTGACGTGGCTGGATGCCCAGCGCGCCGCATGTGGGAACCCCGACGAGGCGGCTCTCTACGAGGCGCTCATGAGCCGCGCATGGAACACCTGTGACCAGGCGAGGGTCCGGGCCTGGAGCAAGGGCGGTGTGGAAAAGCTGCTGGCGAAGAACAAGACGAAGAAGACGCAGTGAGAAGCGGGAGGTGGTAAGGATACCTATACGATGGTGTGAACGGGACCTGGCTTTTTGATCATGCAATATTGGATGAAAGATACCCTAAAGTCTGGAGGAAGCGGTGAGAGTACAGCTTGACGGGAGCAGTCAATCCAGCCGAGACTGCCATCAAGTCTATGGATTCGAATGAAGCTCTTTTCTTTTTTTCTTCGTTTCTTTTTCACCTCTCCAGTTCAGGCTGCAATGCAATGTATGGTTAGACATGTATATAGTTATGTGTATTACAATTGTTTATCATAATTTGTACTTACATACCATGTTGATTGAATCAATTGAGCCGCGTAGACCACCTCCCTACCTAATAGTCATAGGTACTCAGGTATTGTGAGTGAAGATCAACTCCATCAACGCCAAAATTGGAGGCTACAGCATCGTCTCAGTCCATCTATACCCTTGCAGCACATCACGATCAAACTACAAGCACTGGGTTTTCAGGGGCATAGAGTGACTGCAAAAGACTTGTATTCGCTTACTCAAAACTCCAGATTTAACAATGCAAAATCATACCTGTTACACTACTCATTCCTCGTCCATCTATCCTTGAGCACGCCATTAATGATGAAAATCCGTTAGGTACATTCACGCTCGTCCTCCTCATACTTTCGATGAAAAGCCATGCTCCGTCAGCCCTAAGGCAACACGACCCAGACATCATGTCCCGCTCGAACCCCCTCTCTTCCTCCCAAGATTAATGCATGCTTGTCGGTAAACGCGCGTAAACCCAGATAGGGAGCGGCCCAGGCGGCCGAGAAAACAGAAATTAATAAGATAATACCCAAAATTCAAGAGGGAAGAAAGGGGGATGTAAGCCGCTTTGAGATTAAACAAGGCTATGAGTGAGCTGGACGTCGGCGTCCTTTTTTCCGCTCCCGTCTTCTTCTAGAGTTGACCAGAGAGGAGAGCTTCGGTGGCTGTAGCACAAGACATGTTAGCAAAACATCCGCGATCGATTCGAAGGAATGTCTGTCAGAGGGTCAAGGGAGAGAAAACATACCACTATTGATGTAGGCTCTCTTCGCGTCCAGCGGGACGTCGAAGCGGCGCTCCAGTTCTTGCTTGATCCCCTTCTTGGTGACGGTCATCAGATCCGCCGTTTTGAGGATCTCGCGAATCTCCGCCAGGATGGCATCGTCGCTCGGAAGGCCAACCATGTCCTCTGGGGAGAAGAACTGCGATCCGCCATACTGGCTCATGCGGTTCATCTCGGACGGAGCCATGGACATGCGCGACATGTTGCGTGTCTCGTACGGCTGACCGTGACCTGTCTGGATGAAGCCCGTCGTCGAGGCGGGGCGGCTGGGGTACGCATACTCTGACATGGCGCCGTGAGCCTTAGTACCGTAGCTGAAGCCAGAGACCTCGGAGCGAGTGTCGTCTCGCGAGGTCTGCGTCTCCCAGAGCTCGGCCTGGTACTCTTCCCACTTCTTCTTCGGGATCGAAGAGGGGTCGAATTTGCCCTCGTCCGAGATGAGCACCTTCTTGCCGTCCTCACCGGCAACCACACGGGTGTTACCCCAGGCGAAGTCGTCCATGTGCCAGAAAGCATACAGGGGCAGACCAAAGCTGAAGACCGGGATGGCGATGACGTAGAGAATCATCCAGCCCACCATCTCCCACTTGCGACGCAGGATGAAGATGATGGCCTGCAGACCGTAGATGGCACCGAGCAGGATAAAGGCCGTCACGGGCACCACGTTCGGATTCTGTACCACGCGCACTATCAGGTACACAATGTAGGCGACGGTGACCGGCTGGACAACGGTACTCAGCAAGTCGACAAAGACGACAAAACGCATGCTGAAGCAGCAGAAACCGCACAGCTGAGACAGGGGGATCAGCTCAATCAGGTTGTGCACGGTAGAGTTGATCCAACGACGTCGCTGAGAGAGGAAGACGGCCCAGGAATCAGGAGCAATAGTCCACGCGTGGGCGGTGAAGATGTACTTGGTCTTGTACTTGGAGTGGAACTTAAGCAGCAGCGTCGTCAAGAAACGATCCTCACCCAGATGAAGCAGGTTCTTCATGTGCAGCGTGTCGACTCGGATGGTGGAGTACGCCTCGACGACCTCCTTGCTCACGAAAAGGGGCTTACCACTCTCCGCAGCGCGGATACGGTACATGGAGAAACAACCGGGCAGACAGGTGACGGAGCCGAACAGACTCTCAAAGGCCTTGGACAGGTTGTGGGAAATGTAGTACTCGTACACCTGGATCATGGTGATGAAAGACCCCTTGGCGTTAGTCAGGGCCGTTTCACCACACACGGCAATGATGTTGGTGTCGTTGATAAGAGCGGCAACCATGCGAGTGGCGGAATCGGGAGCGACCACGGTATCGGCATCAATCTGGAACATGAACTCGTAGAAGGCCGGGTTCACGCCAATGATGTTTCGGATCTGGTGGTACATCTCCAGCTCCAACGGGCTCATGGGCAGGTTGTAGTGCACTCGGTTGAGGAAGCGCATAATGACCATCTGAGAGTCTCGCTTACCACGGTTACCCGGGCGAGAGACCTCGGAAGGCTTGCCAATCTTGACAATGACCAGGAAGGGGACAATGTGGCCCTGGACCTCGTAGAGGCCTGAGTAAACCTTGCCCATGTTGTGCTGCTTCAAACCTTCGCCGAGCGACTCGAAGCTGAGCGGCTCCGGATCCACGGACTCGGACACGCCGAGAATGTCCAGGACAATTCTCGGTGTCGGCCTGTCGTTGCCTTGACCAATGATCATACCGTCACAGACCACCACCAGCAGCTTGCGCTTGTCGTCGTACCTCATTCTAGCAGCCGAATCGATGGCACGGCGCAGGGACTCCTCGTCTTCAGTGTACGCGGGAATCTGACACATGATGAATTTGTCGAGGTCCTCGGGGGCGTTCTTTCCACCAAACTGCAGCGCGGCGAAGAACTTGAATCCGATGACCGAGGCCAGCAGAATCGAGATGGCGAGCACCAGATATTCGGCGAACTGGCAGCGGACAGAGTTTCGGGTGTCAACGTCACCAACGTAGAATAGGTTGTCCAAGCAGCGCTGCATGCGTGACTTGCCGGTGGCGTCGAGTCTGATGGTTTTCCAGTACTTTGAGATGTCTTGGCCAGGGTTCAGCTGGAACAGAGATGTCACAGCCGGATCCATGAAGTCGGTCAGGGAATTGTTGGACGGGACTTTCTTGCCAACAGGAGCCCGCAAGTGGCGGCCTCCGGCAAGATACGTTGTCATGTCGTAGACCTTGCCGTTCAAGATGGCGATGTTCTGCGACTTCTTTGTGCCCAGAGACTTGACGTACTTGGCGGTGTAGCCGATGTTGCCCTTCTTGAAGTTGGACTTGAGGTACACCATCTGCTCGTAGAACCAGTCGGGTCTGCTATCGTTGGTGAAGTAGCGGAAGTCGTGGAACTTGCTGTTTACGTCTTGTGAGTTGAGTAGAACAGGCGATCCGGTAAAGTTTGTCGTCTTGTAATCCAATGTCACGGTCGGGTCGATTGCGCCGTCGACGCCGTCGCAGAGGGCAGACACCTGGACGGGGAAGAGGTTGGTGATGTCCTGGCCGGCATAGCTCAAGAGCGTCTGCTGCTTCAGATACGAAGGGTAGTGGGACGGGATGAAGGCCCCCAAGTCCAACACAACACCGCGAATGGCCACGTACGCGCCGTCGCTCTTTGCCTTGCCGTTAAAAGAGGAGAGCTCTGCGGCGCTGTACACGTGCTGGGTAGGGCAAATGAGCATGGGGAAGACCACGATGAAGAAAGCGGCGACCAAGCAAAAGAACCAGATGAGAAAGTTGATGGCGAGCTTCTCGCGCCAGGCGATGCGCACGTCCTTACGGGGCATTCGTCCTATCAGCCGGATGAGGAAATCGGGGACAAACCATGTGAGGGCATAGACAATGAACAGCCAGCGCCTGCGGCTAGGGCTGTCCTTGTACTCTTCGACCTCGACCAGGGCCTTTTCATTGCCTCTCTCGGCCATCTGCTCGCGTGTCTCGAGGTTCTTGAACATGTCACCAGCGCCAAACGCCGAAGCGCCCGCCTCGGAGCGCGCATCTTCCGCGACGAAATATCCGCTCTTGCCCTTCTCGCCGTAGCCCAGGGGAGTGTGTCCGGCAGACAAGAGACGCTCCTTAGAAGCACCAAAGGTGTTGTGATCGCCAGGTGTGAGGCCGTCTCCTCCCTCGCTGTCGAAGGCTGACATGGGCCCGCGGGCAGACGCACCGCTGGAGAAGGACAGCTGGGCGATCTCCAACCAGCAACGCTCGCTCAGGAAGACACCAGTGGCACCGACAGAAACCTCGTTGCGGGGCCAGTGCCTCTCCTCGATGGCAGCCTCTGCTCGCTCACGCTCGCTGCCCACAAGCATGGTCTCGCTGTTTGCCATGCCCAAGAACTCTCCGAAAGGAATAAACAGACTGAAGTCAGCCGAGCGTAGACGCTGGCTGATCTCGGCAATGCCAAACGTCTGCACCTGCGTCCGAACACACTTACTGTCGAACTGGTTGGCGATGCGGCGGTCATTGGGCTTGAGACAGAAGAAGAAGTAGGCATTGGTGTTGGGGTCGGTGACGGCTTTCTGGACGTTGTCGAGAGATGCGAGGAACTGCCCAGAAGCTCCCTGTTCGGACCCTGGCCTGGCCGACGCTCCTCGCTGCTTAGTCTCGCGAGAGTCGCTGTCCTGCGAGAGCTGGTCAAAGTTATCCTGCGTCTGGCGGCGGGCTGCGGGATTGGGCCTGTTGGGACGGGCGCCCTTGCGCACCATGACGCTGGGGGCGCGCATGGGCTTTGAGCTGATGGTTGCCTGCATCACAGTTGTCTTCTCCTGGGGGTGGGTGACGGTCTGCAGAGCTTCCTGGCCGAAGAGCTTGGCCACGAAGTCAGACTTGGTGCTGTTCATCACGTTCATGATGTCTCCCGAGATGATCTCGCCGTTCTCCTCAATCAAGCCCCTGACGGGATACTCGACTTCTCCAGCAAAGTGCTTGACCGTGAAGCTTGCAGACAGGTTTTCCGTGTGGAAGTTGCTGCCCGGGAGCTTGGAGGTCGCGGAGGCGACTTCGATGGCCGGGTTCTTGCCTTCAAAGCGCTTGCGCAGGGCCTCCAGAAGCTGCATGTCAGTCCTGTTGCGGCGTGTTTGGTCATCGAGAATGCTCAGAAGGCCGTTGCCAGGCTTCAACAGACCCTTGACAGCATCAGAGTTGTCAAAGTAACTGGTCGCAGAGACCGTGACTTCCTCCGTCTCCAGCATTTCAGCTTTGCGGTCGAAAAAGTTGCGGAGCGTCATGTTGTAGATCGCTTCGTTGGCGGCATTAGCGAGGAGCTGATCCAGAGCCGAGCCCGTGGAAGCAGACTGGACAAAACCAGGAAAATCAACAATGGAGACGGTGTTGGCAATGTTCTCCTCCGGGGCGCAGAGGCGCTGGTTCATGTTTTCGACGATCCAGGCGACCAAGAGACTGTAGAGCGTCCTGGCCAGCTCATTGGCGTGAGCACGGGCACCCTTGGGGTCGAGCATGACGGTGACGCGCTCCTTGTGAATCATCTTGGTCTTGTAGCCCAGCGTGGTCTGGAGATCAGACGCGCTGATACCGAGGAAAGCAGCAATGATGGCGAGCACATCCTTGTTCTTGACCGCAGTGTAGGTGGTGCCTCCCTCGTGAGAGAAGCCACCACTGTCATCCCCCGTGGCGCTCGTGCTGCTGGTCGTCTCGAACTCCAGCTGTCCGATGTGGAGGACAGTAGCCAGAATCTGGCAGATCTCGGCAATGTCGTTCTTGGGGAACTCGAGCTTCCTCATGGCTGTCTTGAAGAGCTGGAAGCCTTCGGCGTCGTTGATGCCGACCTTGAGCTGGGTCGGGTGCCCAAGGAACTTCCACCTCTTGCTGCCATTGTCGCTGTCGAATCCCAGGTGACTCCTCTCTGCGTCGCTCGTTCCAGCGACCAGGTAGTAGAGAATGTGGAAATTGCGCTCGCCCGTCGGGACGTCGGTGATTCTGCTCCTCTCCAACCGATGGTCGAGGACTTTACCACCGATGAGGATGGGGCTTGTTGAGGCCGACGTGTCGTATTGCAGCTCGAAGAACAGACCGGCTCGGGAAGCAATCGGAGTCGTCGCCGTCTTTGTCGTAGTGAGTGCGTCGAAGACATATGCTGCAAGAGAGAGCTTGTTGGATAAGGGGGTCGATGACTTCTTAAGCAGAGCCGTGAGATAATGGTTCCGGATGGTCGACTTTCCCGCACCGGATTCTCCCCTAGAAGCGCAGGCACGTTAGTCTCATTGCAGGAATGACACGCGCGTCTTCGCTCGAAAGGATGTAGGGTCAAAGCCATCATGATTGTCAAATTCGCTGCACAAGCGCATGTTTTCTTTAGAGGGCAGAGGGAAAACAGAGAGAGAAGTGCACATGCTGGGATAGGCAAGTCGAATAGAAACAAACATCCCAGATGAAGGACGAAGAAGAAGCAGGAGGGAAGTAGATGGATGGAGTGCGGGCTCGCCAGATTGACTTACAGAAACACAACAGCTTGGTTTTCAGACCGGTGGCCGAGACGCAGATATGAACGCTCAGCTACGTCCTCGGCCGCAGCCATGGAACTGCCTTCCTTGCCGCCATCTGGTCCCTTGGTCGACGTCGTATAGGAGTTGACGCAGACGACGCCATGGGACGACAGATAGGTTGCCTGGATCTGCGTGTGGAATCGACTCGCGAGATGGGCCGTTATCTGCGTGTCCGACTGGGAGTGAGCAGGCAGTTGAGGAAGCGAGTGCTGCGTATGTGCTCCTCCACTGCCGGTCCCCAGCGGTAGGCTCATCCCGAAGGACTACCTGTGAGCCTCAGTATCGCGGCGGTTGCTGCCACCTGCTCGGTGCAGGCGCACGGAGTATGGTATGCTGGTAGATGCTGGAGCGGTATAGCACTGCTATCACTCCGTAGAGATGCCGTCGGGTTGCGTGATGCGGATAAGAGGAATCCGTGGTGTTTTCGTCCCAGATGATGCGCGACGGACTGCTATGGATGGCTCTGGTAAAGAAGTTCGAGTGGTGAGGTTGGTTATTTTTTTTTTCTCGGCCGCGAGCTGCACACATGCCCGGAAAGGGGCTGTACCGTAGGTAGGTGTCCTAGGGGCTCACTAGGTAGGTGCCTACTCGGGTTGCTAAGGCGCTGCACTTCAGTTGGATCCAATGGATACTAGATAGATAATACGGGCAGTAAACAGCCGGTGCGGTGCGGCAGGTACGAGACGCGGTGTTCTGGCTCTGCGGTCGAGCTGCCTGCCTGTGAGAATCGAGGTAAAGGTCAGAAGTACCCGGAGGTATCTGCGGGTCGGCGCCGGCAGGTACTTGCAGGTACTTGCCCAGGTCCTGCCTCTCGGCCGGCGCAAGGTACCGGGTGCGCCACTCCAGGTGCTGCAAGCGGCCGCTACTGGTACCTTCCCGCTCTCCCCAAGGGGGGCGTGGCGAGAGTGGCTTTAGCATCACGGACGACTCCGGTGGGCGCCAGGCCGCGGGAGCGCAGTTCGCTCTTTCTGTACGCCCCTTATGCTGGACCTGTCCAGGGTTGATATGCCGCCTGCAAAGTATTATTAGCAGTCAAATGGAGCCAGACACAGCCTGTCTGTCTGTCTGTCTGTCCACAGTACCGGAAGCCCGCACTTGTACATTCTCGTAGTAGTAGTCAAAGCTGTTCTGTAGCTGCATGTGTGCATGCCTCTTGCTTGGTCTGTTTTTTCTCGAAGGGGGTTCAATGTCATCAAGAGAAATGTCTAAATCAGCATGTGCTGACCGAGATGCTATTATCGCAGTAATAACGGACGAAGGCTATCACATATAGGTAGTAGTACCAAGGTAGAAGTAGGTAGGTAATTCCATTGACTGTGGCTGTACATAGACCAGCGAGTACTGTAATATGAAGCACTCCAGACCTGCTCTATATCTGAACCAGCAGCACAAAAAAGGCAACAACGTCGTGGCAAGCCATTGGCTGTGGTGGTTTCTTCATGTTACCTTGAAAGCCCTCCCTCGCATAATATCTTCTGCAGCTGCATCGTCAATCTTCAGGCAAACGTGAGTTCTGATTGCAGGCTCTGTGGACGGCAGTGGTGGATATGGTGGTACTGCAAGTATCTGGATGTAACTCCCTACGGAGACACTGGCAGGATTGGTATGGACCTGTGGGTGGTAGGCAAGTATGGAACCCGAGGCCGGTGGGTTGTCGAGGTTTTGATGGCCTGATGTGATGGGATCCCCACGTTGCAACTTGGGGCAGAGGGACGAATATCTTTTGATGGAGAAGAATCAGGAGGAAAGGAAAAGCGACAAAGCACACATGGGCATTGCGTCCATTACGTCAACGACTTTTGCCCCGACCTTCGGCCTTCTGTTTCTCTCTGCCTCCGCCAGCCAATCTGCCGTGATCTAGTTGTGCAGAAAGTGCCTGCACCTCAGATGTTTCGCAGCAATAGGGTAACTGAGATGAGCAGGCAAGGTAGGTACCTACAGGAAAGCTCTGTGCTGGCGGGAGACGTTGGCAACACGAGGCTTGTGATGTTGGCTGAAACTCAAGTTCGAAGTACATTGTACGTGCCTCAGTGAACACGAACGGACAAGACTGCGACTAATCGTAGCGGGGCATGCCGATCTGATCTGCTGGCCATGTACAGCATTCGTATGATGCACATGTTCCGAGGCCCGGCGCAAGGCCATCGCCGCGGTACTTTGTACTCGCGTTGCACACACACATCAAAATAAATCGATATTAAGTGCAGACGAAGATCAACCCATTCGCTTCTCTTTTCCATCTGGTCAGAATCGTGAGTGACTGCATTGGTTGAACGGATCAGCCCCTCCTCAGCCATAGGTGTTAGTTACGCTCTACAGGGTGCGAGGGATCAGGGCATTGGTTCTGGAAAAGCAGGGGCAGCTTTGGGGTTTCTCGCTTCAGAAGAGGTCAATCTCCAATTGCCCGCAAAGCTGACCTGCTGCCGGTGAAAGCGGCTCTAAAAGCAGCCGCCTAAGCAATGAGAAAAGGAGGGTTCCTTGAATAGACCCAGTTGCTTTGCTCCTACTACCATTGGATTCTATAAACAAGACGTGTGCTTACTTCGTGTGCCATCTACCTATTTTCGAGATGACTGAAATAGGGGTTTCTAAGCCTGACGCCCTAATGGCGGCAACTCCTATCTACCTTACCTCAGCAAGTAAAGTGTGCATGTACTGATTCCGTAGCTGACACCAAAAGTTGGCGGTTTGGTCTGACAACACGAAGATGAAGAGAAGAGCAGCACACAGCCATGATGCAATGTAACTCCATGTACCGCAACGGAGCGCGTCGAATTCTCGTACATGGTACTACTCTAGGTAGTATAGCAACTTGGCATTCTTTTAATAACCATCGTCGCCAGATCTTCCCTAGAATAAAAAAAGAAACCATATGACAGCTGGGATACGGGCAGGCCTTTCCGGAACACGAGAACGCTCATTCTCTCATTGTCATGCGTCGGATGCATCCAGCCGCCTAGGTAGGCGGTCGAGGACGGAGGGGGGGATAGAGGCGAGGATTTGCTGACACGCAGCATCAGGAGATGGTCACTGTTGGCGGTTGAAGAACAACAGAAGACAACCACCTCTTCGATAATACGAGGACAAATATGCAATTTGGAATTCAGGTATTCACAGGTCTCAGTGCGGCCGGAATGTCTTGCTCGAAGTCGCTCTGCCGTCGGGCAGGTACATACACAAATACAGCAAGGTACATTTGGGAGTGCATCGGGATACGGGGGCAAAAGTGGGTATGAACGCCGGAGCAGTGCGGAATGCAGAAGCGAGGGATGCCCGGTGTCAAGTTGCAAAAGAAACCACACGCACGAACGCGCTTGGACCAGAACGCAGTTTGGGCTTCCTCCTCCTTCGCGGAGCACAGATAAGAATTGAGGATGCCAATGAATGCCCCGTATCTCGAGGTACGCACAGATGCAAATGACCAACACGAGTGCTCCAAGTCCCTTCAGCTTACATGCGAGTACAAACCTACCTCAGGACAGTCCACTCTCATCGCCGCTCTCCCCGCATGAACTCTTTTGTATGTATAGGTAGGTATGTGTGTACCTAAGTTAAGGAAAACACCATTTGCTGGTTATTTTAGGGTTCTTTAGACAAGATTTCCGTCTTTTACTTTAGGTTTTTTTAGTCGCTGAGCTTGTGTTTCTTGCGTCCTGGCCAATTGCGTTCAACGAAGCCGTCCGCTATCGCAAAGTACGAGGTCTAGTTTTTTTGCCTTGGACCCGCGATCAAGCACAGCCGCTCAGCATAGTCGGTCGTGTGCCCCTCATACGAGAGGGTAGAAGAAAAGAGATAGAAATACGAGCATTGCATCTATGTATGCGGTGCCGTGTCAGTCAAGTCATCCTGCAACAATCATTGTGACACGCAGAAACGACAATAAGTGATGCGTCCAGGCGTCGCTGGGCATGGTGCTTTCGTATTGCTGCAGTCGTTGCATCCGCCCGCTCCGGGGTTCCGTATTTTCAGGGAGAGAGCGCCGAAGACGCGGTCCGCCAGCAGATCTGTAGGTAGGTACTGATCAGAGACATAGTCGTACAACTACCTAGGTAGATACAGCCAGGACGTGTGGAATTGCGATTCTAGGCCGTGGAATATTCCATACCCCATACAACGGTAAATTAAATGTGCTCGCTTGTAGGCATTTGGACGGTGCAGCGCTGGTATGGACCGCGGTGGTGGGCACGGAGAAGCGTACAGAATCTCGGAGGTACTGCCTCGTACCCATTTGCCCACCTGCAGTCCGTAAGCACCCTGTACCTGGGTACTGTACGGCGCTGTCCGCGCTCCAATCGATGCCTTTATAGGGCATGCAGAGCACTCTGCGAGCTGCAGTCTGCACAGACGGTACATTCGTGTACTCCGTATCATCGTACTCACAAGGTCCCATACCATCGATCCGTGGATGTCCTCGAGGCTCAGCGACTTGATCGAGATTCGGGGGTTGCGAGGTACCTCTGGGTACTGTGGAGAGAGCAGCCCAAGGTCTGCGCTCAGCTGAGCCGGTACGAAGCCCACTGGAGGCCCGTAGCCCCTGTGCTAACAACCAGGTCCGAGCCCAGCGCTGGATCGCTAACAACGTCAGCATCAGCCGTCCGTACCGCTACGGCTTCACCAGCACCGAGCCATGGATATATTCAGGTACTCGTACGAGTACCATCCAATTACTGCCAGCCCTGCTGCTAATACGCAGTTAGTACGCAGTCCGTGAGAGCACCATCTGCTGCTATCAAACGTGGCTGACCCCCCCCGACTTGAGGCGCCGGCGGGAACGGCGTTGAGTGAGCAAAACCGCCCGCTACCGTCCAGCCATTCACGCTGGCCAGGGGCCCCCTGTTTCCCAGTCGGGCAAGTTCCTCCAAGTATCCGCCGCTACTGTGCGCCATTGACGGTGGCAGCCGGATCGCTAGAGCTCAAGCCCATTGTTTGGCGCACGCCCCCCTTCCAGGGCTCCACGGCCTGGTGCGGATGCCCCTGTAGCTCTGCTGTTGTGCCACAGCCGCCTCCGCTGGCACCAGCCGGGCAGGTACCTCGCAGTACCTGGCCTGGGATCGGATGGCAGTGCTTTAGCGCCTTCACTGCATCTCGTCCAACCTCTCATCGAATTCATCCTGCTGCCACAGCCGCGAGACTTTTCCCTCTCTGCTGTTTTCTCTCTGACCTAACCTCTGACCTCTGACCTCTGACCACCGTTGGTGAGCCTGCCTCATTCGCTTTGGCAGCTCTCCTCTCAATCGCTCGCTCTCTGCATCGTCTGTTTTGCCCCGTCTGACTTTGTGCATCGCTTTATCTACCTGATCCGTCTTGGACGTCTTTTGCGCCGAAAAATAGTACCTTAATAATTCGAGACCAAAAAAGCAAAAGACCGGGGGGGAGAAGAAAAAAAAAGGAGTCAACACGGCAGTCGCGTCTTGGGGAGCCCGTCAGCCGTCTTTCTCGTCTCTCGCTTCGCATTGCATCAGCAGGCCGTCTTCCATCCCCATCGTCGTCCTCCATCTTCATCATA